TAATATCTTGTTTGTCATGTGGGGATGCATGAAATGTTCCTGTATGAACTGAAGTTAAAGTCGACAAATTAAAAATGAAACACCCGAAATTACATGAAACTCCAGAGCAAATGGGATTATTGTGGTTAATCGAATTTTGTGCTATAACATGTAAAACGGGATCATGAAAGGAACATTCAGAAATCAACTCATGTAAACACCTTAATCATATTATTGTCTTATTCAGATTAAGGCCAATAATTCATTTACTGATGTCCATGTAAACATAGTCATTAACAGACTGAATTACTCACTCTCTCAAATACCCCAATAAATATTTAGTCTGTATTTTGGTCAGTCAGCTTGTTTTCTTTTTCTTTTTTTAGTATTAGTTTGTTTTTATTTCCCTTTGATATCTCTCATTTCCTCATACTTTGCCCCCTCTTTTGTTTTTTTTCTAGTGTGTGGTAGGCAGTCTGTAATGAAATAAAATAGTTGGCAGAATGACCAGAAACAGCTAATACACACACACACACACACACACACACACACACACGCTCTGAAAGAATGACCTCTCATACTTTAATATTTTGATAATAAACTCTAATGACATTGTCAGGAGGAGGGATGTTTCTAATTTTATTCCTGTGCCTTTTGGAACATTGTCTTCTGGCCGTCAGCTTTTCCTTATTTGAAAATTCTGTTTGAAGCTTGAAAACTTTGGCTCAAAAACACTTGAAGCATCATTTTGGAGGGAGAAATTACTATCACACAATCAATAAATCACTTGTTAAAATATAAACCAATTATCTGCAGTGATGGCCAACATGAATGTCTATGTCGAAATGTCTGAATTAGTATCTTAGAAAGATTGAGCTTTAAGTAAATGTGTGTGTGATGTAGGGCTGCACAATATATTATTTCAGCATGATATTGCAATTAGCAAATCAGCAATAGTCACATCGCAGGTTCTCAAGTGAATTTGAACTATTCGGACACAAGAAATTATTAAGTATGTGACTTTAACAAAGATTAATCGTGTTTAAATATTTAAAGACTACAAAGAAGACTATACTGTGGTATTTTACATTTGATTATTGATGTTAGGACCAACTGAAAACCATAAAGCGATGTTTATTTCATTTTTATTTTTTGTTTTATTGTATTCATATGTGCTTTAATTTATGTATATATTTTGTCATTACACTTCCTGACAAAAGGTCGTCGATCCCAGTTAACAAATAATAACTTGACTTCTAGTTGATCATTTGGAAAAGAGGCAGAAGGTAGATTTTTCTGATGAATTATCTGTTAAATGCAGATGAATGCAAATACTGCAGAAGACCTACTGGAACTTGCATGGAGCCAAGATTCTCATACAAATCTGTCAAATTTGGTGAAGAAACAAAATCATGGTTTGGAGTTACATTCACTATAGGGGTGTGCGAGTAGATGGCAACATCAACCTTTTAAGACATTTGTGCTGCCCAATACATTACAAACCACAGGAGAGGGCACATTCTTCAGCAGGAAAGTGCTCCTTCTCATACTTCAGGCTCCACATCAAAGTTCTTGAGAGCAAAGAAGGTCAAGGTGCTCCAGGATTGGCCAGCCCAGTCACCAGATATGAACTTTATTGAGCATGTCTAGGGTAAGACAAAGGAGGAGGCATTGAAGATGAATCCAAAGAATCTTGATGAACTCTGGGAGTCCTGCAAGAAAGCCTTCTTTGCCATTCCAGATGACTTTATTAATTATTAGTTATGTATTAGTTGTTTGAGTCATTGCAGAGATGTATGGATGCAGTCCTCCAAGCTCATGGGAGTCCTACACAATATTAATTCTTTTTCCTCTGCACCATGACTTTATATTCTATACTGTACATTATTTCTGGTAAGTGACAAGACTTTTGTCTAAACAAAGTCAGACCTTACTGTCCTAATTAAATAATTAAAAATCAAGGCACTATCATATTTTATTTTTTGGTAAAATAAGCGTAATCTAGAGGCCTTTGCCTTTCATATAAGCCACTTCCTATAACAAACGATCAACTAGAAGTCAAGATATTATTTGTTGTTCCTAATACTTGGATATTTGACAAGACTTTTATCAGGGTAAATAATTATGATCTTGTAAAATTAGGTTTTTGATCTTGATTATGATCTTGTGTCAGGTTTTTCTAATATCGTGCAGCCCTAGTGTAATGTATCAAAATATGTTTGTCATTTATAAAAGATAATAATGTAGCATCAGTTATGAAAAAGAGTAGTTGACTTTACTATATATCATAAATATGATGTTCAGGGATCTGTGTTCCAAACAGCTAATACAGTACACTTTTTACTGTATTTTTGGATGAACATCTGTAACTCTTTAAGTGTATTTTTTGCTTAAACAGTGTTTAATATTGAGAAAATTATTATTTATGATAAATAAACAATATGAGACTAAACCATCCAGTGTTTGCCATCAAGTCCCTGTCATAAAACTGGGGTCATCCAGTTTTAATCTGAGGATTTATCGTGTTTATGAAGTGAACTATAATATGGGTACATGCTTCCATGAGTATTAATCCAAAACATTTCAGTTTAGTTTGACTGCATTTTTAGGTTGACGACAATGAAAACTGACATTTTAGTTGGTAGTATTAGTATTTGGTATTTGTTGTGTACTGTAGTGGCCTCTTGTTATTCTTCTCCCAGCATCCACTTTATAAGGCTCAAGAATGTGTCTGTAATTCCTCAGTCTTTTATGTTAAGCCACACACTAAATAGCCATTTTTATTTGTTTGAAAAAGTCAGGGCTGACTTTTAAATTGGGCTCATTTAAAAAAAAAAAAAAATTGCAAGTAGCACACTGAATGATGGAGGTCTCCATAGCCATGCTCTCTTGACCTCAGGTGCGCAATAAATTCTGTGAAACCACAGGTGTAAAGCGAGAGCGACGGATGAAGGAAGGGAGAGGCTGCTGGAGACAATCTGGCAGATCAAACTTAAATGCGCTTCAGTCAGGATACTTATAAATGCTATAATTACCCTTCCATGAGCCACATAATGATGACGGATCCTTATAATTAATGCAAACAGTGTTGAGAGGAACAGACATATTGATTGGAAGGGAGAGAGTTTAATAGGAAATGGGGAGAACAGCTAAAACTGGATTTCCACATAAAAAAGTGGTAAGGGATTAAGTGTTTACTACTATTGACGATAATCACCCTATTCTGCATTCTAGTCCTCATGTTTTATTGCCAATGAGTTAATCAAACTAGTAGGACCTGACATTATGTGATTTAATTAATGGCCCAATAAAAGGATGATGTCATTGGACAAGTGCACTCGACTAAAAATAAAAAGCAAAAAGTGTCTGGCATGTGTGTACGTGGGAGGTTTGATTGTTTAGAGGAGTGTTTAGTCTGCATTTCTGTGTATTTGCGTGGGTTTCCGATAGAACTGTTTAGAATTTATGTTTTTTGGATGTCTGGTTATTATTAAAAGTACTGGCTAAAAACTTTTTGGAGAATTAGAAAAACGGATAATATCCAACTAAGATTTTTTTTTTAAGTATACACACTCAAAAAAAAAACTGTTGAATGAACATGATTTAATCGTGGCACCCTTTATGCATCTAATCCAATCAAGTAAACCTTAACTGCTTTGAACATTTTTTTTACCAATTGAGTTTAAACAGCTTTCTTCACTTTGGTACTCCTATTCAAAATGTAAAAGTATAAAATGTATAGGAAACATAGCCAACAACATAACATGCATAACATTCAAGCTCTTGGGAAAACCAATTCCCAAACTGTGCTGAAAACACGCGGTGATACTTCTTCTTGTTGTTTTCGTATGGTGACATCCAAACGCACTACCGCCACCTACTGATATGCGCGAAGTGACTCTCCAGAGTGAGAGTTGTCGATCTGAAGCGTCTCAGTCTCATTGAATCAACATGTTCTGATCAAATTCATTTGATTATTTCTTGATTCAGTTTCAAATAACATGAATTAATCATTTAACATACGTAAACTTGATTTGTTCTTTTCAATCTGACAAATTTTTATTTTGTAAATCCAATACATGCCTAGTTGATTTTTTTGAGTGCACTTAAAATGCAGGTAAATAAAAAACCTTTCTGTTTCCCCCTGGACAGTAAGAGACACCACAAAAACAATCCAATACACACTCAATTATGCTTTCCCGACTCTGTTCTTTGAAGGTTTAACAATGTCCATATGTGTGTTTTATGTGTGTGTCTGTTTGTCACTGAGTTTTTCGATCTCGTTTTTAGGCAGGCCATTTTTCCACAGCAGACATCGTTGAGTGCAAACCAGAATGACTTCAAATGCGGACCACAGTTTCCTCCGTTTATAAATGAAAAACAGACACATCTTCTGGAGATGTATTTTTAAAAAATGGCATCTTTGCAAATAGTGACACTCAGCACAAGCAAAACGCAACAATTTATGTTTAGACCACTTAAGTTAAGATGAAACGGCACAACAGCTAAATAGTAACAAAAAAGTAATAAGAGCGTGTGTAATGTATGAGCAGTATACAGAAGAGATCTGCTTAATGAAAGTGTGCTCTTAGTTTCAGCACCAGTGCAAGCAGAAGCATGCAAATGAATAGGCCCATGCTTCAACTCTGTTATGGATATTAAACCACACAATAGCATATTATTTCGAGCGCTTCTGTTATTACGATAACACTATAATAGGAATGTTCTTTAAAGCATATGTTCTTCCCTCATTGTGTTGAATCAAACAAAAGCAACTCTTCAAAGCATTTAATAGATTTTTTTAAACTTGCAAAAACATCTCGTTCATTTGAGTTGTGGTTATAGTGCAAACCCCACCATGCTTTTTTTCTGCTTTTGCCGGATGTCCGTAATATTCATTACACCTGAATCATTAAGTTTTTTCAGCTGAAGCTGGAAACAGACACTTTGCTAACTGCATAATCAGCTTTGGGTTTAGATGATCTCTTTCATTTTCTGTGTGTGTGTGTCATCATGTGTAGGAATTAAAAATGGGGTGTTTGCTCCAATGGACTCTGCGGCTTGCTGTGTTGCTGGTTCTCCCCTCGCTGTCTAAAGCTCAAGGTAAAGATTCTTGTACTTTTTTAGGAAGTGAAATGTGCATAGCAAAGCATGATGTTTAGGACTAATTTAGTCCTATGTGATGAAAATGAGGCATATGTACCTATAAATGTAGAAATGACATACTTTTCATACAAGACATACTTTTGAATAAGCAGTCTGCCATTTCAGTTTCTTTCACTCATTCATTTTTCTATAGCTTAGTCCCTTTATTCATCAGGGATTCACCACAGCTGAATGAATTGCCAACTTATCCAGCATATTCTTTTACACAGTGGATGTCCTTCCAGCCGCAACCCATTACTGGGAAACACCCATACACTCTCACATTCACATACATACACTACCTATTTAATTTACCTATAGAGCATGTATTTAGACTGTGGGGGAAACCAGAGCACCCGGTGGAAACCCACTCCAAACACGGGGAGAATATGCAAACTCCAGACAGAAATGCCAACTGACCCAGTCGGGACTCGAACCAGTGACCTTCTTGCTGTGAGGCGACAGTGCTGACCACTAAGCCACCGTGTCACCCCCATTTCAGTTTCACTTATTCAAATATTACATTTTATTTATGTATTTTTCCATGTAAATATAGATCCACACATTATTATCATTATTGGTGTTGTTGTTTATCAACATAAAATATTGTTAAATTATAGCTAAAAAGAAAAATAACAGATATTAAAAATGTATGAAATTGAAAAAAAAAATGTGATAGGTTTCATTAATCATGTCAGAATTGCCAGAGAAAATAATAATTTTTAAATAAATATAATATATTTATGTATGAATATTCATTAATTAATTTTCCTTTAGCCTATTCACGTATTTATCAGGGATCACCACAGTGGAATGAACTGCCTATTTATGAATAAATACTTATAATATTTACATTTTGTAAATTTATTAGTGGGCTGCTCAGTGGTCAGCACTCACAGCAAAAAGTTCGCTGGTTCGCTTCCTGGCTGGGCCAGTTGGCATTTCTGTCAGGAGTTTGCATGTTCTCCCTGTGTTGGTGTGGGTTTCCTCTGGGTGCTCCGGTTTCCCCCACAGTCCAAAGACATCCGCTATAGGTGAATAGAAAAAAACTACAGTACTGGCTTGAAGCTTGCTGGAATAGTTGGTGGTTTATTCCGCTGTGGTGACCCCTGCAATAAAGAAAAGGAAAATGAAAAAAAATGAAATTTATTAGTTATATTTACATTTCATGTAATATTTAATGCATTTTTAAACACACGATACAACATACAGCAAACATCTGCACAGCAAGACTGTAAAATATGCATGATATTTATCTAATATCAATCAATACAGATATCTTTTTAAAAATCACCATTATCTCTAGGTAACTAAGAAGGTCCTAGTACATTGTGCATCCTTAATTTAAAAATGCTGCATGTACATTGAATACAGATCCCATCATGCCCTAAATCGAGATAGCAGTGAGTCATTGATCAGATTACACACAACAGGTTAATTAGTTTCCTACCTTGAGGGCATTTATTCACCCATACAGACGGTGAGTCACACAAACCCATATATTTAATGACTGGTGACATACTGATCTGCACATCACTCGCTGAATAAATGGGCCCAGATGCTTTGTTTGCTTCAAATGGCTTAGCAGACTGGGTGGTGATGGTCATTTCCTGTGTGTCTTCTCACCCTGATCCTTCCATAATCCTTCACTCAATACATGAACTGAATAGGCCACAGATGTGGATCTTAACGCAAATACTAAAGTTCAAGTTGTCACATACAATGGTGCACAGCAACATGTTCTGTCTCTGGTAGCTGTGCATTTTAGATATACCGTGAGAATTATGAGCTCTCCTAAATAGTTTTTTTCTCAATTTCTGTTTAAAAGAAAGAAGTTTTTTTTAACATATTTCTAAACATAATAGTTTTAATAACCAATTTCTAATAACGAGGGCTGCACAATATATTGTTTCAGCATTAATATCGCAATGTGTGCATCCACAGTAGTGATATCGCAGGATATGCGATGTTTAATTGGGATTGTAGATAATTACAATAAGTGCAGAGTTTAATCATAATGGAGTAAAAGTTCATCATCTACAGTATGTGCGTTTTTAAAGTAATAGTTCACCCAAAATAAACTTTCCTCAGTAATTTCATTTCACCCTTAACTTGTTTCAAACGTTTATGAGTTTCTTTTTTAAGTTGAACACAAAATGAAGATATTTTAATAACTCATAAATGTTTGAGACAAGTGAAGCGTGTGTAAATACTCATTTTTGAGTAAACTATCCATTTAAGGCCTGTGACTGTGTAAATATTTCAACATTTCAGAGTGCAAAACATCCGGCCACCAGATATTATAATGCTTGTAACTTTGGTGTTAATTATTCAATATCTGAACCTGAGCATTGTTTGACTCTCCAAGAAAACTATAATTCATATACTGTATTTATTCATGCTTGTAAGGTATTTGTTATATATTACTCGAGATTTACTCCCCTACAAAATTACCCTAAATAAGTTCAAAATGAAGAATTCTTTTCAAATAAAGCTGTATTCACACCGCAATGTATATCACAGAAATACAAAATATTGCAATGTCAGATTTTTACATAATATTTTACTTTTTTGAAGATAGTAGTAGCTTATTTACATTTAAAGGCTTCACTAGTTTAATTAGGTAAGTTAGGGTAATTAGGCAAATCATTGAATAAAAATGGTTTGATCTGAAGACAATTGGAAATAAAATATTGATTAAGGGGCTAATAATATTGACCTTAAAATGTTTTTTTTTTTAAGTAAAAACTTATTTTATTTTAGCCGAAATAAAATAAATAAGACTTTCTCCAGAAGAAGAAATATTTTAGGAAATACTGTAAAAAGGTTTTGCTCTGTTAAACATAATTTTAGTAAATATTTGATAAAGAAAAAAAATTATAATATTAAAAATTCTGACTTTCACTGTAAATGGCTGTATATGGACTGGAACAGAAATTAGCCCTCTATTTCTTTTCCTTAATGTATATGTGACTGTGGTTGACCCATTTTGGTCACACTAATCTAATTTTAGCTGCACTAATGAAAACATTCTGTATTTGTTTTAATGATGTCCCACATATCCAGAGTTCAAAGACATTTGCTATAAATATTTATACATCTTTTTTATATACAGTGGAATGACGACAGTTGTTCATTTTATTGATATTAATTGTTTTCCTCCCTGTCTGTTTATAGGCCAGTGCAATGATGTTGTTGCAGCAGACGTTGTTTTCCTAGTTGATGGGTCATCCAGTATTGGCCGGGCCAATTTTATGTTGGTCAAGAGTTTCATGGCAGGCATTGTCAAACCCTTTGCCAAAGCAGTAGGACCGAATGGCATCCGCTTTGGAGCTGTACAGTACAGCGATACCGCCAGGTCTGTGTGTGTGTCCTTGTGTACCTAAAGGCATACTATTATCTTTTTACAAGAATTAAAATTAGTTGGTCTCATGTGTCCCCAAAAAGTTCAGCTTAAAATATGAAATGGATGAATTTGATACCATACTGTATATAACCCTTTTCTGGTGTTTTGTGCTTTTTCTCATTCAAGAGAGAAATTTTTAATTCTGTCATCATTTAGTCACCCTATACTTGTTCAAAACTCATTTGAGTGTCTTTCATCTGTTGAACACAAATGAAGATATTGTGATGAATGTTGGTTGCTGGCAACACTGACTTCTGTAGTATTTATTATGGAGGTCAATGGGTGCCAGCAACCAGCTTTCTTTAAAAATTTCTTTCTTGCGTCTTTAACAAAAGAAAGAAACTCATAAAGGCTTAAAACCACATGAGGGAGAATTAATGAAGATGTCGTTTTCATTTTGGGGTGAACTATTTCTTTAAATGCATATAAGCTGTCTCTTTAAATGCAAATAAAAGCCTTTTTAGTTTAAGCTTATATCATTTTCGCAGAGTGCTTACACAGAAAGCTGACTGTCTGAGCAAATAATTTCTTTTTCATGTTGTCTATCTAATATTTCAGCTGTTTAGTCTTTGTCCAAAGCACACACAAACACAAGTTCACATTATTCTGATTATGTCTGTAAATGTAAACACTCGGGGAAGAAATTGCATGTGCATCAGTACGATACCTGACAAAAGGCATCGATTCCAGTTGTAAAAGCAACAAATACTAACTTGATTTCTAGTTGATTGTTTGGAGAAGTGACAGAAGGTAGATTTTTCTGATGAATCATCTGTTAAGCTGCATCCCAATCATCACAAATACTGCAGAAGACCCATTGGAACCTGCATGGACCCAAGATTCTCATAGAAATCAATCAAGTTTGGTGAAGGAAAAATCATGGTTTGGAGTTACATTCAGTATGGGAGTGTGCAAGAGATCTGCAGAATAAATGGCAACATCAACAGCCTGAGGTATCAAGACATTTGTGCTGCCCATTACATTACAAACCACAGGAGAGGGCAAATTCTTCAGCAGGATAGCGCTCCTTAGATATTCTATGCTGTGCATTCTTTCTGTTAAGTGACAAGATTTTTGTCAAATCAAAGTCAGACCGTACTGTCCTATTAAAATCATTTAAAAAATCAAGAAATGATCATATTACATTTTGGTAAAATAAGCTTAGTCTTGAGGTCTTTGCCTTTCATATTAGCCACTTTTGATATCAAATAATCAACTATAGAAGTCAAGTTATTATTTGTGGTTCTTAAAACTTGAATATGCAACAAGAGTTTTGTCAGGTAGTATGTGTTAGATCCGTGAAACAGCATCTCTCGGACAACACACTACTACCAACATAACTCAGACAGGTCTTGAGTCTGGAGTGTGGAGAAGTTATTTTATTTAAATGTAAAGGTTGAAAATGTAAAATATATTTATAAGAGATGCTTTATTTGACAATATGTACAATTTTCTAATATATTTGATTTAATTATTAGTTTAATTTTAAGAAACAGTTCAGATGCTGGTTGTTTTGATGGACTGCATTTGTTACAGTATGAACAGGAAAGGTGGATGTTTGTGTGTGTGATAGATTATTGGTATGTTTGTTAATTATAGTTGTGAATTTTCTGACTATAAGGGTGGAGTTTACATTCACTGCATACCTGAATGGCACTGAGCTCATTACTGCTGTAGAGAATATCAATTATAAAGGGGGAAACACACGCACTGGAGCTGGTCTCAAATACATCGCAGACAACTTCTTCAGCCCGGCCTCTATCAGAGATGTACCCAAGGTGAGCTGGGAATTATGACATGTTGATTGGTTTGACATGGACGATAAGTGTGTACCTAACTCTGTCTGGGTTTGAAAGACTTATTTGTGCATAATGTACACTATTTATCAAAGCTAAGATCATAGTCAGTGAGATGTTTTAAAATACCAGGGTTTCAGCGGGGTCTTAAAAAGTCTTAAATCCCAAAATCAAAATTTTAGCCTTAACTTTACTTAAATATTGTGTTGTGAGTCTTAAATCTTTTTTAAACAAGTCTTAATTTTCTTTTACCCAATCTGGCAAAGACCCATACAGTCACCAACAATCCATCTCAATAAAACTTTAAACTTTCTATTTAAAAAGGTACATTTTAACTCTATTTATCATAATGGTTTCATTGTTTTCCTTACAAAAACATTTGTTTATAAATGATCCATGTATTTACTGCTGAGGACACCAACCTGGACAGATGGTTGTGGATAGATTTAGTTTATTAGAGTTTTACATTTTTTAAAAATATTTTGTATTTATTTTTATTATAAAGAAAGTTCATGTTGAAAAAAAGTGTATGGATACAAGTAGAGCTTGCTTTTTTAATACAATATTTATAATATTTTGCTAAGAAATATCTCAAATATTATAATTTTTATAAATTAATTTATTATTGTATTATTAAACATATTCTATTTCTAATTTATTTGATAGGTCAAATAAAATTATTCCCACTGGGCCATTTGAAAAAGCGTTTAGCCCTTTATGAGTCTAATATTTCATTCATTATGGTCTTAAAAATGTCTTAAAAAGTCCTAAATTTAACTTAAACTTGGTGAAATCTGCAGAAACCCTGAAAATTATTAAATACTTTTATTCAGCATAGATGGGTTAAATGGATCAAGTAATAGTTAATAGATTATACCAATTAAATGTTGTTGTTTTTTTTTTTTTTTTCAAAATTCATAACTGTAAAATGTATATTAAAAGATTTATTATAAAAATGAGATTTGCCATAACAGGAAAAATATAAAATATACTAATTAAGTAATATAAATTAAAATATATGAAATAATAATAAATAAAATTAAATATACAACATATATAATTTTACAATATGTATATAATTTTATAATAAAAATATATAAAAAACTAAACAGGACTAGCAGTGTACTGTAGGTTAATTTTAAGCTTTAAGTTTAAGTCTTTTGAGTTGTTTTTAAGGATCTTTATGCTTTTAGAATAATCATCAGGAAAATATATACCTTATATAAGCATATACAATAATGTACTGTAGACTAATCATCTTGTCTTTTTCTTTCAGATCTCTATTCTCATTACTGATGGTAAATCTCAGGACAATGTGCTTGAACCTTCTCAAAAGCTGCGTGGTCTCGGAGTCAAAATATTTGCAGTGGGTAAGAGCTGTGTGGTTTTCCCTGTAAATGTAAGTGCCTGTGAAGACTCAGTCTGGGCAGATTAAAAATACATTACCCTTGTTTCTCTCTCCCTCTGCATTTTTTAGGTATAAAGAGTGCAGATCCAGCTGAGCTGAAGCTCATCGCCTCTCCTCCTCAAAGTGAGTTCACCTCTCAGATTGGGAACTTCAGGGCACTCAGCTCTTTACTGCCCCTAGTGTCTCGACGCGTGTGTACAGCAAGTGGAGGCTCCTACTCTAGTGATGGTAAGACTGAGTTAGACATACACAGTTCAATTAAAATATGTTTTCATAAATAAAATTGTACAGTTGGAATTTTGTGAAATCAATCAGTTTATGATTCGACCATGTTTCTTCATCAGAAGCCTACAGTGGTCCATCAGACTTGCAGGTTTTGGGTGAAACCCCTGACTCACTGAGATTTCAATGGACATCTGCAGGAGGGCCTGTAAGTGGCTATGTTGTTCAGTACAGGCCGTTATCTGCCCAGGGTCAGCCAATCACTGCAGAGCTCCGCCAGGTGAGAGGAACGCTTGTCCTAAATAATTGTTGCTTTTTTGGGTACTAAAATACCTGAGAGTTTTATTGTTTTATGATCAATGCTCTAGCTTGTTTCCTAGCTTTATTTCCATTTTAATAAACCTGGGATTATATATTATTGATATAGTTAGATCTGCGACAATTGACATATTAGTGTCTGCTTTTGATTAGCAAAGGGATTAGGATAAAACTGTGTACTATATATAAATGCATGTAGTAAATGTAGTAAAATACATGTAATCTCTATTAATTTGAATTGATTTAATGCAGGAGGAGATTGTTACTCCTCACAAGTTTGTTTATTGTGTATGTATATTATAACCATAAATTTACATTATAATACTATTTATATACTCTTAATATCTGTATGCTATTATAGTATTTATATATATTTCGATTTTTTTAATGTGCAACTTTTGTGTTTAAATTGTGTTTAAATTTATATTATTTTATTAATTTAGTTATGTGTTGTCTGAATTATTAGCCTTCCTGTTCAATTCTGTTGACCCCCACCCCCCTGCCCCCCCATTACATTACATTTTATCAGCCCTCTCTACAAAAACATGCTTCCAATAGCACTCTCTTTATAATACCTTTAAATTCAGACACAAGTTTATTTAGTTTTTAGTCTTTTTGCTAATTATGCCATGCCCAAGGTGCACAATAAGGAAATTCAGTTTTTCCCAGCTCTGTACAAACTCGAGGTATATTAAAAAGCAAACAAGAGCGTACCTGATAATTCCCAGAGCTGAGACAAAGAAGAGTACAAAGATAAGCTGGAAGTTTACCTAAAATAACTTCATAAATAAAAATGTACCAGTGCTGTTTTCTGCATACAGCCAGTGATGTCCAGCCCACCATCTCATATAAAATGCAATGATGAGTACAGGATTTTGCATTTGTAATAAAACATAATGAAGCTTGATATACAGAATCTTGTTAGAATAGAAGATGCCACATGTATGTATAATATATCACCATAATCAAGCACGGATGAAAAGTAGCTTCCTCAAGGTTTTTTTTAGCAGTAAATGTAAAATTAGATTTATTTTAAAAATAAAAGCCAAGCTTCAGTTTCAGCTCCCTTATCAGATTAGCAGTTTGTACCTTAAAAAAGCTTATCATTATTGATTAGAACTGTGTGTGTTTGTGTCTATATATATATATATATATATATATCACTTTTTTAATTAGTAGTAGTTTTTAATTAGTTGGCAAGGCAACGTTATTACGTTACTACGTTTTTTTTTTTTTTGATGGCATCTGTTTTTTTTTTCTGTTATATGTATCGTATTACTCTCAGCTATTACATTACTCAAAACAAGTCATTTTAGTTTAAGTTAATACCCAGCAAACAATAGACGTCTTAAGCCTCATTCTTATGCCTCATTCACATTATGAGCGACTGGCAGCGGCAAATTGCCAGTTGTTCATTTCAACGGAGAGTGAGCGACTCGACTTCCTGCGACCTCTGTCTCATGAGTGACAGTGAACTTTGGTGACCAGGTGGGTGTGTCGAGCGATGGGACAATGTTGACAATCCTTCAACTTTATGCAAATAAAGAGCAACTTTCTTAAGCGACATCCATTAGGAGCACCAGTAGATCCTCTCTTAGCTCGATCAGAGGAATGGTTGTATCCTCTGTACTGTATCGACCTACACAGACCTGCATTTGCAGCAGATCGCCACCCAGAGCGACAGGCAGCTACAAAGTCGCTGCTAGTGTAAATGAGGCATAACAGACATCTAAACGTAGACAGCTTGGCTAAAACAAGGCTAAGTTTGGGCTGTCAGTGAAAATTTAAGACATCTATCCAAGATTAGCCCAAAACTAGATTAAAGACAGACTTTATATGTGCAGTCATTCATTTCTGTTCATTTGATGACTAGTCTAGTTTAGGCCGATTCTTAGACGTCTATTAGATTTTCACTGACAGCCCAAATTTAACCTTGTTTTAGCCAAGATGACCATCTTTAGACGTCTATTAGACATCTATTAGACATCTTTAAAAAAAAAAAAAAAGTTTGCTGGGTAATGGCAGTGCTGTTATAGAAATGTACAGTATAGTGTTCTCTAGTGAGCTTCCATCTTTCACCCTGCAGGAAACAATACCAAACAATCAGCAGAGCTACAATGCACGCGAGCTGCGTTCAGGCACAGATTACCTGATCACCGTTATTGCTCAGTATCCAAACAGCTTAGGAGAGTCAGTGTCTGCCAAGGCTCGAACAAGTGAGAACTGCACACAACACAAATATTGGCTCGTCTAATTCAACATCCAGTATCTCCTAAAACAACTCTCATTCTCTCTACTCCAAACCTTTCTCTAGAGCCTCTTTTGGGCGTGACAACACTGCGACTGGTGCGGGCTGGGTTTTTCTCTTTGGCTTTGGCCTGGGATGCTCCAGCTGAGCAAGTACAGGGCTACAGAATCACCTATGGACCTACAGGTGAGATAAGATCCATATGAATGCTATTCAGGGTTCCCTAGCTTCTTGAAAGTACTTGAAAGTGCTTGATTTTCAGACATATGGATTCAAGGCCTGGTACGTACTTAAAAGCAAACATAGGTCCTTGACAATGCTTGAATTTAAAGTTTATAGTGTTATTTCAACAATTGTTCTGTGCTACTTTCAGAAACTGAACGAAAAAATGAATAAATTCTTAATTTAAAGATCTTAAATTTCAATCTTACATGAACTATGACAAATAATGCATTTTAGCAATATTTCAGAAACTGCATTTGAATATTGTCAGGATTGAAGTCAACTAATTGTATTAAAGTTCTTTGACCATGACTTTAAAACGGTTGTTTATAAAGGTCAGCATTTTTAAAAATGACATTAAAAACACCATCATAACATTTTAATGTAAATATTAAGAATAAGTTAAATGTTAAGTACAGGAAGGACTTTCATGCACTATATATGTATTACAAAGGTGCTAGTATTAAAAAACAGTGATTTAAAAGGTCTTTAAATTTGGTGTCCATGAAAGAGTGGGAATACTGATTATTTCATAGTTTCGTAGCATTTCATAGTATTATTTTAACTCTTTTAATAGCAAACCCACAAAGAAATCTGATGTGTGGCAATATATGCAAATTACATACTGTATATTACAGACAAGTTCATTTGTATTTCACGTTTCTAAAATATATGCCATACATGCAACATATACCTAAAAATATTGGAAAAATGGTCGCTTTTATATGTATATATTTTTAACAATTGGATCTACAATTATGCATATAAATATGTGCAAATATATTATCTATAATTTTTTATATGTTTTTATATATAAGAACATATATGAACACACACACATATAATATATTTGAACAAATTTGTACATATAAATAGTAAAAAAAATTATATATATATATATATATATATATATATATATATATATATATATATATAAGCGTCAATTGTTTGAACCTCGAGTTTGTCAAATGTTTTTTTGTTTATGCATGAAAAATGATTAATAAAACAATGATCACACTTTAATATAATTTGCTTACATTTTAATTTAGCTGCCGTCTTTCTTAAATTAATTTTATAAAATAATTCAGCACACAGAGTTTATAAGTTTTCTTAAAGTTTATATAAGTTTTTTATATACATTTAAAGGCAATTCATGTAATTTAAATGACAAAATCCCTATTTTACAAATTAAAGTTGCACATTTTTTTCATTTAATTGCAAACTTGCCATACATTTCCTGTGTACAGTATCTGTTTGCTAAAACAAAATACTACATTTAAAAACAGCACAAGCTCATCTCCTCAAAAATACACAGTAATTTATATTCATGTGTGCTGCAGAAACGGGTAACACACCAAATGCAATGCTTAGGGAGAGGATTTTGAACAAATCCCTTATTCTACGCCTGAGCAGTAACAGTGATTATCCCCTTAGCAAGTGGTGCTAACTAATGATTTTAGCAGTCTGATGAAAAGGAGATGGCAGGGTTGAGAATGTGATTTTTGTTTCCCAAAGGCATTTTTTGTCTATTGCTTAAAGGAGTGCCAGTTTTCTTTTACCTGGTTGGCATCCAGGTATGAGCTGGCATTCAGGGAACAGATCTGTCAGGTTAGGTGTGGCCTTGTCTTTAATAAGGTTAGTTTTTGAAAGCAGAGGAATATGTTTTAACATGTCTGTCTCATGTCTAAAAGCTCAGCGTTTAATGCAAATGAACAGATGCTGAAACACCTATTTAATTTAATATGATACTGTGGAATTCACTGCCTCATATACACTTTTAACATTATTGGGGTTTTTAGAATAGAAAGTCATCATTTGTGCATTTTTATTGGCTACAACAGGACAAGTAAAACAAAAAATCAATGGCAGCTTTACCATGACTAGAACTGTGGAATAAAATATTGCAAGATTGTTTACACTTAAAAAATGTTCTACACAATTCATTTATGTTGTCCCCACACAAATCGATTAAGTTACCTTAACACATTTAAGTGGATTGAACATAAAACAATTAATTTGTCCCAAAATAATCAAAAGAATTGTGTTGTTTAGCTCATTTTAAATAAGTAACAAGCAGCAAAATCATTTTAAGTGTAAAATAGAAGGACAAAGAAGAAGATTTTTTTTTTAGTGTCAGTTTTTTGCATTGGGAAAACTCACATCCCAGCATTAATTAGTACTCGATGACTTAAAGGGCACCTATAATGAAGATCAACTTTTGTAAGCTGTTTGGACAGAACTGTGTGTAGGTATAGTGTGTCCACAGTCATATTGGAGTGATATAAATACAACAAGTCTCTTTTTTTAATTTACTGACGTTAAAATAAGACCCAAATCCTAATTAATTTAAGGCCCACCGCAACCTAATGTAGGATTTTGGTTTTTCCTGCCCACCAAATTGATTGACAGATGCCATGTTTCTATAATAACATGTATACACGTGTCCACATTTTTATGCAGATATTCTGGGATTAAATTATTTGTTACAACTCTCTGTGATTTTTAGCACTCTCTGTGGCATTTTTAAAACGGAGCATATTTGTAATAAAGACAGTATTGGCATTTGTGTGAGATTCATCATTTCAGAAAGGCTTTAATAATCTCCACCACAAATACATGAAATAAACTTGCTTGGTATTTTTGACTAATGAGCTGTATTTCAGCTTCATCCGAGTCTGTGTCTGTCACTGTGATGAAAATCTGATGCAACACATGATGAGAAGCAGACACGCATATTGGAGCGGTGGGCGGGGAGAAGCAGCTCATTTTTATTTAAAGTCACAGGCTACAAAACAGCTACAGTATACTCGGACACCAATATGGGCAGATACTAGATTCTATGATAAATATTCTGATGGGTGTTTTGAGCTGAAAATTTATAGACACATTTTGGAGACACCAAAGGCTTATCTTACATCTTGTAAAATGTGCCATTTAATGCCAAGATAGGTAAACACAAATTGTATGGTTATAAATAAACGTAATATAAAGTCTTTGGCATTTTTACTATGGCTAGAATAGTGGGTTAAATATTAAGAATTGTTAGAAGAGAGAAAGTATTTACCCTCACATTTGTGTATTAGAAACACTCACAAAGCAGCATTAACTAGATCTGTATGATTTGATGCAAAGGTAATGAAACACAAAATTCCTTGTTATAAATGTACATAATATTTTCTAATTAAAAAAATATTGTATTAAGTCATTAAAACATTTTTAAAATAAAATGTGGGGAAATGCTTTTGTCACTTTGTAAAACATAAAACAAAAAGAGGATAACCATGAAAAGAGACCTCACTTTCTCATACAGATTAAAAGATAATGCATCTTTGCTTTTTTTGGCAGCAAGTCTATTGTTGTTGAAGTGTGTGTTGATTCAATAGCTACGGATGAGTTCAGTGAGTTCATTCAGTGAAAGATTTCACAGACAGATTCAAACAAGTAACTCCTGAGTATTCAGTTGACTCTAAGTATATTTTATTATTCAGTTTTCACACTCTTCTTTGCTAATTTATTTCTGTGCTGCAAGCCATAGTTGAAACAACTCTGCCGTTTTCTTGTGCATGGCATAATTCATGATTTGTGTTGTTTGATTGGTTTACAGGTCAGCCTGCTGCACGACTGGAGGAGCAGTCTGTGGGGGCGGAGTCTACTTCGCTGAATTTGCTCGGCCTCAAGTCAAACACAGAATATGCGATCAACTTGTTACCTCTTTTTCCTCGTAACAATGGCTCACCAGCTTCCCTGACTGCCCGTACATGTGAGTCCTCATGAGCTACCATTTAAAAGTTTGGAATTGATTAGATTATTTTATTTTTAAAGATATTAATACTTCTGCTCAGCAAGGAAACATAAATGTATTAAAGATAGACAGTGGAGTTTTTAAAATGCTACAAGATTGAGATTTCATATAAATGCTGTTCATCACAAAAAAAGTATAACAGCTTTTAATGAAAACTGAAGCTGCACATTATAGCAACAAATAAGAGTATTACAATTTAGATCATTTATTTGCAGCACATGACAATAATGCATTATAAAATATTGCTTGTTTTCAGCCCTTAAATATAAGGATAAAAATCTGAAGGTCTTTAAATTATCAATAAACTATATATTTTGATTGTAAAAAAAAAAAATAGGATAAATGATAAATATGATAAAATGCTTAAAAATGAAAATAAAATGACAAAAATTCTTTCAAACGTCACCACTAGTTAAAAACACAAGAAGAAACACAAATCTTTACTCAAAATAGCCTAGTCAGCATTAAAAATATATATATTTTAAAATATTTAAAAAAGAATAAAGGGAAATCCAGAAGAATGATAATAAAATATATGTCTTTGTGTCTATGCCTTTTCTCTCCAAAAGTTGTGAGTGTTACAAATGTACCTTAATTTTAAAGTAAATATTTACTTATTTAAACTAGGGCACTGAAAAAAAAGTCTTTCAACTCAACTCAACTTACTTTATTTCTATAGCACTTTCACAAATCACAATGGATTACTAAAGTGCCGTACATAAAAACAAATAAAAAAGCATGTAAAATATACATAAAACCAAAATACATAAACTCACATCACATGATTAAAAGCTAAAGAAAATAAGTGTGTTTTCAGTGACCTCTGAAAAGACTCAAAAGTTTGAGTTGTTCTTACAGAGAGTGGGAGATTTTTCCAGAGTCTTGGAGCTGCTACCGAGAAAGCTCTATCACCTCGACGTTTTAAGCGTGATTTAGGAACTTGCAAATAGAGACATTTAAAGTAGATTTTTGGATTGAATGAAGTAAAAACGTATAGCTTCTAATGATAACCTGTTTTATTCAATTTGCTTTAAAGAAAAAAAAAAAAACTTATAGGAAAACTTTGGAGCATTAGTTTTATCAAAACAGTATTTTTACTTTAAACTAGCTGTTTTTATGTCATGTGATCACGACATCATTTCCTGACCAGATAGTGTTTTGCCAACTGTCATTACTCGATTCAAATGTGAAGATGGACTGTGGCCAAAGTACTGTAAATCTGGTTTATAAAAGGTAAACATTCAAAATCTTTTTCATGTAATGTAATCTGTTGTTTTGTCCTAATCATCACCTACATTTTAGAAACATGTTCCCATTTATGCCACATTGCGGCAACCACATTCATTTATTCATTCACTTTCCTTCAGCTTAGTACAGTGTTACAGTAGTTTTTCGGTAGGATCAAAGTATCATTTTTTTCAGTGAGGAAATCACACACTTTTACGAAAAATCGTAGTGTTCTTTTGTCTACATTGTCTCCTCCTCCATCATTGAGGTTTACATGCTTATTTGTCAAGTCTTCAATGTTTACAGTGCCATTAGAGGGAGTGCAGCAGCTCTCAGTTGAAACCATCTCAACAAGCAGCGTTCGAGTTCGCTGGACAGGAGTGACAGGAGCCAGAGCCTATAGAGTCGTGTGGGGCCCTTTCACAGGTCTAGCATCCATACTCATTTTTTTATATTACATTATTTATTAACATTCTTAAACAATACATCACTCAACAATAAGGATTTTATAGTAGAAGCTAAATTGTTTTTAATAGATTTCACTTCTTTAATAGAGTTTTTTTTGCCTGTGCCCCTTTCAGGAAATGATGTAGAGACTGTAGAGCTGAGAGGCGACAGTGAATCTCATACTCTGGGGAATGTGAGACCAGACACAGAGTACATTGTTACAGTCATCGCTCTTTACAATGGAGAAGCTGAAGGACCTGCAGCCACTACACGTTTTAAGATAGGTATACAACACATCCACTGCTAATATCAAAGTGGAGAAAAATATGTATCAGTTAAACTTTTTGAAAAGGATTCACTGATATGGAAATTATTACTGAAGTATTTATAAAGACATATAAAGATATAGCAATATGTCTTTAAATCACTGATATCGCAATGTGTGTATCCGCAATAGTCACATTGCAGGATTATATGACATATAAAAGATTAAATGATAAAAGATATTGTTATTTTTTATTATTTATACAACGATGACCATGGTATTTTACACTTGATTGTTCAATTTCTAAACTTGAATGCTGTTAGACTCTCCAGAAACCCATAAAGCAGTGTTTATTTATTTATTTGTTTATTTAATAATTATAATGTATGCAAATGCACTGCGTAGAAAAAGTCTTGGGGCCTCATGTATCAATGCTGCGTACGCACAAAAACTTTGCATACGCCAGGTTTCACGCTCAGAATCGCTCACGTTTGGATTTACTAAGGATGAAATGAACGTGGGAATGTGCGCAGCTCCACGCCAGCTTCATGGCTGGCGTACGCACATTTTTTGTGCGTGTCTGTTTTATTTCCATTGGCGACTCCTAGAGGCAGTTGTGTTAAATTGCACTCTACAAAGTGTCTTTGAGCCGTGCTATGGCAGCTGTATGAGACGGGTTCATCTAGCAGGTTTATAAGGTTTCCACACCATACAGTTGACCAGCCATACATTAAAGTGCAATTTGCAGCAGTCGGGTTGTAAGAATGAGTTCATCTGATGCTGGATTCGAACCGAGTTCATGCTCGAGCGTGTCAAAACATGTTACGAGCTGCGCCACTGAGACTATTAAGGCTACTACAACATTTACACCTATAAATCACACTATTTCTCTTTTAACTCCACAGTGCGATGTTCAGACTTAACTGTGTTAACCGCATTAGCTAAACTCTCCCACTCTATTTTTTTCTTTTGTTGTTAATTCCGGAGGACAAACTTGCAAATAACACAGTTTTTCTCCGGTCTACCTCGGAAAGCAGCACCTTCAATTCACATTCTGTTCAAAGTTTCTCTTTTTGCTTGATTTTGCAATTGCTTTTTCATTTGGTTTTTGCCAAAATAGAGTCATTAGCATATTCATACGGGGGAGGAGGCAGGGAGGGGTTTTGTGCTCGTGCATGTTGCGCTCAGTTTTACGTTCATTCGAATGTACAAAAGAATATTTTCGGTGTACGCAGTGTTTCATACATCTGCATTTTCTTCTGCGTACGCACATTTACAGCTTTGTGCGTACACAATGTTTTAGTAGGATTTCCACGCAAGTCTTCGTACATGAAGCCCTTGATCATCCCAGTCAATCTAAATGAATTAACTATTTTTGTATAGAGCTATTCAAATCATCTGGCAAAGTTATACTCATATCGCAATATATGTATGGCAGCAAAACACAATATCACAATGTTGTGCATGCAATGTTATCAATGTTATCTGCTTGCAGACAGCCAGTGTTCATGCATTCAGTCGAAGATATACAGATGGTTTTGTGCAGAGAGAAATTTAAGACAGCACAACAGGAAACAAGATGCGTGCGAGACGTAAAAAGAGCCACACATTTATCATACACAGACAGTGAGATGTTTGCTTTTAATCTTGCCATTGACTCACTGTCTGCTAAATCAGAACAGTTTTTTTCTCTTTATGACTCACGGACTGCACAGCTGAATGTGTTATTTGTATATGTGTGTACATGTTAGAGCGATAGACTGAGAGGAAAGAGGGAGCAACTGTCTATAAATATAACAGGATATAAACTTCAGAACGATGGAAGGCATTGTTTTAATATTTTATAGGACTGGAGGGGAGATAAAGCTGAGTTATGATTAATGCATTTGGCTTTCAGAACGCTCAGAGCAACAGGTCCTGAGAGCTACGACTACTGGACCCACCAGCATCACATTGAGCTGGAACCTCATACAGGCTGCCAGAGGCTACCGACTGGAATGGAAAGTGGGAGAGAGTAAGAAACTTTTTTGTAATACATGCAAACACTGTAAAATTTACCAGCATTTTACAATATTTAGCTGTTTTTGTATTGTGCCACACTGCATTCGGATTATTTTCTGTTAAACATTACTGTGGAAAAATAGCCATATGCATTTTGGGATGATTATGGTAATTTATGCTACATTTTTTCACAGCAAGCGTGATTTTGTTGAGCAACACAAATTGCTGCTGTGTAACATGGAAAAGAAAGCCTGACCAATCTGATCTGATTCAGTCCCATGCAAATATCTAAAACATGGAAACAGATGCAATTTGGAGATATATGACATATATATGACATATACAAAAATGCCTGCTTACATGTATATTCTTTTATCCAGTGGAAATACAAATATTCACATATATATTACGATATATATTTAGTTGAAGTAAAAATTATTAACCCTCCTATGAATTTTTCAATTCTTTTTAATATATTTCCCATATGCTGTTTACCTGAGTGATTTGGCTTGTTTTGTAGACAATAGAAAAATAAAATATCTTAGGGGAGCTAATAATATTGACCAGCCAAACTATAAGGAATGCCAAACTATAAGGAATGAGTCTTTCCCTAGAAGGAAACAATTTAAATAAACTAAAATACTGAAACTGTTTGGTCTGATAATACATGATTGATAAAGAATACAAAATTCATGTATGGCCATAAATGAACACATACAGTTGAAGTCAGAATTATTAGCCCCCTTTTGATTTTTTTTCTTTTTTAAAAATTTTGCAAATGATGTTTGACAGAGCAAGGAAATTTTCACGGTATGTCTGATAATATTTTTTCTTCTAGAAAAGGTCTTATTTGTTTTATTTTGGCTACAATAAAAGCAGTTTTGAATTTTTAAAAAACTATTTTGGGGCAAAATTATTAGCCCCTTTAAGCTAATTTTTTTTTCGATAGTCTACACAGAACAAACCATTGTTATAGAATAACTTGCCTAATTACCCTAACCTGCCTAATTCACCTTATTAACCTAGTTAAGCCTTTAAATGTCACTTTAAGCTGTATAGAAGTGTCTTGAAAAATATCAAGTAAAATATTATTTACTGTCATCATGGCAAAGATAAAATAAATCAGTTATTAGAAATAGGTTTTTAAAACTATTATGCTTAGAAATGTGTTGAAACCATCTTCCCTCCATTAAACAGAAATTGGGGAAAAGAATAAACTGGGGCGCTAATAATTCAGGGGGGCTAATAATTCTGACTTCAACTGTATATAAAATGATAGCTAATATATTTGGACATAATATATGTGTGTGTGTGTGTGTGTATATATATATATATATATATATATATATATATATATATATATATATATATATATATATACATGCATACATACATACATACATATACACACAGCAGAATGAACATGCCCTTCCACCTGCAACCCATTACTTGGAAAACCAAGCTTTAATATATCATAATAAAATAAGACTTATGCTAAATAATAATAAGAATGACTACATTTTGTAGAGGAATAACAAAGCTATCTGTGCATAGGAATAATATTTTTATTTACTTTCCTTGGCGATGATGTAATGATGGTTAAATAATGACGTGTTTATTTTTAGCTGTGCAAGGCTTTGATTAAAATGGTGTTGTCAAAATAAGAGTTTGATCAAAAGTTTATGAGAACTGAAAGGCTACAGTGCTTCCCGTTTTATTCATAAATTTCAGACTAAAAACTGTACAAAAGGTGAATTACTTGTTGGCAAAAATTGATTGCACCGGATCAGTATGTCATGTGGCGGGGAGTGGTCGTCCATGCACTGCCCATACTCCTGAAAATATCACCACTGTCGAAGGCTTGGTACTGAGCCAAGAAGATGCACCACGCACTCATTGCACTGTTCGACAGATTGAGAGTCTGGCAATTAATGACTCTGATATGTAAATTTTGCTTTATTTCTGTGCGTGCTAATTAAGTCTGAAGTAAGAAAACTCAAGCGTTCTGTCAATATTTGGGTTATCGTTATTTAACAAGGTATTGCAGTCATAAAAATGAGGTGAGGTGGAAAACATTTACATATCATATAATTTCATCTATTTGTCATCTAATTACACAATATAATTACAGTTGGAGGTATATTAACAAAATTCTGACAGAATTAATTTTGCTTGGATTTTTTGAGACAAGGTGTATATATACGTTTATATCCAAATATGAACTTGTATGTCACAGATGTAATTAGCATATGTTTCCATATCTTGATTTCTATGTTGGGTATAAGCAGATTATAGAAAAAAAGAATGTTGTATATGTGCAGTGCAGTTTACCATGGATAAACTAAGTTTTACGCATTACAAAATAAGTTGCTAAAGGTGACGACAGCAGCACTGAAATAAAGCAAAAAACAATAGCTGTAGAAACATAGTCTCATATTTTTTGTGATTTTTCTGATGACAGGAGGCAGAGTTCTAAAGCAAGAATTCCCACAAAGCACCACCAAATACGAACTCAGAAATCTACAGCCGAACACAGAGTACATTATAACGCTATTCACACTCTACGATGGACGAGAGGAAGCTACTTTCTTTTCAACCAAATCAACAGGTCAGAAGCACTATAGTGAAAAGTGTTCATTCACAAAACCTACACAATTTTCTTTCAGTTCTTACTACAATATATAATCACAATATTTTAGTTAATAGACCACTGACAACTTTTCAGGATTTTTTAATGTCCCAAAGCAGCTACATGAAAGTCCAACTGGTGTGCGTTTCCTGTGGGATACCTTGCTTTTAAACTACCATCACACGATACATCCTTGGAGAAATGAACAACTGTTGCCCAAATTGAAAAGAGTATTGAAAGAGTTCCATCAGCAATTGGTAGAGTGGTAACATCATCTAATAATAGTTTGATTTCAGAATAATGTCAGTTTGTTGTAAATAACAAGCACGACATCGAAGCACTGCCATGCTGTATATGTACATGCACACTCCTTAAAAATGGTTCTTTACCTCTTGTAACAAATTAAAAGACGCAGAATGAATTTTGTATATGCATGGATGTATTTTACATGAATTATTTAAACCCAGTTGTGTTTTTAAGATGAAAAACTCTGCCTCTAAACAACATCCAAGAGCTGTTGTTCAAACCACACACGGTTGTGATGCTGCTGGCGAAATGTTTAACTGTAAAAGTATAGATTTGGAAAACCACGTTGGAATCAATGTTGGTAACAATGGAACTTGCAATAATAGTTATATTTACATTTAAATATGTAAATATACATATTTACACTATGGCATATTTACACTATGGCGTACTTACACTATGTACAGTTGCCTTGAACCGGGCTGAGGCACGCTTGTCCTCCCTCCTGTCTCCCCTCATGGCCAATGCTTACATTGCATTCTAGCCTAAGCACACTTACGTCATCGATGATGCGCTGTTCAGTTTAACAGAAGAGAAGCGCTCTCGCTCAGCACAGTGGAGATTTCTTTAGTTATATCTTTTTAGTCGTTTGGGATGCGGTGACACGCAGTCAAATATTTCGCCGAATAGATCAGCCACTTTTAAAGCTCATAAACAATCATAAGGTCCTCGTGCTGCAGGAATGAGGAGGTTTGCTGGATGCAGTGGTCGTGCAGTGAGGGGTTTGCGTCATTAATAAACTACGACAGTTTGCGTTCATTAAACAGTAAGAACGATTAATAAATCCTTATGAACAGTCCCTTAAAAGTCACATCTCGTCTTCAGTTTCAGCCCAAGTGAACCACACTCTGACACACCTCTTTCAACCGAGCCTGAGCCACACCTGGGCTTGATTCAGAGCACTCACACTTCTCAAACAATATCGGAAATTGGCCTGGGCACGATTCAGATAGCATAGTGTAAGCGTCCTTACAGTTGAATAGGCATTCAGCAATTCAACAAGAAGAGGCAATACACACAAGATGTGCTAATTATACAACGGAACTGTCAGTACTCAGAGAATTTAGTGCTAGAGTAAGGAGAGGGAGGGATGTTTCATTATTGAGAGAAGAGTGCTTCTACAGGTGATTTGTCAGGCCTGTGTGAAGCATACAAACAAGTTGGCTTATGAAGATTTTGAGAAGCACACCCCTGAGAATCATGTTATCTAGTATGACTTGAAAATGATACAGAGAGCATAATAATAATAATAATAAATGCATTTTATTTGTAATAAGCTTTTTGTTTGTAAGTGCTACAGTAAACAATGGGGTACAGTATGTGAACATCTAATGTTTTTCACCCACTGATAAACTTCCTGTGAAATGTGACTTTTTTAATTTCATACTGTTCCTTTTACAGCATCGATATTTTAATGTAATTAAAATATAATTACTTAAATAGACTAAAGGATTTATTGAGTTGTTCAAGCGTAAAATGAGATGAAAAGCTATTTAAAAGCAAACATCGCCAGGAGCAGCAGGCGAGCACTGAATTTGCTTTGCAAATGCTGAGGTAAAATACATTTCTGTATTACATATGTATGGCATGGAACAATAGAATTTAATGTGATGCTTCTTGTACAGTCTGAGAGCCACTTTATATTGTAAATCAATCAGGCAGTGAAGATCAATTTTTTTTTTTTTTTGAAAATAGACATTAAACACTGTAATTTTGTAACGCAGAATTAAAAGTCATTGTGAGTATACCCCATTAGATATAAAACAATACAAAATAGTACAAAATCTACCATCAATTAAAAATATATAGCTTATATAAATATATATAGCTTGTATAGATGTGTCTTAGTCAAATATTTTAAGTTATCCAAAGTTGGTGCATTTTGGATAATAAAAGCAAGTGCATTCCATAATTTGGGGGGCTTTGAATGAAAAGGCATATTCCTCTTTAGTGGAAGCAATACAATGATAACTTTTGTTCTTTTGTCTCCTGTATATATAATGTAGATGCAGAAAACCTCCCAAAACAAAACAGTTTGGGCTTAATTTTCCAGGATGTGACTAAACGATTTGTTTTTGTTTCTGTCTCCCCTGCTTTTCATGTAAATGTTGACATGTGGATTGTGTTGAGCAGAGCAGTCAGTCGGTCCTGTAACAAATCTGAGGGTGGTGGATTCACTTGGAAACATTATACGCATAGGATGGACAGGAGTCACTGGGGCAACGCAGTACGACATCATCATACTTAATACAGAATGTGAGAATATTATTAATGTGTCTTTCTGTTTATGTACTAAAACAGTATAACAATATAGCAAGAAAGTGTTACGTTATAATATATTGATATTGAAGAATGTGCCAATGTAATGTAGATTCAATCAGCTGACCCATTTTTTTTACAGCGAATACAGAGGTGAACAGAAGAGTTCCTGGCAATCAGACCACCTTTGAGCTTCGGGACCTTGAGGATGATGTGCGCTATGCTGTCAGCGTAACACCACTAGTTGGCTCAAAAGAGGGAGAGCAAGCAACAGTGTATATCAAAACAGGTGAAAACATCAAGGTTATTATTTTAGTAAACTTGAAGTAAAAATAAGACTAAAACTGTTGGTCATTTTGTTCATTGAAATAAAATATAAAATTCACAATAAATGAAAAAGGTAAAACTAAATAAAACTAGCAATATTAAATGAAAAACCTAAGTATTATTAAAGACTAATTATCTAAAATAAATTATACTTTTCAGAATGCATAAACACTCATACTAGCCTGTGTCTGTTCAAAGAATTACCTGTAGGTGGCGCTTTTACTGCCAAACACATCAGTCAAGCTCAAGAAATTATACAAAAAAACAAACAAACATCTTTTTCTATAAACAATAGATAAATTCTTTAGGCTCGTCTGATGTTGGTCTTTTAACTGCTCAGTCTGCGCAGCTAAAATCTATGGGAGATCGGGCATTCTCTTCATTGGCACCAAAATTGTAAAACTCTGTACCCTCTGATATTCGCAATGCAGAATTCCTGAGTATTTGTAAATCATCTTTTAAACTTACTTTTTAATGATAGCTTTTATATGATTTTTAGAAATATTATTATTATTTTGTGTTTTTTAAAGAATTTTTTATTACATTTTCTTTGCATTCATCCTTGTGTCTTTTACTACTGCACGTTTTATGTCTGTAAAGTGCCTTGACATGCTACTTTTAAAGGCGCTTTATAAAAATAAAGTTTTTAATTATATTAATATTATTATTATTATTATTATTATTATTATTATCATTATTATCATTATTATTATTATTATCATTATTATTATTATTATTATTAATTCTGCCTTCATACAATTTCTTTATAGGCACGTTTAACTGCATAACATGAAAATATTTAGGACCACAATAAAAATTATGTAATGGCTTTTATCTTCGACAGTTTTTGAAATGTGTCTTATTGGACTTGTTTGTATATTGTTTTACTGTACTTACAAACAAACTTTAATTTGAGTTGATCTTTGATTTAAAGAAGTCTGTCTGAATTATTCATCATTTTTACTTTCATTCATTGCGTCTGTATGGTTTTGGATTCAATGTTTGCTTAAACATATATTTGTAACTTTTACTACTAAGGGGTGTGCCCAAGAGTTAATGTAAGCTGTGCAAACACTAAACATAGCTTTGGCCAACACTGGATGGTTCTTTTAACTCAGATTATTAAAACTGAAACTGAATATTCATTCATTTTCTTTTCGGCTTATTCACTGTCCCTGTGAGGTGATCTGTGAGGTGATCATGCTACCCACTGCGCAACCGTGACGCCACTAACCTAAATATATAAAAACTAAATAAAAACTAAACTAAAACTAACAAAACCATTAATGAAGCAAACTAAAACAAACCTAAAATGTACATAAAGTTTGAAAATAGTTTTGAAACAGAAGCTAATTTAAAATGGCTAAACTGTAATAACCTAGGAAAGCATGCATAATTATTTTTTAACTATCTACAGATAAAAAACTGATACTGTGCTACATTATTAATGTCTGAAAATACCTGCTTCTAACTGAATGTAAAAAAACAGAAGCACCATTGCGGGTGACCAACTTGCGGGTAGTTGGGAGCAACAGTCGGAGAGTCAGGATCGCATGGACTGGTGTTTCTGGAGCCACAGGCTACCGGATTACCTGGAGGCAAAGCAATAGTAGGTGGACCGACAGTTTTTCGATATGAGAACTTATCATTTGTATATTGGTTTTAATTAGTCAGCTGTTTTCTCTTTGTCTTTTAGCTGCAGATCAGTTTCGTGTTGTAGGTGCCGATATCACCACCTATACTATAGACGGCCTGCAGCCAGATGACACTGTTGCTGTGGGTGTTGCCCCAGTGGTTGGCGGGCGGACTGGAGAAGCAGTCTCTGTGTCTGCTAGAACCACTGGTACCACTGGATTAGTCACAGGGTTAAGAGTTGCTGAGGTAACATCTGGAAGGATACTAATAGCATGGACTCCTGTGAATAGAGCTACAGGCTATAAAATCATCTGGCGTCGTAGTGATGGTATGAACGGTGTTAACTTTACAGCCCTAAATTTATGCTGATGGAAGTTCAATTTTTATTTTGCTGTTTTATTTGATATATTTTAGGAGTGGAAGACTCTGAGAATGTATCCTCTGATGTGGCTTCCTATACCATTGAAAGACTCCAGGAAGGTGCCGCCTACCAAGTGTTAGTCTCAGCTCTTTTTAACTCACGGGAAGGACCAGCTGCCACTGTGACTGCAAGGACAGGTTAGAGTTTATTTATTTAGGAACAACCGATCACCAACATTCTAGATATGTTCACATGATTTTGTTTAGAATTTCTTTTTACACAATATTAAATTTGAATATTTCTACAGGTTACTTAACATTAAACAATCATGTACTTTAAACACAGCAAACGTTTTACATCCTAATTTCCCTACCATCACTCTATCCACCACAAAAAAAGGGGGGAAAAATGCATTAAAATAAAATAAATAAACCTAAATCAAAAGAATAATAAATGAAGCAGTAATATAAAAAACTAAAATAAAAGTAATAAAATGTTTTTTTCAAACATAATTAAATGGCACCTATTTTACCCCCATACTTAAAATTTAAGATAAGTCTTTTGTGTCTTCAGAATGTGTCTGTAAAATTTCAGCTCAAAACACCCATCAGAAAATGTTTTATTTTACATTTTTAAATCTGGGAAATTTGAGCTGTTATGGCCTTGTAGCTGTTTTTGTTGCCTTTGCCTTTAATGTGAGTGAGCTGGTTCTCCCTGCCCACCATTCCCACAAACCGTAGCCTTCACATAACATAAACAGCACAGTGACAGACAAGAATGTAGCAAATCTCCCTTACTACAGTAACTTTCCCACAGTTATTTGATATATTTGTTGTGGAGTTATTTCAAGGCTTACTGCAATGAGTCACACAATATCGTTATAAAGTTTGCCCGCCTGCATGCGCACACACATACACGTTTAGTTTTTACATGGCAAATGTGATGACAGGATGCAGGTTAATATCCACTGCTGTGAGGACATCCGTTATCTTAATGTACAAAACAAACCCGATTTAATGCCCACAAACCGGGATTGACGCGTCTTCTTTATAATTGCACTCAAATGTGGCTGTTGTGATGAATTACGTAGCGATTTTACTGTCCTCATTACAACATGCATGGTTTTAAAAATGATTTAAACTTGTAAAACTCATTTTTGATCACATTTGATGATGATTGCTGATAATAGAGAGCTGGGGCATCACTCACGATTCTCTACAAAAACATTTTCTTTGATAATATATTTAATATTTTCCATTGACAGATTCTCTGCCATTTTTGGATACATTTTGAACAATTTTACAGACAATATGAAATTAAAAATATACATATTTATTGCACATTATTTGTTTATATTTTGTATTTTAATACAGTTGTTCTCGTTTTTTTTTAAAGAACCAAAACACTGACAATATAACATCATCCACTATGCTACTTTGATACAAATTGTCAGCACCAACTGTTCCAATACACTAAACACGGATGATTTCTAGTAGTTTATTGTAAAAAAATATTAATTTAAAAGTAATTTCAAGAAATTTTGCATCTCCAATTCACTTTCTTTCTTTAAGAACCTGCTGTGTTTAAGATTATGAGAGGCACTTTTTGGTTTGGACATATTCTGCTCAAAAAGACAGAAACAAAAAACCTACCAAGCTCTTTCACTAGGATATATATATAACACAATAAATAAAAGAAGAGACCATCAAAGTTTCTGGTTCATCTCGACTTTAAAGTTTAGTCAATTGCTGAGCTTCCAGCATAAAAAAAGTCTTTTTTCTCTTCTTTAGATCAGGCTACAGTAGGTCGAGTCACCAATTTACAAGTACTTGAGGCCCAGGGGGAGGTTGTTCAAGTCAGCTGGGTTGGAGTTCAAAATGCAACATCATACAGAATATTCTGGAGGAGGACAGATGGTGAGATCTTAGCATTTTCAAGTCAATTCTCACATTGTTGTGTATTATATGGCATTTTCTATATTATTTAGATTTTTTTGCTAATATTACCACATTTCATCTTACTGGCTTAATAAAAATGTTTTTTTTCTGAGGGTTTGTGACCTTTGTGATCGCAACTTATAATCTGTGGATGCTGAAAGTTCGAAATTAAATCTGGACCATGATAAGAAGCATTAAGTGTGTGTTTGTAGGTGGAGAGGAGAGGAATCAGCTGGTTGGGGGAAACGTGACATCAGTGGATCTGAGACAGCTGGATCAAGGGGCACAGTATGAGGTGAAGGTTCTGGCTCTTGTCCAAAACAGAGAAGGTCCGCCGGTTTCTGTCAGGGTCACTACAGGTGAGTGCTGTTTCTAAGAGAGGTTTGTTTAATATTTATATATAATATATTAGCCTCTAAGTGCCATCTGAAATTTTCTGCTAAAATGAGCACTTTTCTCAGCTCCTTGTCTGTGCGTTCAGTAATTATACTTTTATGGAAAAGTGAATATGTTCCTTTTAATGTCTTTAAAGTGAAAAAGCTGAACATAAACATTGGAAACTGAGAAAAAATGCTCAGTTTAAAAGAGAGTTTCAGACGGTGCTTGAAGGTTTTTGGATATGAATTCTTCACATATACAGTTGACATCAAAATGATTAGCCCTTATAAATTTTTCTTGGTCTTCTTCAAATATTTACTATGTGTTTTTCAAGGAAATGTTCACAGTATTTCCTATAATATTTTGTTTTCTAGAGAAAGTCTTATTTCATATCACTTATTACTTTGGCTTGAATCAAAGCATTTGAAACATCTTTTTAAAGTAGTTTTAAGGTCAATATTAATGACTTATGCTTAATAATTCTAACCTACCTAACTAACAAAATAAAATAATAAGATATCGGAGGTCAATCGATCGGTCATTCAGTCAGTTATTCAGTCATTCAGTCAGTAAAACAGTCAATCAACAGTAGCCTCTGGTGGATTTACATGAGAACAGCATATGAGAATGGCACTCGCGAGAGACGTTTAGATCTTAAAAAGCGAACACAGCGGCTTGTAGTGCATTCGCAAAAACAAAAACTGAAAAACATACCTCCTGGGTTATATCTGGCACTCTCCAGAAATGTATATACCGGTACGTTTTCAGAATGAGCCTGGGTTAAAAATAAGATGTACTGCCATCATCGGAAAGAAACAAGAAATTATTTATTAGAATTTAGTACTTAAATCTATTATGTTTAAAAACACGTTAAAGAAATGTTTACTTCATTAAACAGCACTTGGGGAATATTTTTTAAATATTAATTAATTTTTAAATATTAATTTTAAATAATAAATATTGAAGTCAAAATATTTTTTTTTTTATTTTGACTTCAACTGTATAAGTACTGTATATAAACACTATTAGGATCTGTTCAAATTTAAGAGAGACCTTTAATGTCCTTTTACTGTCTAGGGGGACAGAGAGTCACAAGAGTAGAGGATTTGCGCGTTTTGGACTCATCTCCAGGAAGGCTGCGTATAACCTGGAGGGCAGTGAGTGGAGCCAGCTCGTATCGAGTGTACTGGAGGTCTTCACAAGGTAGCTAAAAAGACACATGTAAACAGACACAAAAGACAGAGAGCTATATTCATGTTGTTATTTTGCTTGCGTTGACTAGGTGAGCCTGAAACAAGTCGTCTGATTGGCAGCGATGCAACTTCATATACTCTCGATGGATTGCGTCCTGGTTTGAGCTATACCGTAAGGTTCTCTGCTCTGCTGAACGGTGTGGAGACTGAAGCTACCAGCATTAGAGTATCTACTGGTAAATAGACTACTTTTTATTTCTTATTTTGTCTTTCTGTCCTTTTAAACTCTTTAAATAATGATTTCTGTCTTCATTCCAGATGCTCTGCCTCCTGTGACAGGTTTAAGTGTGACAGACAGCACTGAGAACTCAGTCCTTTTAGGCTGGTCACCAGTACCCGGGGCAACAGGTTATATTTTACGCTGGACAGAGGTAGAAGGTGAGACTTCTCAAGATACAGCACACTGTTAGACATTTCAAAGGGTTTTTACAGTAACTTACTGGCAACACTGTTGCCAGTAAGTTACTGTATTTTAGATTTACAGTATACAACTGTAAATCCGTTTACAGCATGTTACTGTAGTGTCTGAAAATGGTTAACTACTGTAAAAACCTAAGTTAACAGTTAGCTACTGTAAACCTTTTAATTTTGTCCTAAATATTTTATAATATTATTTTATTAATATTATTTTAATACTATAGACCTAAAAAAGACACAATTACAAAATATTAACAAAATAAACACTCTTTATTTAAAACATTGGAGATGCTTAAAACAAGCTTAAAAATGTGTAAAAACATTACATTTCAATCATTCAAAATATTTTATTTTAAGAAAAAAAACATTGAAAATGACAAAGCACATTAACATACATGTACAAAACTAATTTAAGTGTCTGACCTGCGTATTGTTGAGAAAAAAAACCCCAATTGTACTAAGTACTACTGACATTAAACCAGACACAATTACAAAATATTCCATTCTTTAAAACATTAATAATGCTTAAAGCATTTAAGGAAAATGTGTGAAAATTACATTAAGCAATAAAATCAACACATTAAAAATAAATAAATCACACAAAGCACTAGAACATACATGTACAATAAAAATTTAAACTTCTGAATTGCATATTGTTGGAAAAATAAATATTTGTAACTATTAGCCGACTCAGAAACAACCCAACTTTAAAATATTACTAATTCTGGTGTCAAATGCTCAACAAGGTCTGAATTCACATGTTCAAATGCAGTTCATCTTTATTTCTATTGCACTTTTACAATGTAGATCAATGATGTCAAAGCAGCTTAACATAGAAGTTCTTGTAAATTGAAGCTGCTTCAGTCCAGTTTTCAGAATTGAAGCAGTAAATGTCACTGCTGAAAGTCCAAACACTGAAGAGCAAATCCACCGATCCACCAATCGTAGCCAAGTGATCCAGTGGCGACAGTGGCATGGAAGAAACTTCACCAACTGACGAAAGTGTAGAATAAAAGCCCTTGAGAGATACCAGGCTCAGTTGGGCACGACCAGTTCTCCTCTAGCCAAACTTGTGCAAGGCCGCAGTCTAGGCACCAGAGGCTTGAAAGTTCACCAGCGGGTGGTCAGGCTGGCCCATTGGATCAATGCGGAAACTCATTGATCACGTGTGTCTTTTAGGATTCACTCCTCCATGACCACCACAGCATCTGGTCAGGATTTGGCCCAGTCCAGGATTATGAAGAACTCTGGATAAGGACAAACAGACTAACATAAGCATAGAAGAAGCTTGTATAAAAAAAATAATAAATCATATACTGGTTAATTATTTTGAAGCATGGCAGCTAGGTTGGGCTAGTTTTCAGCTGGTACTGAGCAACTGGCTCCTGCTCATAACCTGCTCACTACCATGTTTAAAAGATAACTAACCAGAATGTCCTGTTTATTTTTTCCCCTAACAAGGTTTTACAAAAACATTGTAGCATTTGTGATGGGTTGATTCACTGCAGGACAGATTAGACTATTTGTTTTATGTATTCCTAATAAACTAAAACAGACTGAATACTGATACAACTATTGAGAGTGTCTCACCTAATCCAAGTTCTCAGTTAGCTGGTGAAAGAAGGATAACTCACTGTTGTTCATGGTTGTCATTCACTACTTCTCCTGCCTTCTTCTGGCTCACTCTGGTTGTTGCTGTGCATTTTGTTTCATCCTCTGGAATTATTTATACAAAAATTTTTATTATTTTATTTAATATAATAATATTTATTATTTAATATTACAAAATATTTAGGCAACATGAAATGGGGAAAAAGACATTTAATACATAGACAAATGCATGTATCCCAATACTAATTATTGTATTTTGAAATGTCTGACCCATGACAGACCTCAATCTGCTCAAAAATATTATAAACAAAGATGAAAAAAAACCCTACTAAATGGTTTAATAAAAAAGGGAAAAAGATTTTTTATTTAGCTAGCAACTAAACATGTGACACATTTTGTATTAAAAGTAATGTTACTATATTGAGAAACAAATAGATGTACAGTACTTACTGTTGTATGAGGTCCAGTTTGCACAGGCAGGCTCCCAGTATTCTATATTGAGACCATAAAAAAGCCAAAAATACAGATAAGAATACCATGCTACAATCCACAACCTCCACACAACTTTTTTTTTATTTGTTTACCTTGGTTGCTTACTGGTCTTGCTTATTTTTTAAGCATAAGGCTGTGCTGATCAAGATGTTCCTCCGAAATGCTGTTTGTTTCTTCAGACAAAACCTGGTGCTGTGCTCGTGCCATATCTAAACAGAAAAAAATATAATGGTAACAATTATGTTAAACCAAATGTCAAGAGTTGTGATAAAAAAATAATTAGCAAACAATAAATAGCAAAAAGGTGGTTATTAGCATAATGCATAGAGGTAAAGTTGGTTTTATATTAGCAGATTCAGACTTCCCCCTTAATAATTTAATTTCATAAAAGTATTATTTGCAAACTCTAAATAGTGAAATCATTTTAGCAGCTAATGACTATCAAAGTACAACATGCTCACGGTCAAATAAACAGTGTTAATGTTGATTTCAAGTCATACTGGCATGCTAATTCTGATCGAATATTCAAAGTAACATGGTAAACAGTATAACGTAAGAGTCTTCTAAATGAACGAATGTGCGAATATAAAACCAACTTTACCTCTATGCATATTGTAACGTTATAGATTTACGTTAACGTTCTTATAGGTTACGTCGCGATGTTATTTTCTCAAGCTAACGATATAAGTTACTCTAAACCAGAGAAAAATAAGTTCACAACATCTAATATATATAAAGTATAAATCAATATAAGTTAAACGTTGCACGTTAAAATGAGTTTGAGTCCAATTCAGTATAAACTTAGCTCAGTTTAGCTAACAGTTAACATTACCATTTTAAGATCGCTTCAGCCAATGTTGCCGAGCAAACATATGCTAATAGAGGTGCTCAAATCAATGTCGAGTGTTGTCAGCACAGACAGACGCACTTTTACCTGGATTATTTGTTGGTCTTTCATTCATATTCTTCTGGGGGAAAACACTCTCTGCCGGACCGTTGTCTCGTGCTAAGTGTCCTCCAAAACTGTCTGCATACCTCTGGTTCCCTCCTAAACCAAAACCCGCTGCAACACCGGTTCCTATGTAAATAAATAAAAAGATATGACGAGAACAATGGCTATAGTCATAAACAGTCTTATTTAAAGTAATAGTAGTGTTAATGTAATAAATTAAATAAAGGTAACATCTTAATAGATGATATATTTCTCAAATGGGCGAAATAACGCCAAGCCAGAGAAAATAATAATAGCCAACTTTATACTTTACTTTGTTCTATTCTCGTCCACAAAACATTCTGTAAAATGAAACACTGCCTCAGCTTACCAGAGTAAAGTTTGTTAAATCCAGTATGTTCTTCAGGCACACTAATAAATTGTCCTCCAGAATTGCTCCAGGGTCCTCAGGCAAAATGTGGTGCAGAGTAGTCGAATCGCCGCAAGGTGGCGTTGAAGCAGTTGTGGAAAATACAGTATAATACACGAATTTTTACAAATACAGTACATCGCTGTATATGTTGTTCGACGTCACACTAAATTCCCATAATGCAACGGTAAATACAGTTATTTACCGTAAAAGGAATTTGCAGTATTACACTGGGTGAAATACAGTAATTAACTGTGTAATTTACAGAAATGTCTAACAGTGCAGCCTACAGTGATTAATTAAGGATCAAATGCACAATTATTTGTTTTTTCTATTTTTCTTGTGTGTTAAAAATGTTCTCTCTCTTTAGACAGAGGTACGACTCAGTCTGAAACACTGCCCAGTTCAGCCACCTCTTACCGTGTGATGGGTCTACGACTGGGCCGTCGGTACCGCTTCACAGTGCAGTCCACCTTTCAAAACCAGGTTGGACCAGAGACCAGCGTGGAGGAACGAACAGGTTATATATAAGATCAATATAGAAATAAGTTAGATATAAGTTCAAATTATGTAAAATAATTTGTTTTAGCTTATTTAATTAGAAAAACCTTTAATATTGACATATTTTCATATTATTTACTGTAAATGAATTAAAATATTCCAACAATGCAATGAGTATACAATATATTGTACCATTAAAGTTAAATTACAATTAGCAATTAAATGTGTTTCTGAACTTAATAATATAGTAATGTAAATCATTTTATGGCCAGTGATTTGTTTTTTGTTTAATATTTTCCCAAGTCATTAGCCATTGGTACTGTAGGTGTGGCAAAATGGCCCTGCCTATAACAAAGCAAAGTTTTTACTCTAAAAAGTAATGTTTATTGAAAATACAGATCTGATTCTTACAGTCAAACCTTTGTGTGAATTGATTTTTCCACACAGTCCTTTTGACTTTGAAGTGAATGGAAATTATAGCTTGCAGTGTGAGTACGGTGAATAACGTACTATTATGCTGGTCAGTCAAGCAGATTTTTCTCTCACTTCATGTTCTCCCTGCACTTTTTTTTTCTTCTTGAAATGAAAGAAAGAGATGATCATAGTGTTTTATGTCTTGTTGTACTTTAACACACTATTATTATTTAATTATTTATATAGACACACTGATGTGCGTTGGATTTTTTTATAGTCATCTACAGTATATAGCTGATTTGAACAAATGTGTGTAGCAGATCTGCAAACAGCAATGGTGATTTTATTGACAACATGTGAATCACAGCTTTGTTCTATTGGCTTTATTATGTTCAATACATCAATGTTTTAGTGTGTGTTGGAGGACGTCTGGATGTAGTCTTCCTTGTCCCTGCATCTCGTGATCGATCTGGCCTGGTGGGACCTGTCTTGTCTCTGCTGGCCAGTTCTGGTGGCTCTTTCACCTCAATTGGACCTAGAGACTCCCAGGTGCATTTCTTTCTGCCTTTTTCTTTTGGAAAATACTTTTTATGGCTCAAAAACTCACCAGAGTGCCCTCTCCAGACAGAGTGAATGAGGCATTGAGCAGGTCAGTTTGAATGAAGTGCTTGTAATACCTGTTTCCTCCAGATGGGGGTGGTGATGTACAGTGAAGATCCAAAAGTGCGCTTCCTCCTCAATCGTCATAGCAACAGTGAGACCCTTCTGCAGGATATTTTGTCCACCCCATTCAACAACAGGCCGGGAAATAATATAGGTCTGTTTTGGTGTTTTGACTCAAATCTTTGAAACTTTGAGGTTAAACTACTTGCATGTATTTGTCCCATGGTTAAGTTGTAGTATCTCTACGAGTAATCACATCACATTTAATCCAAATTCTTACTTAAATTTGTTATTTTTCTTCTGCAATTATGCCTTTTGTACGTCGTCCTATTATCTTTTAAGTGAAGCCTGTGCCATTTCCTGTCTAAAAAAACTTGCTGGTTGAATAAAAGTAACTTTAAGTTAAAATATGGCAGGTATATGAATAATTTTGACTATCTATCTATCTATCTATCTATCTATCTATCTATCTATCTATCTATCTATCTATCTATCTATCTATCTATCTATCTATCAAGCTTTATTTTCATTCCATTCTATGCATAACTAACAAATATTACTAAGATACTTAACTATACACATACGACTCAATTATACACATAAGATACTTAACTATACACATACGACTCAATTATACACATAAGATACTTAACTATACACATACGACTCAATTATACACATAAGATACTTAACTATACACATAAGACAGGCTATACAAGTACTTTTACATGAGACTGAACAATGTTGTGCGGGATATTGTGCAAAAGAGGTATTTAAGCAGGGTGTCTGCAGGGTCTTAAAAAGTATTAAAAGTTGATAAATCAATTTTGAGAAAATGAAGGCCATTTAAGGTATTAAAAAGTCTTAATCGTGTTTTTACGAGGTCTTACATTTTGTTCAAACATCGTCCAAAGTGTTTGACTGCAAAAAAGCATAAATATACTTATTTTTCTCTTATTATTAACAAACGGCGTGCTCGATCCACAAGATTGGTTCGAGCTGGGGTGCGTCCAGCACAGCTCCTCTGTCCTGGTGATGTCACATAATTTGCGATAAGCGCAAGTAGGTGATGTGATGCTCTCCACATGTAGCGAAACCATAGAGTGAAACAGACGGCAAAAGAGTGAAACAGACGGCCTGTCGCTAAAAACAACCGCTGATTTTTTTTCAGTATTTTAAAATCTTTGCAAAGTTAATTACATATTTAAGGGTAATGTAAGCATTATAAAGTGCTATGTTTTTTATTATTTTATTTTATTTTAATATATTAAATTTTTTTTTATATTTAATATTCAATATTTAATTTAAGCAATCCTAATCACTCTTCAATAATATCTTTATGCAAATGTAACACGAATGTACACTTTTTTAAAATTGTTAAAGCTACAAATAGCCTTGCGTTACTTCATAAAATGTGTGTTTTTCAAATATGTTTAGGCTTGCATAGAACATTTTGTTAATTACGAACATGGGGAGATTTGACATTCACTTGGCATTTTAACGTGAAGGCGAGTGCATTGATATTTTCCGCTTTTATGTTTAGGCCAGGCAATGACATACGCACGTCAGTTTTTGCTGAGCGCGCCGGCAGGTCGGAGGTCCGGCGTTCCCGGTGTGGTCGTCATTATCGCAGATGAGAAGTCAACCGATAATCTTAGCCAGCCTGCTGCCGCTGTTCGAGCTGATGGTAAGCCACACACACAAAAAACATCTCGACTGCTCTGTCCCATGTCCATGAGAGTAAGTTAGCTTTATAATAACTGTCCCTCAGGTGTGACAGTGTTGGCGGTAGGAGTTGGGCGTGCAGACCCCAGTGAGCTGCGTTTGGCAGTGACGGATGGCAGCACTCAGAATCTGCTCTATGCTCAAGACGCAAATCAGCTCTACGGTCTCCACCCCGACCTGGCAGACCTCCTCTGTGGCCTCGCACGAGGGACCGGTGTCACGGTCAGATCAAATCCATCCGTCTAGCTGTCATAAATGTCGTATCATCTTTTTTCTTTATTATGATGCTTGCTTGGCCTGTCACGCCAGCGAGAGTCATGAAACAACAGAAGCTTTTTATATTATGTTGGTTTTGACAGTCTCTGTTGATGTAAAAACAAATGATCTGCTACAGTATAGACTGATTTTGATCTGTTGTCTCTTATAGACAGGGCCTTGTACTGTGGAGTGTCCAAAGGTAAACAAATACACAGATTTAATTATACATAATATGCTGAATAAACACACAAGCAAGTAGGGCTAGGCGATATGATAAAAATCTGACTTTCTGATAACAATATACTGTGTATCACAATATTTTTTTACGGATTTTCAAATTTTCCGAGCTCAATGTTGCGACCCCTTTAACCCCAGACGACCTTCTTCCTTCCAGACGTCTTTCAGGGATGTAATTGTAGACCTACCTAGGCTACTGGGTATATAACATAATGATACTGTGTAGTTCTATAATGTGACGAAGCCACTGACAATTTGCAAGATTATGAAATCGCTTTGAATGCTTGCATGGCTGTGCACTTTTTCCACGCTTACATTTGCATGTCACGACCATGTGCACTCTTGGTACATTATAAATAACGATGTGGAACGAACATTTTTTATTATTCTCTGCAAGTCATCTGTCCTTATGTCTTCATTAATTCAGTGCTACAGCCTAGCACCCTCAAATATAATACCTGAAAGTGTCATAAGTTTAGGTGATATTACAAATTTATAAAAAAATATATTTTATAATTAATTAAAACTATTAAAAACTTTTAATAAACTATTAAAGACTTAGGCAAAGGAAAGAGAAAGTGAAAGTGATAAACTCTTATTAGCGGTGTATGATTTTTTTCAGGGTGGAATGTTTGAAGTATATTTGGCTATCAATTCAACTGGACAAATGGAATATTTGTACAGTTCGAATTGTTGACGGAATATTAGTTTATTTGGTTGCAATAAAGAGTCGACTAAATTACAGGGAAAGTTATATTCGGTGGACACAAGAGAAATAACCGAGCTAGTGGCGTCATCTATTCAGAATTATTAGCCCCCTTTAGATTTTTTTTCTTTTTTAAATATTTCCCAAATGATGTTTAACAGGGCAATTCACAGTATGTCTGATAATATTTTTTCTTCTGGAGAAAGTCTTATTTGTTGTATTTCGGCTAGAATAAAAGCAGTTTTAAATTTTTTTAAAACCATTTTAAGGACAAAATTATTAGCCCCTTTAAGCTATTTTTTTTCAATAGTCTACAGAACAAACTATCATTATACAATCATTATACCTACCCTAACCTACCTAACCTACCCTGCCTAGTTAACCTAATTAACCTAAATAAGCCTTTAAATGTCACTTTAAGCTGTATAGAAGTGTCTTGAAAAACATGACGACATGTAAAGGACTATTTCTTTTTTACGTTTTATAGTATATACTGATTCATATATGATATAAAATTTCTCACTTTATTTAGAACTTTTGGCTAATGTTTGATTAAAATTGTAGAAATATAAAATAAATATTAATTAAATATAAAAACATTGTTTAACACCTAACGATTACAAGTCCAAAATGAAAATAATTAAAATGCAAATGTATTTTCAACACTGTAAACAATACTGGGTTTCAGAAAATCGATTAGTGTTGGGGAAGCATGAAGGAATTAAGTTTCACTTCTTAGTTATTACAAATTTTTAAAATGAAGATTGCAAATTTATTAATGCTGTTATTCATATTTTTGACTGCATCCCTGTAATAGCGTGTAATACTGTGCTCATGAAAAAGTATTATCATAAACAATACATTTTGTGACACCAGAGCATAATATGAAACGACTTTTATTTTGTCCTTGCATTAAATATCATATTGCACAGCCCTACGAGCAAGCTCATTTGTGTTTACACTTGCACATTTACATGCAACTTTATTCATAAAGGAAGTTTGACCTTTGTCTTTGCTGCAGGGTGCTAAAGGGGAACGTGGTGAGAAGGTAATAATTATCGTGATGTTTTCCTTGTTGTTGATCCACATAATATACAGTGATTTTTACTGTAGTTTTCTGGTAAAATGTGTTTATAGGGGGAGAGAGGCAGAGATGGAGTGGATGGAAGGAAAGGCGAGCCTGTAAGTTAATTTACATACACATTAAGCTTAGTTTTGTTCATCATGCATTATGGGATACATTTTTAATGCCTAGGAACAATGTGCTTCTATTTGCTTAAGTAAATGCCTGTCTGTATGTTTGTTTTTTTTTAGGGTCGTGATGGTTTACCAGGTCGGGAAGGTCCCAGAGGACCAGAGGGGACACCAGGTCAACCAGGCAGCAGTTTGGGAGTGAAAGGAGAGAAAGGCGAGAGAGTAAGTGGCACTTAAATATGTATAGACTATCTACTCACACATGTTAGTATAATCATTTCCTCTATATTTGTTTGCAATTATCCTTTTCAGGGGTTCCCCGGTTTGGACGGCAGTTCTGGTATCCCAGGTCGATCTGGTGCAGTTGGACTGCCAGTAAGAATGAAAACATGAATAATTCAGTTATATAGTATGGTAGAAGCAACATTTGTAGATATACTAGCATGAGTGGTAATAAGCCAGGAGGCATGCCAAAACATTCTAAAGCCGGGGTGCCCAAACTTTTTCGTGTAAAGGGCCAAAAACCAAATATCATTATGAGCCTTGGGCCGAAAGGAAATATAGCAAAATATATAACTATTTAACTTTGAAAATGATAACTTTTTGCAACAATAACATAACAGTGAACAGTGATGTTCAATGCTGAATACGCTAGAAGAAGAAGAATCTGCCTTTGCCTTGATTTGCTCACCAAAGTCTCTGCATTGTCCTCTATTTGTCAGGTGACAGTGTGTTAAGCTAAATCAGATGTATTTTACTGGCAATCCAGAATTAGATTCTGGCAATCCAGAATTGTAGTCAAATACACAGGCAGATGGTCAGAAGGTAGGCAGCAGACAGGATTAAACAGATAAACAAGGAGAAGATCAAAATACAGCAAATCAAGACAAAAGAAACGCGTTGTAATGTCATTAAACAGTAATCAAGACTCAGCAACAATGTGTGTGTTTGTGCTGTTTTTATAGTCCATGTAATCAGTCTATGACAATCCTCTGGCTGTGTGTATGCGATCAGTCATGATCAGGAACTGGTTGTGTGTATGGTGCATAACTGGATCTTGTAGTCCATAAATGGCAGATTTGTAGTCCTTTAGTGATCTGCAGCCACTAGATCGCTGGTGATCATAACAATTTTCTAGTTATTTTTAAGGGGTTTTTAAATAAATTAGGGAATTACCCTTGGCAACAATATTTACCATTGACTCACTAGCCTCAATCAAGTTTGCTTTTTGGCCCTTCATAAGAAAATGTTTGGCCACCCCTGCTCTAAACCATCCCCATCTTCCTCTTTTCTCAGATGGGATGACGGGCCAAATCAAAGGTTGCCATGGGTCAACCCTGGCCTGCAGGCCCTAGTTTGAGCCTCTCTGTTCTAAAGAGATTGAAAAATGAAAATTCCTACTCTAATTTTAAATTATTACTTAAGCACAAAGATAATGTTTGGAAGAATTTTGTATTCCACTAGCCATATTAAGTCTTTTCTACTATGGATGTTAGTGGCTACCACTTTCCAACATTCTTCAAAGTATCTTCCTTTATGTTAGAACCACTTTAGAATGAGTAAATTGTAGGTTTTTAAGTTTTTCTTCAATCAGTTAATTTATTAACTTCTCTTAATTATTAAAAAATTAAAGTAACACTTTCTTTTAAGTCACTATTCACTACTGGCTTATTACCCGCCTATTATTAAGAAATTAACTATTTATTAGTAGCTATAAAGTATGATCTTATTCTACATCCCTCATTTTACCCCAGAAACTGCTGTATTAACAAGCAGCTAATTAACAGTTTGTTGTGCTAATATTCCTAGTTGATTGTTTGTTAATAGAGTTACACGTGACTTAAATAAAGTGTTACCAATAATAAACAAATCTAAATTCTAATGTTGATTCCTTGTTCTGATGTCTTTCTGTTGTTTTAGGGCAGTCAGGGTTTACCAGGTATTAGAGGAGATCCTGTGAGTATTCACTAATACACCGTATATACGACATACTGTAGACACAAACCAGTTCTTATTAAATGTTTTGCCTTGCGTTTTATAGGGAGAACCAGGTCTAATTGGCCCTCAGGGATCGAAGGGAGAGAAAGGTGAAAGGGTAAGAGCAATAATGCAATAAATCTATCACCGATCTCTTCCACTGTCTGATTTACCACTTGATTTCTATTGTTGGGTTCAGGAAATGATGGATTGTTATTATTTACTACAGGGTGAAGCTGGATCTGCTATTGGAGGAGGTTTACCAGGCCGTAAGGGAGAGCCAGGAATTCCAGGGATCCCTGTAAGAAATACAAGAAAATGACTCCCACCTGCCCAGTGATAAAAAGAAGAACATAGTTTGTCCTTTATGTCATTGCATATTAAATAGGTTACTTAACTTTCATACATTCTTTCTCTCTGTCTTTTTAGGGCACTCCTGGTCGTCAAGGAGTGAATGGGGCAAAGGGAGAGCCAGGTGCACGAGGTCTGCCTGGGCAGGACGGTCGACCAGGGTCACAAGGCACACCTGGGCTTTCTATTAAAGTTAGAATCTATTTCCTTCTCCAATAAAGAAGTCTCTAAATATGCTGAATGTATAGCCCTGTACCATGAATATCTTCTTTTTTCCAGTGTTGGTCAAAATGAATAGAACACTAGTATTTACACTAGCTTAAAAAGGGTTTAGTCATTTACTTCTAAATAAATAAAGTGCAAGTAGGAAATACTAGTTTACATTTCCAACAATTCATTATTTGTTATTAATTGTAATAATTCTACACAGAGCTCTATCCATCATCCAGTCCATCTGGGAAGACATGAAAAAACATAACAAACTGAGACAGACCACATCCAGAATATCTGTGGCAAGACACTTCCAGAAAATTGCCTGCAATACTATTGCCTGGCGCCACGTTGCGGACCTCTGTGCACAGCATTTATACTTGATGCGTTCGCCTATGAGATATTCTTTAAAACGACAGGGGTCGGTCAAAAGAAGCACACTGTAAAATCAGAAGGATAAACACAGAGGTAGAAATTTTCCAGAACTGTCATTTTATTAATTTCAGTCAAGTATTTCATTTAACCAATTATTTTTATAAATTATTTTAATGATTTTAAAGATTTTTATAACCGTTCAAGATTTTTGATGCAACTTTAATGCATCACTTGCTTTTGTTCATATCTTGGACAGTTCTGTTTTATTAAAATAATAATGACAACAGAACATGGTTTGGTCAACAAATATGTTTTTTATTATGACAAAAATAAAAGCAAAATAAGTACACTTACTAAAATTACTGACATTTTTTTAGATTCAGCCCACTACACATTTGACACATTACTGTCTAGTCCTCTACTTATATGCTAAAAAGGCATTAATGGCTAAACATTCCTGACCATTATCACCAGTAAAGCCTAAAAAACATGGCATCAGTATTTTGTAAACCGGTAGGTTCAAATATTGTTTTCCAGTTATCAATGAAATTATTTGTGAAATAAATTAGTGATCTAATTAGTGAATTAGATTTTATTTGTCAATTAAATTCTGTTGAGTAAATGAAATCAACATTTGTTGTATCACCATCTCTTGCATTTAAAGCAGCTTTTGCCCAAGGAAAAGTTTCCCCCCCAATTTCTGTTTAACGGAGAGAAGATCTTCTCTACACATTTCTTAACATAATAGTTTTAATAACTCATTTCTAATAACTGATTTCTTTTATCTTTGCCATGATGACAGTAAATAATAGTTTACTAGATATTTTTCAAGACAATTTTAAAGGCTTAACTGGGTTAATTAAGTTAATAAGTGTCTTTCCTGGTAAAATAAAGGTTATAATAATAATAATAATAATTAGGTTTCCTAGGCTGGATCAAAATATAGCTTAAAGGGGCTAATAATTTTGACCCTAAAATGATTTTTAAAAATTAAAAACTACTTTTATTCTTGCCAAAATAAAATAAATAATACTTTCTCCAGAAGAATAAATATTATCAAATATACTGTGAAAATATTCTTGCTCTGTTAAACATTATTTGGGAAATATTTAAAAAAGAAAAAAAATCAAGGGGGGCGAATAATTCTGACTTTAACTGTATATAAAACTCAAAAGTAATGTTTGTAAATTTAAACTGATATTTCCCACTGGCACATAACAGCAAAGATAAAAGTAAATTATCTAAAACCATTTTTAGCTTATGAAAATATTTCTGTTCTAATCATTTATTACATAATTTACAACATCTATGAATTTTTGAGTCTGAAAATCCATGTGATACTAGGGCTCACCCATCTTTCTTCAGATTCTGTTTGAGGTTAGAGGTCAAAATAAACATCTATTAATTGAACCAAATGCCAGTTGAAACACAAACATAATTGATTTTGTTTTACCTTGGTTATGATTGTATGTGGATGCACCACTGGCATTTTAATTTGAATCAATACTCCTCTGAAGTATTTAGAAATTCATTGTTTTCACCAGTTGAATTTTCAAATGTGCCTTCAGCCGATCTTGTACCTGTCTCTTTTTGTGTTTCATTTAATGTTCATGCAGGGTGACAAAGGCAGCCCTGGAGAAAGGGTGAGTACATACTAATAGTTCTTTAAAAGAGGCCAGGGAAGCCTTCTCAAATAAAGATCGACAAATAATTAAGAACACAACAATAAAACAGAATAAATATTGGGAAATAAACATCACACACTGCATAAATTATTTTTTTTTATATAAGCCAGATCATGGCGTTCAATTGGTTAATGTTAAATTAATGTTTTTTACTTTGATAAAAGTAAAGTATTTTAAATGATAATAATCAATTATATGCAGGTTTTTACATTAAGCTTGCTTAATATTCATTCATTCATTCATTCAATTATTTTCCTTCGGCTTAGTCCCTTTGTTCATCAGGGGTCGCCACAGTGGAATGCACCAGCCATGTTACTGTATATAATCATGCAGAAATGTTATTGTATGTATTACATATTGATAGTCCAAAATATATGATTTATCTTTTATAAATCCCAAAATCAATGGTTGGAAAATGTATTTCTTTTTTTTTTTTTTTAAACACTGTCTTTACTGATTTTTAGGAGCTTTTAACATATACTACAAAAATCAAAACCAAGCATGCAAAAATAATAATAATATAAAACAGATATTAAATAAAATAAAAGATTCCAATAAAAATCTATATTTATGGATATACAAATAAATAAATGTATGCATGTACTGTACATACACATACAATATAAAGATACATCCTATAACAGCAATGGTATATCATTAGTAGGCGATACAAGTTATACAGAGAAAAGATTTGTATCAGCTTCCTTCAGAAATTCTACAAAGTGATTCCAAATTTTGAAAAAAGTTTCAGGTTTCCTCTTTACTATATACTTTAATTTTTCTAAAGTCAAACAATAAGACAATTCTTGCAGCTTATGTTGTATTTTTTAGTAAAAAATCTACATTTTAAATTTCCATTACATGGAAATGCTGTGAATTAAATACATTTTACGATGCATTTCCAAGAAATTTTAAACAATATTCAGTTTTTTTTTCTCTTGACGTAGAGAAGCTAGTAGTTTTTTTAAAGGGTTCAAATGGGGCAAATTAATCTGATGACAGCCAGAACTTTCTGAAGGCATACTACTATATGGGACATTTTCATGACTGTGGCTTTCTGTTTAATTCTGATTGAAAGGGTCTTCCTGGTGTGGGCAGTGGAGTTGCTGCTAAAGGAGATCCTGGTGAGCCCGTAAGTGTTTCTATTATTCATGGCAAAGTGGCAGTGTAAATAGATGTTGACGTGTATTTATGAGTTGCTGCTGTAAACTGCTTGTGTTCATTTCATTGTGTGTTTTTAAGGAATTGTTGCATACTCTGAAAAGTGTTTGTGTGTCTTTTAAGGGAAGTTCTGGACCACAAGGTCCCCAGGGCCCACGAGGAGTGACTGGACAAAAAGGAGCAAAAGGAGAACCTGTATGTTATTGTGTGCTATTTTATATTTCACATAAGATACTGTGACTGCGTGTTGTAAAATACAGTTCTCAACATAACTGAGTACACCCCATTTTGAAAAATTGTATCCATTTCTTAGTGAACATAAGCAATGTAGAGTATTTTGGTGTATTTAAACAAAACAGATTTATTAAACAGATAAATTTATTAAAATAATATTTTAGTCAACAAACATATTTGGAAATTGAAAGATAATAAAATAAAATCCAAGCAAAATATTGCAAAAATAAAATACAACCTACAAATTTTCAAATACTTTTTTAAAATTTGTATTTAATATTTTTCTATAACATAAATTTGGGTGTACTAGTTTTTGGACCTTTATTCTGAGTTAGTTTCAGTACTTCAGTACTGACTAATCTAATGTATATGCACAAATATAATATTGTATAGCTGTCTATTAAAATTATTAATTTAAAAGGTGTACTTATATATACTGAACACTGTATATGCTTTAATTATCTATCTTAACTTAAGCGGTGTGTGTGTATGAATGTGTTGCAGGCTGAAAGTGTTGAAGGTCAACCAGGACCCAAAGGAAACACTGGAGATCCTGGTGACCGGGTATGAAATGCTTTCACTAATATATCTCATGCTCACTCCATCGTTTGTTTTCATTCTACTTTCATTATGCGTTGTTTTTCAGGGTCCCCGCGGCCCTCCTGGTGAAAGCGGAACTAAGGTAAATAGAATTCAGTTAATTGTGGCTTGTGTCATCGAGGAGTGTGCAAAATAAGCTATAAGGAATAAGCTAATGATGTTTTGTTGTTTATTCAGGGAGACCGAGGACAAGCTGGAGCACCAGGTTCAGATGGAGCCAAGGTAAATATCCTTCTCTCAGAGTCCCTTGTGTTATTTAGCGCCCATTTATAGTGATAGTTCATCCAAAAATGAAATTTCTGCCGTCATTTACTCATCCCTGACTTTTTTTTCTTCTGACTTTTGTTCTGCGGGGCTCAAAATGAGATATTCTGAAAAATGTTGGAAACCTGTAACCATTGACTTCCATAGTGTTTATTTTTCCTACTATGGATGTCAGTGGTTACAAATTTCCAACATTCTTCAATATATATATATTTTTTTTTTCTGTTCATCATCTCTTTAAAGGTGTTCTAAGCCATAAACCCATCGTCTTCTAGTTCAAATGAAACAGGTAGATTTTGATCTAATTTTTTAATGAATTTGATGTTTTTTTAGGGAGACAGAGGCCCGTCAGGTCCAGCAGGAGACAAGGTGTGTCATTAACCTCTGTGAAAACATGTATATTCTTATTAGGGGGCTATTATGGGTAATGCTGTGCTTGTGTGTGTCGGTTTTTGTTTGTATGTTAGGGAGATAAAGGTTCAGCAGGCCCCTCTGGACCTCAAGGACTAAGGGTGAGTGGCTGCACGAGACATGATAAGTCACAAGCCATGTGAAAATGCATGAGTGTACATGCATGTTGTAAATTATTTATATGTGCCTTCAGGGTTTGCCAGGGAGCAATGGCCTTCCTGGAGAGAAAGTAAGCGAGGATGTCAGCTCCACAAACATCATTAATCTCAGTTATCTGTGACCAGTTATTATATCTTTATTCTTTTGAGTTTAAACCACATTTATATGTGCCTCTGTCTGCTGTAAGGGTGCTGAAGGTGCAAAAGGGGAACCAGGAAGCAGTGTAAGCTCACAATGTTCATGTTATTCTTAATTGATATGAAAATTTTATGCAGTTGTAGTGGCTCTCTTGACGTTGTTCGCTGTTTCTTCTTCTTTTTTTTTTTACAGGATCCTGGTTCATTTGGGAGAAAAGGAGAACGGGTATGACTTTTGAGAACAATGGCTGAGTCTGAGTCTGTCTATGTCAGATAACAGGCTTTCTATTTTATTCTTATGATAAGTCTTTTTTTTGTACTGACATTCACATGTGCGAATCCACAAAACTTTTTAATGCCAAGGAAAAAAAAATCCATTCAATACTCTTTCTTTTCTTCTTTTTTAGGGTGAAAGAGGCTTTCCAGGTCCTGCTGGAGCTAAAGGTGACAAAGGAGATGCTGCACAAAAAGGGGAAAGGGTGAGTTTTGTGATTGAATTGAAGTTTGTGATTGAATTGAATTGAAACCATCTTTTATGATGAGACAGTAAAGGCACTTAAATTCATTTATGATTGAGCATTTCTAAATTGTTCCATAGGGGGCTCCTGGAGCAGGAGAGCCTGGCCAACCTGGACCTAAAGGAGACCAGGGTGATCGGGTAAGCAAACAAGACAGAGAAAAGACTCTTTTGAGGCCTTGAGACAAAGAACCATATAAGTTTATAATTTTAAATTTTGAGTTATAGGATTTTTTATTCATTTGGATTGGGAACATCATTCATTTTATTAAAAAAATTTTCGGCTTAGTCCCTTTATTAATCATGGGTCACCACAGTGGAATGAACCTCCAACATATCCAGCACATTGTTACGCAGCAAATGCTCTTCCAGCCGAAACTTATCTCTGGGAAACATCCACACACACTCATTCACACAACATACACTACGGACAATTTAGCCTACCCAATTTACCTGTACTACATGTCTTTAGACTCTGGGGGAAACCGGAACACCCGGAGGAAACATGCAAACTCTACACAGAAACGGCAATTGACCCAGCCAAGGCTTGAACCAGCGACTTTCTGTGAGTCGATAGCACTACCTACTGCGCAACTGCGTCGCCCTGGGAACATTATATTATCTATTTTTTAATCAACTTGAAGATCGACAACAAAACCTTTTCAATTCTGAGGAAATAACATTTTCAGTGTCAGTATTATAAATGTAAAGTTATTGTGATTTATATTTCTCAAATGTGGAAGAACAGTATATGTCCAGTCAGTGTGGAATAATAGTAGAACTCCAATTCATCATATCACTTTAAACCACTAAAGTTCTGATCCCTTTATCTTAGTTTTAATACAGTAACAGAAACTTCAGGTTAATATTATTTTGTTATTGATAGCATGTTTATTATTATTATAATTATCATAATAATAATAATAATTATTATTATTATTAATATTATTATTATTATTGTTGTTGTTGTTATTGTTATTATTACAGTATGAACAATGTACAATACATAGTTAGACCATCTTACAGTACAGGCAATAGCAATCAATTATTAAAAATAAACAATAAATAAATACAACAATAAATACATGAAATGCTGACATCATAAATATTGTCGTTACTGGCACAGCACACCTGTGTATATACTACTTCAAACTGTTCTTGCACCATCTCACAATATAAATTAATTTATAAACAAATAAAATATGCAGACAATATGCATTGATACATCTTCATTATATATAGTATGTGGTTTATTTTGACAGGTTATCTGTTTTTGCGCTGTTTAGCGCTTCTCTGGCCATTTAGAGAGAGAGAGAGAGAGAGGGGGATCACATCACATATACAGTTCTTCCACTCACTTCTTGGTGGATCTTTCCATTTTTTTGTTCTCCTCTCTGATTTAAATATGGTTTCCAAGCATCCCTCAAAACCTTCCTTACTCTGTCCTTTGTTCATGTTGGCTCTCCTTTTTTTGCAGAGGATTTGGCTTTTAATGTCCAATGCGGACATGACAGCATGCGGCATCTCATTTCTTCTTTGTGGACATAAACATTTTTTTACATGTGACGCTATTTTTTTATTTGTACTTATATTTTGATCGTCACACGCACTTAATTAGCTTTTTTTCTCTTTAATAAGTCACTCTGGATAAAAGCATCTGCGAAATGAATTAGTCAAAAAATATCAATGTAGCTTTTGCTTGTTTGTCTATTGTGCATACCAACTGATGAATTACTAAAAGAAAATTGCAGATTGTACAATAACATCACAAACAGGGATTTTCAGACTCTAATACAACTAATGAAAAGTATGAAATAGATTGCACTTCTACATTCCTGCCATTCTCACAATAATTTTACCATAAATGAATTAATAGCTGTTGATTTATTTAAACAGGGTCCCGGTGGATTGTCTGGAAAACCTGGCGCAAAGGTAAAGTGAAACGATTTTTCTCACTCCAGAACACATTCATGCAAACAACTCTGCATTAGCCTGAATAAGTAGTCATGAATCGCACTCGTCTCTTTTTTCTGTCTGACTTTAGGGCAGTCAAGGTGATGCAGGGGAGAGAGGAGAAGCAGGCAGCCCTGGTTCACAAGGGCCTATGGGGCCCAGAGGGAAAGATGTGAGAGTTTGCACCTATTTATACATGAACACAGGGTCAAAATCTACAGCTGCTTTTAACAACTTTTCGTTTTAATCTGCAGCCAATGCTAAAAGTCATTTTTTTTCTTGAGGTTAAGTGGTCTAACTTACAGTATTGCATGTTCTGAAAGTTGCTGCTTTTTCTTCATTAGCTTTACAACTAATCTATCTCGATGAGGATGTTTTACACTACTAACAATTTCATATTTTCTTCTAACGCCTTTCTTTCAGAGGTAACAAGTAATCAAGGTAACAGGTGACTTCTTTTCTTTTTCTTCAGATGCAACTCTCTTTTTTTATTTTCTTAAACACTGCTATTTGCACTTGTGGCTTCTGAAATACAGAAATCTATTACTATGTATCAAAGGGAATCAGGTGAAGTAAAAAAGCTGTAGAAAAGTATTCTTATAGCATTACATAATATTTTCTGTAGGAGGTCTGATCTCTCCTTTTGTTTCTTTAGGGACTTAAAGGAGACAAGGGAGAGGATGGCATTGCAGTAAGTTTTTTGTTGTTGTTATCATTTCTCATAATTCATGTGCTTTTTATGTATTGTTGCTTTGTTTCTTGTTGCATAGGGAGAACCTGGGTTGCCGGGTAAACCAGGGGAGAGAGGTCTAAGAGTAAGTACACAGATTTGGTAATGTATGTGATGCTAAATTGTTGTTCCAAGTAGTTCGGCCACATCCTAACTGTGGTCTATTAATGTTTTAGGGACTGCCAGGTCAATCAGGTCAACCTGGGACAAAAGGAGACACAGGCGATCCAGGGGAAGATGGACGAAATGTAAGACATACTATATGGCTGACTGAATGTATTACATGGGTCAACGACTATGGTATCTGCGTCATATTAAAGAAAAAATTAAAAAGTTAGCATATTAATACAAAATGTAATTTGTCAGTCCTTATTCAGTGTAATAGATATATTTATGTAAAATCAAACAACATACTTAATTCTGTTTTTGTTAAAATATACAAAATATGCAATAATTTGCACAAAAATAATATAATCTGAGACCCAAAAATTAATTATTTTAATATACCATCACATTTTTCTTGTTCTAAATATGCCTGACAAACGAATTTGAAATTTTAGAGGGTGTTTTCTGTAAAACATAGAAAAAATCATAGCCATATTTTGCAAAACATAAAAAATAAAAGAACAAATATCAACAAGACACGTGTATTGGAAACAATACTTGCATTTATTTTTGTATTGCTTACTTTTTTGGATGCCTGATTTAAAAAATCTGCTCTTTGGCCTTTCTAATGTGAATAAAAAAATACAAGAAACCTGCAGAACATTAATATTATTAATGTTATTAGTTATTATTTATAACTAAAGATAATATATGGCTTGGTTTTCTCTAGTGTTTAAATACAAGCTAAATAAAACAACTGTTCGCTGCAAAGACTATTGGGTTAGTTATTTGTGTGGTCATGTGATCAGCGTTTTTGTTTTTTTTAATAGGGTACCCCAGGCACAATGGGACCAAGAGGCCCAAAGGGAGATCAGGTGAATAATCTAAAACCCGAATCACGAACGTTTTCATGTTTAGACCAACGTAAACACTGAAATAATCATTTGAATATCTTTATTATCGGTTATTATAGGGTATACAAGGTCCCCCAGGCCCTCCTGGAGATGTGGTATGTTTGTAAATCATTTCATTTCTTCAAGTTTTTTTATGCACATCCCTGTAATACAATTTAAATAACCTGAATTTGAAATTGTTCGTTATGTTAGACAACAGGAGAGAAACAGCTGAGGGGTGAAAAAGGAGAAAAGGTACAATGAAATGCTTATAGTGTTAAAACATCGGCTGTCATGCATATTCTGATTTTGTCATTATAATTATGAACCATAATTTATCACCAGGGAGAAGCAGGTGACCCAGGAGAGCACGGTGCTAAAGGCCTAAAGGGTGAAGCAGGAGCTCAAGGCACTGCAGGATCAAGCGTAAGTCAGCGTGGAGATCAGACAGTATGTGTGCTTCAGAGTAATAGGATTTATATCTGGAACTGTTTGTTTTTTAGGGTCCTGAGGGGCAGCGTGGGCTACCAGGAGCCAGAGTAAGAACCTCCTGTAGTTTAATATCTTTTAGCTATTTATGCATCGCTATTTATGAATCTTTTTTTTATGGCTGACTATGACTGTGTATAATATGACTAAATATAGTGATACATTTAAAAGGAGAGTTCAGCCAAAACATGAAAATTCCACATTCATTTACTCACCCTACACTTGGTTTAAAAGTGTGTGAGATTTACATTAACGGTGATATTTTGAAAGATGTTGGTAAGCCTATTAACCCACTAATGGAAGTCAATAGAGACCATCAACCTGTCTGGTAACAAGTATGCTTCAAAATAACTTCTTTAATGTTCTACAAAAGAAAGAAATTCTTAGGTGTTTGAAACATGAATTTTTAGGTGAACTCTTTCGTTAATCTCATTCAAACATACTGTATTGTTATTTAGGAAAGTGTAGTATAACGTTATATAACTGAAATCATACTAAATTACTGAATTATCTAATTCATAAACAACATAACTCAATTATTGGTTGTTTTTAATGGCAGTCGGTATATCTCCCTCTACTTTTTTTATTTCTTCTAGGGTGACCCAGGTGACAGGGGCAGTCCAGGAGAAAAGGTAAGAGAGCTGGTTTTCTCAGTTTGCTATCAGATGTCATGCTTCAAGCTTCTTTCATTTTCCAGAGTAAAGAAGTGTTTCACCCTCATGGCCATGAACACACCAAGGTTTTTTTTTTTTTTTTTTGAGAACGTTAATATGACCACAAGTCATGTATACAAAATATATTTGGTACAAAAGACATGTTTGAACTAAAAGATTTCTGACAGGAAGTGGTAATTATGGTTAAAGGTGGCTTAATGTTAAAACATCTGCATGTCTTAATGCAAAGACTGCAGGTTCAGTTTTATTCATGGGCTGTAATTATTTGGCACCTCAAGATTTGATTAAAGTTTAATTCAGGGAATCATGATACGATTACAAAACAATTTCCAATGCATCAATTTTTCAGCAATGCCTTTCGGCCGCAAATCTTTTTAAAGAAATCATGGAGTAGCTCTGACTGGTTTGCTTAATTAAAAAAAAAGAAGTGGAAGTTTATGGTTTGCTTAAAGGTTTGGTGTTGAACAGGCGTTTATGGGCTTTTGTTTCCACTACATAAATATAATTTTTTATGTGGCAAATCCTCACCGAACTTGTTTGTAATATTTTGCAGTTTACATATTTGGATTAACAATATAATTAAATTGTAATTATGATTGTTATTCATTATTATAATTTCTTCATTAAGGAATATATACTGTATTAAAAATGGATTTGTGAATTATTTTTCCCAGCCCATATTTCTAAGTTAATGTTAATCACTGCTGTGCAAAGCATTTCATATATCAAAAATTATTCTAATATGCTGTATTGGTTTTCAACATCATTTTACATGCACACACACATGCAATCACTGACCACTTTATTAGGTACACCTCATTAGTACCCCTTTTTCCTTCAGCACTGCCTTAAACCTTCGTGGCAGATTCAACAAGGTACTGGAAATTTTCCTTAGAGCTTTAGGACCATATTGACATGATAGCATCACACCGTTGCTGCAGATTTGTCGGCTGCACATCCTTGATGCGAATCTCCCCTTCCACCACATCCCAAAGGTGCTTTATTAGATTCAGATCTGGGGACAGTGGAGGCCATTTGAGTACAGTGAACTCATTGTCATGTTCAAGAAACCAGTCTGAGATGATTCACGCTTTATGACATGGTGCGTTATCCTGCTGAAGTACACTGTGGTCATAAAGGGATGGACATTGTCAGCAATAATCAGCAAGATCCTAATTTGTACCAATGGGCCCAAAATGTGCCAAGAAAATATCCTTCACTTTATTACACCATCACCAGCCGGAGCTGTTGATACAAGGCAGGATGGATCCATGCTTTCCTGGTGTTGATGCCGAATTCTAACCATACCATCTAAATGTTGCAGCAGAAATCAAGACTCATCTGACCAGGCAACTATTTTCCAGACTTCTATTGTCCAATTTTGGTGAGGCAGTGTGAATTGTTGCTTCAGTTTCCTGTTCTTAGCTGACAGGAGTAGCACCCGGTGTGGTCTTCTGCTGCTGTAGCCCATCCGCCTCAAGGTTGGACCTGCTGTGTGTTCAGTGATGCTCTTCTGCATACCTCAGCTTTAACTGTAAAGAGTTACTGTTGTCTTTATATTAGCTCAAATCAGTCTGGCCACACACCTCTGAAATTTGAAAATTTGTGTTAACAAGCTGTTGGACAGGTGTACCTAATAAAGTGGCCAGTGAGTATATATATATATACATATATATATATATATTTATATTTTTGAATGTCAAACTGTCATTCTTTTTTTTTTGAAAATGCATCTTAGCTTGATCAAAGTATTAAAAAATGGACACTTGTATTAAGTGGCAGTTAATTTTACGGATTTTTAGGAGAAAACAGTACGAATAATTAATTTGATTGAAAATAAGTCGTGATGTCTGATCAAATTCCCTTATTATAATTTCCTCGAGCAGGTAATTGAACACTTTGCGCATTTGTTCAAATTACTTTTGCAATAAAGCATCTATAACAGGGCTGCATGATTTTGGAAAAAAGTTACATTGCAAATTTTAAATTTTTTTAATGATGAATTTTTTTATATTTATAATGATGGATTAAGATGATTTTGCAGGTGAGTGAATCGGCATAAAATAAAATAAACAAATTACAAATATAGATAATTATAATAGAGCAAAGACTGACCATATTTAGTAACAGACAGAAACAAACAGAAAATAAAATAATTATATATACAAAAAAGTTGTATAGTCTTTATTGTATAATTAATGACATACAATTAATCTTTGTTAAAGCTAAAAACATAAAGCCCAAATGCTTTAAACTCACAAGCCTTAAAAACACACGCAACTGATAAGCTTTCATTTTATTATGGTTAAACTGAAATGACTCCAAATTCTCATGTGTACTGAACTGTTGTGCCTGGTCAACAATAATCCTGACGACATTCAGCAATGTGACTACTGCAGATTCGCACATTGCATTATCAATGCTAAAAAAATATATTGTGTAGACTCGAATCTACAAAATAAGCAGCTTCCTTAAATATTCCTTCAAAGGCAGGTGGAACGCCTCTGCAAAATAAAACCATTCTATTTTAGAGCGCATCAGTGACAGTATTTTGAAAGTAAGTGTCATACAGTGGATGACAGCTGAGAAATGGCTGAGTTTATAACACCGGCTGCGGTAATCAGTGTAAAGTATAAATATAACTGCTTAGTCATGAATCTCTCCATACCGCAGTGGCTGTGACACATTTCATTACGACAGGGTTTACCTCCCGGGTTTTAAATAGCAGGTCTCACTAGCACTGCAATTATTTGTTATTGGCTGTCGGCGAGGCTGTTTAATCTTTGTTTAACATTTGTGCTACAGAATTGAAACAAGGCTTTGTTGGTTTCCATCGAGAGGAAATGAAATCTCACTGACGTCTCGTTGCTTTTTGCTTTCTGTCAGAGAGACATATAGCCAATTAGTTTGCATCTGACTCTGACCCTCGTGTCTGACGTATACCAGTCTGTCTGTAATTTATCCGTCTGTGGGTTTTTAGACCAGCCTCATTGATTATTACATTGATAAAGATGATGCTTCTGCTTTTGGCATGCATTGGTACAGTGATGTGAGAATTGTTAGCGACGAAGATTGGATCTGTCAGTAAGCCATTTCTCATTATTATTTATTCAAGTTGGCGATGGCTGAATGCTGCTAAAAATTGAAATCGATTTTGACAGTTATGATGAGGGTTTTGGGCATATCTGCTGTATGTGTGTGTCACAGTGAATATTGATTTGTGCATATGTGTGCAGGGAGAACGAGGAGCGGCTGGTTTGGATGGACGCCCCGGTCAGGATGGGAAACCTGGGCCTCCTGGACCTCCTGGATTACGGGTCAGATCACTCCAATTCTTGCATTAACTACATAGTCAAATTATCCCTAATCAGTCTGCATCATTTTCTGAATCTTTTTGGTTTTGTAGGGTGACCCGGGAAAACAAGGGGATCCTGGAAGAGATGTGAGTGCTTCAGTTTGTTGCATCATCAATTTTGACCAAAAATCAGTCCGGGTTTCAATCAGAAATTTCAATTGTTATGCTATAAATAAACATTATTATAGATAAGAAACATTTTTATGGATAAATAAACGTTCAGTTGTGGTTGCACCATACTGTAATTTTGCAAACAGATCAAATTATTAGAATATAAGTAGACTGATTGTTTAGGTAATGTTTAGGGCAACACAGGCTCATTGTGAAAACGTATCCCATATACATTTCTGGAGAGCACGATTTATGTAGCCAGAGCTAAAGCTTAGATCGGGCCCAAAAAATGAAACCCGACCCTACCCGAGGCCGTGCACCTTCAAGCTGACCCAGTCCGACACATTAAAGGTTCAAGTCATCGTGGACTACAGATTTGTGTGTGTTGAGCTTCAGTTAAGACAACGTTAGCTCCTGTTAGCTTTAATTGTGGGGAAAACCTGATAATTTTGAGCTTTTGTCAGCTAATTTCATCTGCGGGGTTTTAACAATTTTTGGGGCGGGATCAAAATCGGTGACATATCGCAAATCTGCTAGTGGAGTGATGATGCATCGGTTTCTCATTATTATTCATAGCTGAGTTTTCTTGTCCTATGAGAAGACCCTACTTCTTAATTATTCATGAGAGCACGTGCTTTCTGAAGGCAAGGCAGACCTGCCAAACTGTGAGACCCAATGACTGGGTGAGACCGCGGCCGCGTACGTGTTTGTTGATCCATGGGGTTTTTTGCATGTTTTTTCCCATGATGCTGTCAGGGCCGATCCAGCAAAGCTGTTGGTTTGCAGCAAGCATTTTTGTCAGGATGACGCCACCGTCAGCATCAGTATTTTTTTCGCACTAGCGTCTGACCACTTACCTTGGTGTGGACGGCTTTTCCCCTTTTAGCAGTTTGCCCAGTAGCTTGCCATGTACGTTGGCGTACTTGAGACACGGAGAGGAGTTTACCACGGCGAAGTCTGGGAGTCTGGGGAAGAACAGTTTCAAAGAGGAGATAAAACAAAAACAAAAGGCAAAAAATACAATAAGCAAGTTAATAACAGGGTGAGAATGTGGTTAAATCTAAAGTCACGAATCACGAGTCACGAATGCTTTTCTGTTTCTGGATTGTTTTTTTAAACAATGTTGGTTGGGTTTAGCAAAGTGGGTGGGCAGGGAGATTGGTCAGTCAGTCGACAGTGGTCTCTAGTGGATTTACGCTGGAACGGTAGGCTAGGGTAGGCTCATGTTGTGCTAAGGTTTTTCTAAGGCAGAATAGGTTGACTAAGAATTAGATATAATTTTAAAGTTGCTTGTACTGTAGTGGAAGGGGAAACTATGTTGCATGACCATCTAAATAAGGTCTTAAGGGGATATTTCACTCTAAAATGAAAAATGTATCATCAATTACTCGATGTTGCAAATCTATTTATGCTTTTTTTCAATTGAATTTTCACAATAATACACACATAACAATACATATTTCGAAGATACATACAGGAAAAACTCAAAACAAAACAAGGGAGAAAAATGGATGAAAAAAGGAAATAAAACATGTCTTAAAAACATTGCTTATTTTCCAGATTATACCTTTTCACTATTCCTTTCTATATGATAGGGCAAAGGATAGGTTCTAAATAATACAAATATTGTCCAAACTTTGAAAAAAAATTTTTGTCCATAAGATGCTCGAGAGGAATTAACAAAAAAAACATCTTGTTCCAGCCTTTAGAAGATGGAGATTTATCATTAATCCAATTAAGTAAAATATTTTTCTGGCTTCAAATGTTGATATATTATGCAATTTCTTATTAGCAGATGAAAAAAGTGTCCATTATTTACAGTATACCCCAAAATCAATGAAACAGGGTCAAAATAACCTTAAAGATCTTTTTATTTCCCCCAGCACCAAAACTTTTGCTGTCTGTTACTTGACCACATACAATGTGTTAAAATACCTACTTCAGTTTTACATTTTAAACAAAGGTGAATTAGAAGGGTTAAAAAGATGTCGGTGGTTACAGGAGATATGGAGTCTTTGTATTATTTTATATAGATTTCTCTTGTACGTGTACAAACAGATTTGCTTAGCATTAGAACAAACATCAACCTATGTTTCCTCATCAATATCAGTATCTAACTCTTTTTCCCATTTGGTTTTATTATGAGAAGGGGGTTGAACATAGTGACCCATAAAAGCAACCCACAGACATTTTTCCTAATGATAAAAATAGTTATCTTATTCCTAACAAGAGTTGTGTTGTTAGTAATGTAATGTCTCAATGGGAAAAAAAATCCTGTTTGAAGAAGATATTTTACATTATTTGTTTTATATAGATACATAGCTACATGTTACCAACCTTCCTGAGAATCCCTTCTGAATCTCATAAATGTTTGGATCCACTTGAGAGTGTGTAAATGTACATTTTTATTTTTGGGTGAACAATTCCTTTAAGCCAGGATTAGACTGTGGGAATTTTTAAACTTGGTTGTAGATTAAGTACATAAGGAGAATCATCACAAAATTCTTCCCTCAAACCTCAAATATGCACACACTACATGCTTTGAAAATTGTGGCAGATCACATGCTACAAAATGTTATTAGATTATTATGCAAGAGTGAGCTGCACATGTGATCTTACAAATCAAATTGTCATTGATGATTTATCAAGCAAAATCTACAGCAGTTTGCAGCTTTTTACACACAAGAGGTATGCTCCAAACAGTAGGGCGTTCTGCCCAGTGCTTTTCTTTGATCTTACGTTTGTTGTACATTTTCCAAGTCTACAAGCTTTCTAGTGGACCAATACAGCAGCTTGTTTTGTGGTTGCAAATAGGCTATTGTATAAATACTGACATTATTATACAGTTATAATCATTCAGATTTAAAATCGTTGATATTAAACATCAAAACCGATCAACATAGGCTCAATCTGAAAACATAGCCCCGTATATATTTCCTGAATTTTGTAGGCATAAGTACGTATGGCTGCATTTCGTCTTTAAAACGAACGCTACAGGGCGGTATGGCGCCGTTCCTTTTCACACTTACGAGCTGACCGTTTACCTCCGTATGGACGGCTATCCTGCTGTTACCAGTTTGTCCGGCAGCTCGACATGTATGCTGGTGGACTTGAGACGCAGAGAGAAGTTGACTGCAAAGACGAGGTTACAGTTTGGCTAAGAACAGTTCCAGAAAGTGAGTAAAAGAAAAACAAAAGCCAAAAAATAAAATAAACAAGTAAATACCAGGGTGAGAATGTGGTAAAATCTGAAAATGTGGTAAACATTAGGCGAGGGCTTTACTTTTTCTGAAGTGCTTTTAAAAATTTTTAGTTGGATTTGGGGAAGTGGGTGGGCAGGTCAATCTGTGCTTTTGAAAACACTATTGGTTGGGTTCGGGGAAGGAAGAGGGTGGGTTAATCGATTGGTCAGTCATTTAGTTGACTTTGATGGATTAATACGAGATCAGCAGGCGTGAATGGCAGTCTTGAGAGAAATTTGAGATCTGAAAAAGCACACACATCGGCCTCTGGTGGATTTGCGAAAACAAAAACTGCAAAAAAAAAAAAAAAAAAAACTTAGCACCTGGGACATATTTGGTGCTCTCCAGAAATGTATATATGGGTAAGTTTTTTGAATGAGCCTGAGTTGAAACTAATGAAGCTCCCAGAGATTTTTTTTTTTAATAAATCAGCCTAAAACTCTAGTAGTAGCAGATGAAAAGTAGATGATACTTTTAATACTCTAATTTCAGGTACTTGACACAGCTATAAATCTATTTGGCTAATTCATTTCTGTTTCCTAGGGATTGGCAGGATTAAGAGGCCCTCAGGGTCCCCCAGGGCCGCCTGGGCCCCCAGGAGCTGATGGCACACCTGTGAGTTATAACTTAGTTTGTGTTGTGAAAAATCAAACCCAACACAAATTCCTTTGCTGAGTCATAAGCATGTGCTTTATCATATCAAAACAATATTTTGCTTTATTTCAGGGTAAAGCAGGGGAGGACGGCAAATCAGGACTGCCTGGAAAGACTGTAAGTGAAGTTATAATTATTCATTCATTCAATCATGTTCTTTTTGGCTTAGTCCCTTTATTAATCCGGGGTCGCCACAACGGAATGAACCGCCAAATTATCCGGCACATGTTTTAAGCAGCGGATGCCCTTCCAGCTGCAACCCATCACTGGGAAACACCCATACACTTCCATTCACACACATACACTACGGACAATTTAGCCTACCCAATTTACCTATATCACATGTATTTTGAACTTGTGGGGGAAACCAGAACGCCCAGAGGAAACCCACGCAAACATGCAAACTCCACACAGCAACTGACTCAGCCGAGGCTTGAACCAGCGACCTTCTTGCTGTGAGGCGAGAGCACAAACCATTGCGCCACCGTGCTGTCCAGCTATAATTATATATTCTTTCAAAAGTATATTTACATCTACAGTACATGCTGGGTACATTTCTCTTGACATTTTCAACAACTCCATTGTAATATAAGTCGCATGCAGTGCTTTCCACACATAAACGCTTATATTAATGGCCGGCCATTTATATAAATTTTTTTTTACCAATATTATCATCCTATTTCACCTTTTTTGTATCCGCCAAAGATAACCAAACATCCTCGTTCAATTAACCAGTGGAAAATCTTCTCTCGCCCTGCACATTTCATACTGCTCATTGTGTGCGTGAACTGTAAACAACAGTTCCTCAGACAGTCTCACGCGCTCTAGAGACCCACAGAGATGTGACTTTTTTAGGCTTGAAAATGCATTCAGCAACTTCAACCAATGATTCTAAATCTCCTAAAATGTCCGGGAGTCGATTTTGGCTTTGGCTTTCTAAAGTTGTTGCGTTTTTGCATTACTTTTTTATTTAAGACTACTTTCCGCTTGGCTTCACAGCTGCCAGCGTGTACACAGCTGCGAGACCGAGAGAAAAAGTAAATAATAGATTCTTTAATCTAAACGACTCAAAAAACTTTACTAAATACTCGGACAAATACATATTAATACAAATATATGTACACCATTATAAATGAGCAATCGACTCATTTGCCTTAAATAAACAATCCACACTTTTTATTTTAGGTATTAATAATTGTTATTAAATATCCATTTTAGAGATATCGTCTGTTTTTATTCATTTTTCCTGTAATTTATTTCTCATTTGCCGTATATAATATTAATTTGATGATGTTAATACATTACATATTTTATACATATCTAATAGGCTTTGGCAATACTGTATTAATGTCATGCCAATAAAGCAACCTGAACTTGAGAGAGAGAATGCAGCTGTGTGCACATGGCTCCTAAATAGCATCATTTTTTTATTTTTTTCAACAGCCATTTCAAATAAACTGTATAACAGTGTCATAATAAATACCAGTATTGTTAAAAATCACATTATTTTTGTTTCACGTGTAGTTAACCATTTATGTGCCATGAGTAAAAGATGTGTTTCAATACGGCTACCACTGCAAGTATATTTCAAACCTGTGGGAAGCACTGCACATGTATGGATTTCCAATCAATTTTTTTTCTCAGATCAGCTCCATCTAGAATGCAGACACTCATTCTAGTTTAGTAGCCACACCAGAGCCCTTGTTCTCCATAAAAGAGACGATTAAACCATCCTGCTGATTATAAATCACCCTCTTAGCAGCCGTTCAGTGGGAGGCAACGCAGCCTAATAAACGCTTTATAGTTCAAATATGTGAGGAGTTTCAGTCAGCCATGTACTAATGTTCGGTTAACCTGACTCAGATAGATTACACCGCTGGCGCCGAGCTTACGCAAATCCCGCTCGTCCTGCAGTTTCTACTGATTTACTGATCACAGCCCCGAACCAGCTGTGGTAATTGCAGGAGCTATATCGGGCTGGATGGCACCCGTCATATATCTGTAATATAAGGCTGCGCGTCGCATGAAGCGTTTAGAAGAGAAATTACTGCTTGAATGAGCCACACAAAATTACAAGAGTTCTCATACCAAAACAGGAAGAGCTGATTACAGGAAGTCTTGATTACAGAAATTATGAAATCGCGCCTTGCACTCCTCCAGATGTCTGTGTTTAGCACCTCGTTTTCTATCGAACTTTTTTTCAGGGCGAAGATGGCGTGCCAGGAGAGGATGGTCGAAAGGTAATAAAACACCTATTGTTGAGCACTCGTGTTTGATTAGATTGTCATTTTTGATAATTAGCGTCTGACAAATCCTGCATTTACAGGGAGATAAAGGAGAGCAGGGGCCTGCTGGAAGAGACGTGAGTTTTTCAAACATATCTTCCTGATCATTCTGTTCTCACACTCTTATTCTGCTTTCACAACATAAGACAAGTCCATCACAGCTTATCAGAAGCAGCACTGAATAACATTTCCAAGTGTACATTTTAGACCGTCTCTGAGAGATATGTTATTTGACCAATTTGTGGATTTCATTTGCTATGTTGCATCAAAGGTAAGCATATAACAGGTTTGTAAAAGGCTGCTGTCCTTGACCCCTACAGTAAGTGCTGCCTAATAGTGTTTCATTTTGTACTCTATGTCTGTACCCGCTGTTTTCTTCCAGCAAATTGTGGCCACATTTTACTCTAAATGTACTCAGATTTGGTTGTTTTCTGTTATTCAGTCCATGTCATTATGTCTAGCTGCCCTTTTTGCTATTTGTCTGCCTCACACAGCTAATTTTCCCATCAGCACAAATCAGATTTGTTTTTAAATGGATGTTTTCAATCAGAAACACGCACACACACACATACACATTCTAAATGTGTGGATGCTCTTCTTCCTGTGCTTGATGCTGAGTGCAGTCAGTAATTATGAGTCAGCAGCCTTATGGGAGAAACTCTTCACTGATGAGTTTATTAGATGTGCAAATTTATGCCCATTAATTAAAGAATTAATTTGTATCATGGTTATTTCTCTCATCTTCTTCTCTCTCTTTCTCGCTCTTTTCTCAGGGTCGAGATGGGATAAAAGGTGATAGGGGCATTGCAGGACCTAGTGGCCCACAAGGTCCTGTTGGACCCCCTGGAGTCCCTGGAAATGTTGGACCACCAGGATCTGTGCGTTTGTGCATGTGTTTGAATATAAATAGACTACTCTGCTCCTCTATTAATCCCACAAGAGTTCTGAAGGATGCTACATTTATGCAGAGAGCTGTATATCTCTATCTTGCTCTGCTTTTTACCAGGTGGTCTATGTTAAAGGGGAGCCGGCAACACCGGGACCTCCAGGGCCTCAGGGCCCTCCAGGAACCCCTGTAAGTAACATCTACCAATGCTGGATCTTTAGTTCATTTCAGTTAGAGACTATGATCATACACCAGGCGCAATAAGGTGCAAGACATGTTTGGCACGATTTGTTGCTATTTTCAGACCAGTGCAACCCTAATTTTCACATTTTGCGACTCACTGTTTTAATAGCATATACTTCTGCGGCAATTTGTGGACTCATGGGTGTTCCGGTCTAAAAAGCAGGTGTATTAAGGTGCATTGTTGGTGCTTTGCTATTTTGAGGACCTAAAATAGACTACGTCATTAACCATCTAAAAGTCTAAAGTCCAGCGCAGAGGCATTAGTTATGCGCCTATGCAGGTCCAAGCACTTACACATTGCTTAATACACACAGGATGTACAGCAATACACAAATATCTTTACATATGAAAAAAAGTAATAGATTAAAGTGTTACAAAATTATTATTTTCTACATAAACATAAAAACCACTGCCTCCATGCCTTCATGTCGGAGGGCGTTTTTCAGTTTATTCATGACAATTTGCAATTGTATAATGTTATTATTATTTTTAGTTTTATTTATTAAAAACAAGTTAAAATTTGTCCTCCTGTCAAGGTTTGGAGACCTATGCATCACCACATAGGGGATAAGAATAGGACATGTGTTTGGATATAACTCAGTTTTTTGACCACACTTCATTATTATTGTCCCTTATTCATTTGCTGGAAATTAGAACAGAATTTAGAAATAGTTTTGAAACAAATCTTTGCACTTAACAAATGAAATTAAATATGTAGGCTAATGGATGTCTTCAGTGGAGTGCATACAACACAGTTTCCTTATTCATTTAAACTAAAGGAGTAAAGTAAAGAGTAAATGCAAAGAGAAAGTAAAGAGGTCGAATGGAGGAGGCTCATTCTTTATTCTCGCGCTGCAGATGGTCTATTGGTCGTTTTCTCGCTAGTGAAGTAATCAGTTTTTCCACATACAAAGTCGCCATGTAAATAGCAAATTTGCCATGGTGCGACGCAACTGACTCTTAAAGGTAATAGGAGATGAGACTATTTGGTTTAATGCATGTTATTCTCAAAACACACCCAGAACTCATTAAGAGAAAAGGCACTACCCTGTTAGGCCATGTGCCACAATTCAGAGCATATTTTCCAACCCGGGCTCATTGTGGGAACGTAGCCCCGCGGACGTTTCTGCGGACCGCAATTTATGTCCCGGGAGGTACGTATTCGAGCGTTTTTTTGTTTTCGCAGGTCCGCGAGAGGCCCGCGCCGTTCTCGCGCGAATAGCCGCCGGATTGAAAAAAAAAAAAAAAAGCAAAAGTCCCTGTCTTCGATTTCGACCGCGTTTTCAGATCCCGCCGCATTCTCGCCCTTATTTTCCGGATTCCGTTTTTCGTCTTACCTGATTTCCGGAACCCGCCGTTCCCCGGACTCGATCCCGGTCGTCGTCCACTGCGGCCGGCTCCGGCTCCGGCTCCGGCTCGTCCTCCTCCTCCGGGGCCTCCGCTCCGCCAACGCAACGCTGTGAGCTAGGCGGACAAACTGATTGCGTCGGGAAAGCCCTCCACTTGGAGGCGAGCCGTCGGCCGGCGAGCGCGAAGAGGAGGGGCGGAGCGGCGCCACACCGCCCCGCAGCATTCACTCGAAAAAAACCAAACGCGGCCTTTACGTACCTCCGGCCACGTAAATCGCGGTCTCCAGAAACGTCCGCGGGGCTACGTTTCCAGAATGAGCTTGGGTTGATATTTTCTATCCTTAAAATAGCAAAAGTGAACACATTCTTAATGCTTTTGCGCCATTCGCTTTAGACTTTGCGCCTAGATCATTAAAATAGAGCCATATGTCTTTTTGCCATATATTATTTAGTTTTTAAAAAAAGCATCACTTTATTTAAATGGAAAACTACAAAATAAATGCAGTATATTGTATTTGATTGTGTTTTTTCAATTAGGGAATACCTGGAGTTCCAGGAGCTGGTGGAGCAAGAGTAAGTTTATCTTGTGTGTGCAAATCAGTTTGTGCTTTTTATATATCATGACGCAAGTTGTCATAATGTGATGATTGTAGGGTGAGCGAGGTCTGCCAGGCTTGAAAGGAGATGTGGTGAGTTTATTTTTTACGTGTATTTAAGTGCTCAGGGCTCTTAGAGCAGACTATAATAATTGAACTCTTTTGATTGCCAGGGTGATCCAGGAGAGGATGGCAAACCAGGAACTTCAGCGGTTAGCAAAATGCTCAAACATGCAGAATAGCACATGCATTGACTGGCAGGATGACTAATGTTGTTTTTCCCATGTTTTGTTACAGGATGTGAAAAGAGCTCTGTCAGATTTTGGCATTGAGGTACTGAAAAGTTTATCAAGATTGACATAGTTTGTTTGCATATATACACAAGTCTCTCTCCTATACTTCAATTTGATTTTTGATTTTACTGTAGGTCAGAGAACTGAAACAATTAGTTGATGAAAAAAGCGTTCTGATGTCAAGGATGAGTGAACTGTCGGGAAAAAAGGGCGAAAAAGGAGAAGTGGGACCTAGAGGCCCTTCAGGAGCAGATGTGAGTTTTATGTTCTTGTGTGATTGAGTGGTGTCTGGTATTCAGTAGCTGGATGAGTGCTGTGTTACAGGGCTTTTTGCAATGAAAATAATGCCACAAAGCCATTGGTGCTGTCCATGGTGCTGAATCAACCAACAACTTACAGTTTTTTTCCCCAATGAATTATTGTCATTTAAATGTCTTATTTTTAAACACCATACTTGTTTTTCAATTATGTATTTGCTTTACAGGGTGCACGGGGTCTTCCAGGTGAGCGAGGTATGAAAGGAGAGCAGGGTGAGAAAGGACCTGCTGGTCCACAAGGTCCTACAGGCAGGGCAATTGGAGAGAGGGGTCCTGAGGGTCCGCCAGGACAAGCAGGTGAACCTGGAAAGCCTGGAATACCAGGAGTACCTGGAAGAGCCGGTGAACTTGGAGAAGCTGGCAGACCTGGGGAGAAGGTAACAAATAAAAATGCATTAGGATTTTGTCACTGTATCTTTTTTTATACATGTTTTTGAAGATAAATAGCTGATTGAAAAAATCATGATATGAAGATAATATAGAAATGAGATTATTGATTGTCTTTGTTGCAGGGAGATAAAGGGGAGAGAGGTGACAAAGGACCAGCTGTAAGTATCATTGCTGTCATTCATGCAAAGCGAATACATGTGAATGAAAGTAATCTAGCCTAATGAAGAAATAAACGTAACTGTTTTTAATTTTCATGTTTTAAGGGTCCAGCAGGATTACCCGGCTTAGGGGGGCCTCCAGGGCCAAAGGTATTTCACATTGTAATTTTTGTACACAATAGTATACAATTTGTAGTTTTCAATTTTGTTTATTAAAAATGAGTAAGTATGAGAGTAGGGAAGAAAGCCTTGAGAATATGCATGCATGCTCAATTAACGTAAGACATCATTTAATTCAATTTAAAACCCTGCATGGATTATACTTATCTGAGGAGAAACTGCATAAGATTTTTCCTCAGGTATCTCCACTCTGTAACAGGTGTAAAACAGCAGAAGGATCCCTAACCTACTTGATATGGTTGTGTCCTAAATTACAAGAATTTTGGGAAAATATATTTATATGTTTTTCTGAAGCCTTTCAAAAACATCTCTAGCCATGTCAATTTATAGCTGTTTTTGAAGTTACTTAGAGATGTTTAATAAATATGAAAGACAAGCTATGCTGTTTGCTATTGTCATTGCCAAAAGGGTCATTTTGGGAATGTGGAAAAAATTGAATATGTACCTAAATTTGGTATGTAAGTTAGAGATCTCGTAAACGTGCTTGCTTTGGAGAGGTTGAGATATATCAATAATGATAAATTAAAGATATTTGACAAAACATGGGGACAGATATTTAAACACCTTAATGCATTGGAAGAAATGCAAGCATAACCAATGACCCCTGTCAATAACATAGTAATTAAAGATTGAGTGAAATTGATGTTTACTATTCATAATCTATAATGTTCTTAATAGTGTGCCCAAGGATAATGCATTTCTTGTGGTATTATAGGAACAATTTTACTTCATAATTACTTGGATTTATACATTACATGACCAGCTAAATTATATTTTGCTTTCATGTCCATTTGTCCATCTGTGTTCTGTTGTTTAGTTGTTCTGTCACAGTTTAGTGTTTTTATATATTGTATTATTATTGTATTGTATTGTTTTTCTTCTATATTGTGTTGTAGTTTTATAAAATGCAAAAAGCTCAAAAATAAACTTTAAAAAAAAAGAAAATTAGTAAGTATGCTTTTGAAATTTTCCCCCCAAGGGAGATTCTGCTTCCGTTCAGAGTGGTTTGCCTGGTCCAAGGGGTCTGCCAGGCCCTGCAGGTGTCCGAGGAGAGCCAGGTGCAGTAGGACCTCAAGGATCTCCTGGAGAGCGGGTGAGGCTGGAGTTTCTGAAACATTTATATGTATAGCAGCATGTTATCTAGGTGCTTGACCTTAGTTGACAGTCTGATTTGTGATATGCTCCCCTCTCAGGGCTACACAGGTGCTCGTGGGGAGAAAGGAGACAAAGGAGCAAGCGGAGAAAGAGGAAAAGATGGCTCCCCAGTGAGTATACCCTTAACTGACAAAAGAACTTAGTCTCTGTTATTTAATTTGCAATCACACTGTTGTTTTCTAATCTTAGGGAAGTCAAGGAGAGTCAGGAAAACCAGGACAAGATGGGAAGCCGGTGAGAAACAAATTCCTTTTAGCTATTATCTTCCTGTTTTAGTTTACATTTTTAAAATTACTTTATATCTAATTAACACTGTATTTGATGTTGTTCTGAGATATCTGCCAAGGTAAGCATCAAAAAGCATTATTATTTTTTTCTTTTTCCACACCATTTGTAGATAATTTGACTTGTCGACTTGTGGAAAAAGCTTTTGTTATTTTTATAATTATTAAAGTGCAAGGATGATATTTGGCTGATGCACAATGACACTAAAGGAAGGACACTACACTGCAATTTTTAGGTAGTATATTTAACTACCTTGGAGTTAAAATTAACACCCCCTTAGAGTTTATATGGGAACCACTATAAAAGTAATAAAATAACACTTTTAATAGAGTTAACTGAGAGCAGGTAAATTAGCAAACTCTTATAGTGTAAAATATCTGTTAAATTTACGGAAAAATACCTAAATTTTTCCGTAGAAAATACGTAGGTTTTATAGAACTGTTTAAATTTACGGAAAATAACCATATTTCATGAAGTGATACAATGTTCAGTTCACAAAATCATAGTTTAGTGCACAAAAATGTAAAGTCATTAGATGCATTAATGTGTTCATGTGTGATTGCAATTAACAAACAGATTTTGACTGCATTAGTAACTACACAGTTACATTTAAACAAAAGAAGATGCAGCACAACTTCACATACGCTCAGTTCATCTTGGACTTGAACACAGACGCTACTATCCTACACAATGGTGACACAAAAAACGTTTTATTTTCTTGATTTTAAGGAAAATACCAGCAGCTGTGGTTACCAGTAATCTACTGTTTTTAACATTTTACCTTCATAAATTCAATCTACAGAATATTTCTGTTTAAATAAATTCCACAGTCTGTATTTTTTACTGAACACATAACCGTGAACCAGCATATCACAGTATTTTGAATTGCTTTTTTAACTTAGGCCAGTAAGTAACCACCAAATTAACTGATTAGAACACCCTATTAACCATCCCCATCATAGCACGTGCACAGGAGCATCATTTGCACAGGCATTTCCACTTACAGATGGTGCTTGATGTGTTTCTATGATTTAACAGCCTTGTTTTTATGTAAGGTAAGTTTAAGGTTCAAGTTTAGGTAAGATGACCAGAGAATGGTGAGTTCTGCAATTCGTCTGCTCTTATTTAAGGGTCCGGTGGTTATTTTGTGGTTAGTTTGCTTTTAGTAGCCATACAGTGTGAACACGTTCTACCACTTATTGATTGGAAAAAAGGAAAAGAGAGTTAGTGGGGAAGAGGAGAGCTTCAGCTCTCACTCACACCTTTATTTATTCTCCTCTGGAGCAGGGTTTGAAGGGACCGGCCGGTCCGCCAGGCCTATCTGTGAGTAACAGCATCCCAACGTGGCAGCCTCTCTTGGGCTTGCCTTTGTAGGAAAATCCTGGGGATTTGCTGCGAGTACTAGGCCTTGCTGTGAGCACTAGCTGACTTTCTTTGCCTGAGGCTACATAGATGAACCACACAGAAGTAACAAATGCAGCACTGCTTCTATCCGCTAACCACTCTGTCTCCTCTCTTCCTCCACCACTCCTTTTCATAATCCCACTTTCTTCATTTTCTGATTCCACTCCACTCGACATTTGGACCATCACACCTCTGCTCTCTCTACACTTCCTGTCCCTCCATTTTTTCCTTCCCCTCTCTTTAGGGCTTGCCTGGGTTCCCAGGAGTGCTGGGCAGACCGGTAGGTTCTCTGTGGCTGAGATAGGCTGCTTTGCTTATAATGGGAAGGGGGGCGTCCTTGTCTGTGTAGTTTGTTTGTGTGTGCTTCTTTGTGTTGTACTTGTGTGAGTGGAAATTTACATTGTCTAATATACATGTTTAATGTGTGTCTTTGAACAGTGTGAATGTTTGTGTTTTTATTTACTACCATTCAAAAGTTTGTAAGATTTTTTTAAAGCATTATTGGGATTTAACTAGTAAGTTTACTTCATAAGAACTCAAATCACATTTTCAAAAATGACAGTTTAACTATCACACAAATAAATGACATTTCAAAACGTATTATATATAAAGTAGCAATTTTATATTGCAATGGTTATAAATAATATTACAGTTTTTATTGTTGAACATTAATTAAATATTACTTAACAAATTAAACATTGCCTTGGTTTTAACCTTAAAGAGACCTTTGAAAAATCTTATGCTCTTAAACTTTTGAAAAGTAATTTATGGCCATATACACACTGCAAGTTTAAGCCCTGGAGAACCAGGACATACACACATACACTACGGACAATTTAGTCTACCCAAATCACCTATAGCTCATGTCTTTGGACTTTGGAGGAAAACGAAGCACCCGGAGAAAACCCACATGAACACGGGAGAACATACAAACTCCACACAGAAATGCCAAGTGATCCAGCCAGGGTTCGAACCAGCTACCTACTTGTGATACTCACTGTGTCACCATGCCACCCTAAATACAGGAGATAATACCCTAAATTAATGTGAGCAATCCAGTTTCTGGAGTTAATAATGTGCTTGCTTTATGAAAGTCACTGTGTTTTTATGTGTGGCTTTTGTATCCTTAACACTAGTTGTTCATTTTTGAGGGGAGTTTGTTTGGTTGTTAATTCAGTAAATTTCTAAATTATGTATACAGAATAGGGTTAAGCACAAAAAATTACTTAAAAGGCACAACCAAATGTTTGCAGTGTGTATATGGCTGATGTGTGTCCTGTGTTTGTGCAGTCAAAAGTAGGCATGGGACGGTATATGATTCCGACGGTATGATAACCTTGGATAAAAATATCACGGTTTCACAGTATTGTGATTACTCTTCTAAAATATATTCGTTTTAAATGTCTAGGTGAAAAACATATATTTTTTAAACAATATTGTTTTTTTGAGAAACATTTTAAATATTTAAAACAGTAAACATATCAGGATAAACTATTTAAATGACTTCATTGACTTCTGCTGTCTTCATTAGTTTCAAAAACACTGATTTCTTTACAATTTAAAACAGCATCTTTGGATATCTCTTTTTTTGCTGGAGATACTGCTGTCCTGAAAAAAAAAAAATATATAACATATACTGTAGGAGCAGAAAATATAGGGTAGAAAACGGTTATCGTCTCATGCCTAGTCTAAAGAATATAGTACAGTATGTCTGTCCATTTAGAGCTTGTGTGTGCTGTTTATGTGTGCATGGGTGTATATATGTGTGTGTGTCTGTGTGTGTGTGTGTGTGTGTGAGTGTGTTCTCTATATTTGTATCAGCACCTTGTTCATATTAAATATGTATTCTGCACAGGGGAATCCAGGAGAACCAGGAATAAGAGGACCAACTGTATGTATATATGCACATTCATGTACAAAAGCAAATTAAATATAGTATTTCTAACCTTTGCTTCGATTTTTCAGGGTCCGATGGGTGGAAATGGACCCCCGGGGCCTCCTGGCGTGAAGGTTAATGCTGCATAATTTGATCTGATTGTCGTGAACTTTGTAATTATAAATAACAACGCATGTATATGTGCACATTTTCTTGTTTAGGGTGACCATGGAGAACCAGGCATTGGAGTTCAAGTAAGTTTTCCAACTGAGTAGCGATAGAATGCTTTCCTTCAGGCGGTTTGATACAAAGCAATGTGTTTTCGGAGTTACATAACTAGAGTTTACTCACTCTTCAATCTTTTCTCTTCATTTTTCAAGGGCCCTCCTGGACCTCAGGGCAACAGAGGTTTACCTGGACCTGCAGGCACTCCAGGAGCCATAGTAAGATCAAAACGCAATATTGGACTCATTCCAACAGCTCAGATGCTTTTGACCTCCGTCTCTCCGTAGAGGTCATTAGACAGTATCTGCAGCTTCAGCTTAGAGCCTCTTCACTCGCTCAGTTCATCTGTCTGTGTTTTATTTATCCTTGGTGCTTGTAGTGTTTAGTTTGCCCTTGTTCAGAAAGCAAAATTACAGTGTTTTTATTCCTCAAGTCCAGAAGGCCTGTTTCAGCAGATAGCACATAAATATTAGTATACCGTTGTTGTTCCGGTGGGTTTAACGTAGACATATTGTTTTCATAGATACTGATGATTTATATTTGTCTGGGTAGGCATGAATTGTAGCGTTTTTTAATGTTTGCAGGGACCACAAGGACCTCAAGGGCTTCCAGGACAAGTGGTGAGTAAATAAACATACCAGACAAGCTAATGTATTACAGAGAATTTGCGAAATGACAATTTTACCTCTTCAAGTAATTGGCATAATGGTGAAAGTGAGGCAAAGCTTGATTGCGGGTCCATGCAACAAATGACAAGTGTCCGCTGTGGGAGAGCACTTGACTTTAGATTTGAACAACAATATAGCCGTTCAGTCACTAATGCTTCTCTGAGGTTGAACTCACAGTTCACTCTCAAACGAATACATTTGCTCTCGGTCAAGCAGTTTCAGGCTCAATCCAGTTATGTGATTGTGGTGTATATATTGCATGGATATGTGTTTTATTTTGAGGTGGTTGGCAATACTCAGACTTATTTTTATTTAAAAAATGTTCTGCCTACATAGACTTTTGAAAAACAGGGCATTCCATAGACGTCTGTAGGGATGTTCGCAGGGTCTTAAAAAATGTATTAAAAGTTGATAAATCAATTATGAGAAAATTAAGGCCCTTAAAAGGTATTGAAAAGTCTTTATTTTACGAGGTATTTTTTGTTCAAGCGTTGTCCAAAACTTTTAACTCCAAAATATGTATATTTATTTTCCTCCTAATATTAACAACGGCATGCTCGATCCACGTAATTGGTTCGGGCCAGGGCGCGTCAGGCTAAGCTCATCTGTCTGGGTGATGTCACGTAATTTGCGAAAGACTCGGAAAGGTGATGTGACGCACTCAACATGTAGCAAAACCATAGAGCAAAACAGGCGGAAAATGTATGTTTGCGTACTCCTGGTAAACAGTGGCAATGTTTAAACAGTGGCTGAAGCCTGTCACTGAAAACAACCACGTAATTTATTCTTTCAAGCTTTGTGTCTTCTGATCTTATCTGAGTTCTGTTACATGGTTGTGCTTCATTGATTTATTTAACTAAAACTTTTTATTAACAACTGTTTATAAAGTTAAATGTTTTACTTATACTGAGTAGAACTTGAAGTGGTGATGAGGTCTTAAAATATTCTGATAAGGTCTTTAAAAAGGTTTTGAAATTATCTTTAGGATTGCTGCATATACCTTCTAACCAATTCCCTAAACAATGAAAGTTTCAAGGTATTCTGTTTATTTATATGCAGGTTTTATGCATTAAAGGGATTGGGTAACACAAAAATCTAAATTTACTGACTATTTACTAGGGGTGTGAACCTACACTACACTGAACACCTCTCACTGTTCGGTTCAGTTTACGATTATCATGTCATCAATTCGGTTCAATTCGATATCTTGGTGCATTGACAATGATTTCCACATACATTTATCATTTTTTCTACACAACAAGATTCTTGAACTAAAATTTTCAAACATATTTATATTTATACTATAGTATTTGTAATCCAATTTTGTCCTTTAACACAAGCACTCAGAAATATAATCTGTACCTTTAATTTTATCTGCTCAAAGGAAACCTTTTTGAATGTTTCAAGCAAAACTCAAATAAAATCACAGAAGACAACATGAGCATTTATAGTAAATGAACTAATGTAAATATTATTCAGCTTGCTTTTTGAGCATTGTTGAGCATTTAATCAGCGCTTAACAGAAAAGGCTGCGATTGGCTCTAAAACTGACAATACTGTTGCCCGATGAGTGAGGTGGACATTGAAGAATGTGCGTTAACAGTCTATATGCACGTAATAATCACAGCTGATCTGTAACAAACATCGTGGAGAAAACTCAATCTACAGACACACTCGTGTCAGGATCCACAAGTATCACTTTAGTCCAGCAAACTTGCATTCGCTTAATAGTGCACAGTTGTCTGCTTTTTAGGTAGTTGGAGCATTTTAATTACTCGCCCTCGCCTTGTTCGAATAGTATTCTACTGTGACATAGCGCTTCTGAGATCAAGGACGTCAGTATGTTAAAACCGGTGATAATCAATGAATGAACTGATACTGAATTGTCCACATCTGCATCACGGTGCACTAAAGAAACAATTAATTTTGACACCCCTACTTTTTACCAAGAAGATGGATTAAAAGAAGCTATAAACCTGTACCCACTGACTTCCATACTATAAAACAGATAAGAAATAAGTCAGTGGTTTCCAGCTACTTTCAGTATCTTCTTGTGTGTTCAATGGAAGAAAGAAAGTCTAACAGGTTTGGATCAAGTAAATAGTGAGTAAATAATGACAGAACTTCCAGTTTTGGGTGAACTATCCCTTTAACACAGACAAAAATCTATTTTATACACTGCATTTTATTGAATTAATTTGAATAGTTTGTTGTTTGTGACTGGTAATAATGAATTTGTTTGCTTATGTAATGTGACTGAGGCCTGGCACTTGTTACAGTAATGAGGTTATCTCTTTAACATGATTTGATAAACAGGGAGAGGGGGGCAAGCCTGGGGTCCCAGGAAGAGACGGTGCTCCGGGTAAAGATGGCCTGCCAGGCTTAAATGGTAAACAGGTGAGTGCTTAGATGCCCTTGATGTTTACAAAGAGATACGTGCATTCATTTAATAATCCTCTACAACTGTTTTTCGTGTTTTTTCTCTCCTTTCTTATCTTCCCTACTTAACCACTCTTTCTCTGTTGTTATTATTTTTCTGTCACTTTATTCAGGGTATTGCAGGACCGGTCGGTCCCCAAGGACTTAAAGGAGAGCAAGGAGACAGCGGTCCTCCAGGAAAGGTATATCTGCATGTTTGAGTTTGAACGTAATATGTAGTTTGATTGAGGCTTTGTCTTTTATTTCCAACCTGTTCAATTTATCTCCATTTATTTTTCTACTGTGCTGTGCAGTCTGTCACCGGACCCCCTGGAATGAAGGGTGAGATGGTGAGTTGTTGCCATGGTTACATCATAGCGAACACTGTGTGCAGATCAACCTGTCTCACCTGCCTGACAGATAATCTCATTTGAGGCAAACATAATGTTAGAGCGCATGTACGTGAGCGCTTCAGCAGATCTTCTCTCAGTGTTGTCACACTCAAATACCAACCGAGCAGCAGCACAAAGTATTAAAGTAAACCTCGGACAAGTGATGACTTTTATTTGTTCAATCCAAGCAGAAAGGTTAAGTTTTGTCTGACTTTAAGCTAATGCTTTGTGACTGCCATGGGGAAAAAATGCTTTCCTTGATCCTCAGGTTTGTTTTTCATAGTAAAAAGTACTTGGTTTTTGTGTTCACTTTTAAAACAAATCAACAGAAGCTATGGAGCCAGATCAGTCTCAAAAAATAATACATTTACAAAATAAAATGTATACATGGATAGCACAATTCACATTTACAAAAAACTAGTTGTAAGTTTAAAACACAATTTGTTAATACACAAATCCAATTTGTAAATTCAAAATGCAATTCATAAATATACAAATCTAATTAGTAAATTTAAAATGCGATTCACAAATATAAAAATCCAACTCGTAAATTCCAAATGCATTTTATGAATACACAAATCCAATAAAAAATTTTAAAAACGCAAATCATAAATACACAAATCCAATTAGTAAATTCAAAACGCGATTTATAAATACACAAATCCATTAAAAAAATTTCAAAACACAAGTCATAAATACACAAATCAAATTCATAAAGTCAAAATGCAATTCTTAAATGCACAAATCCAGTTCGTATTTTCAAAATGCAAGTCATAAATACACAAATCCAATTAGTAAATTCAAAACACAAGTCATAAATACACAAATCCACTTCGTAAATTCGAAACACAAGTCATAAATACACAAATTAAATTCATAAAGTCAAAATGCAATTCATAAATGCACAAATCCAGTTCGTATATTCAAAACGCAAGTCATAAATATACAAATCAAATTCGTAAAAATTACAACGCGATACATAAATGCACAGATCCAATTTGTAAATTCCAAAGGCAATTCATAAATACACAAATCCAATTCGTAAATTCAAACTCGATTCATAAATACACAAATATAATTTGTAAATTCAAAACGAGATACATAAATACACAAATACAATTTGTGAAAATTTAAAATACAATTCTTAAATACACATATCCAATTAATTTGGCAAAAAATATTCATAATTTTTACCTATGAATTCACAAATCGTGTGATGTATGTATGAGTTGTGTTTTGATTTACAAATTGGATTTTGTAAATGTGAATTTTAAGAATTGTATTTTGTAAATATTTTTGAGACTGATCTGGCTCCGAAAAGCTGGTTTATTGCATTTTAAAACAGCACATCAGATTACATATTCATATATTGTGTACATAGCTACCATTCAAGTTGATCTGACCATATTTTGTTTCTTAAAGGCATTTTAGTAAATTCTGTTTGATTGAATAATTTAGTTAAATTCCAGTATATCACATTCTCAGGCATTGTTAGATTAATAAGTTATTGACAATATTTCATTCATTTGTTCATCCAATTATCCCATTAATATTTATTTATTTTTTCATTTGCCTTAGGTAGGTAGAGTAGGTATAGTTTAATACTCAAAAACATCAGTTTTAGTGAATAAACTTTATGTGCAAACTTTATGACCCTCTTTTTCAGCACTCTGCCATCTCTGACACAAATACTCTGTAATTGTGTCTTATTGTGTGTGAGTTTATTTAGGTATCGGCACCGTTGTGCTCCATATATATTTATATATTGACTACATTTTTTGACGGAATTATGACAGGACAGGAACAGGGAGGTAAATTACTCTGGCCTATTGCACATTAAATGCTATAGGCAAAATCCATCACCTGCCTTCCCTGTACAGCCAAACACTTCCAGGAGTAACTAATCTGTCAGAAGATGCCATCCACAGTTTCACCTGTGATGAATCTTTATAGTATCTGAAAAAGATGTACGAGGTGTGCAGAATGACCTGAAAAAACATGAACAGTATAAACAGAAGCACACATGCAGTCAGTGCACTCATCCATCTGGTTCTTTACCAGTTCTCCTGAGGGAAGCGGTAGGCTTATCTACACTGTGGCAGGATATAAATTATAGATAATGGCCTATAGATTTGTTATTTCTGACATGAATATACCACATCATTAACTCATGTAATGGCTGATTGTTTAAGGGTCCGCCTGGTCAGACATTGCCAGGTACCCCTGGAGAAAGTGGCCTTCCTGGATTACAGGTGAGTTTCACTCATTTTCATCAGTTCTTTTAGTTTGTAAGTAATAATACTTTTATGAGTGATACACTGTTTATAAGGTTTATATGTGTTAATCTGCATTTTATTTAATGCATGGCCCCTTAGTTTGTGGTCATATTTTGTAATTTGTTATCCGTTGTAATTAAATGGAAATGTCACCCTAAAATGTAAATTTAGCTCACTATTTATTGAACCTCAAGTGATTCCAATCATTTATGAGTTTCTTTCTTCTGCTGAACACAAACGAAGATATTCTGAAGAATGATGGAAACCGGTAGCCATTATCTTTTATTGTAGAAACAAAAAGTACTATGGATGTCAATGGCTGCCGGTTTCCAACATTCTTCAAAATATATTCTTTTTTTTGTACAACAGAAGAATTAGACTAGTAGGTTTGGAAAAAGTGGAAGGAAAATAAATGATGATGACAGAATTGTCATTTTTTGGGTGAAATATCCTTAAAGGTAATTTGTAGAAGTGATTCTGAATTAACATTTCATACACATACTAATGCGGCTGCTTTGCTTTTTAGGGCCCAAAAGGAGACAAGGGGCCAGCAGGGATCAAAGGAGAAAGAGTGAGTGGTGATAATATAAGAAAGTGCCAATGCAGACTGTGAAGAAATGGAATTTAAAGTGTTATTTACTCACAGGGTGCTGCGGGAGATCCTGGAGATCCTGGGGAGAATGTGAGTACCTGCATTGACTTCAGAGGCAGAACTGCCAGCACCACAATCACTTTCATCTCCTCTATAATACATGCATCATTAAAAGACTCTTTATTGTTCAGGGAGTGAGAGGACCCCCGGGACCCAAAGGGGTCAAAGGAGAGGCTGGAGTGGGGATGACTGGTCCTCCAGGACAGCCGGGACCCATTGGCTTGAAGGTTATTGATTCATTTTATTTTAGAGATGTTTTTAAAACTGTTGCTAAGAAACCTTTTAAACCAATCAACTCATTCCACATTGTTTAGGTGATAAGCTAAATGATAACTACAGTATAGTCAGCCACAGAAACTGTCAAAAATCTAGCCTGCTTATTAAAGTAAATGTTTTTAATTGGTTCCAGGGTGACCCTGGCTTACCAGGTCCTCCGGGCCCTCCTGGGCCACGTGGATTAGATGGGACGCCAGGACTGGCAGGACAGAGAGGGGAAGCAGGTCAGCCAGGACCCCCTGGACTACCAGGAGAAAGGGTTAGTAGAGTCACTGCAGACACAAAAACAAATCTAGACTAAAAATGACATACGTTTAGGTAGACTATTACTTCATGTATTCAGTAACATTAAACACATTTCCTAATTTTTTGTTGTGTCCCTCTGCTGCATCTAATGATTGATTGATGATGAGTAATTCTGGTGGTGCTTTTTATTCTGTTTAAGGGTCTTAACGGAATTATAGGCAAAACAGGAAATCCAGGAACACCAGGAGATGCTGGACCACCTGGACCCACTGTAAGTCACTGACAGGTTCAAATTAAATAGTGTGTGTAGGCATTTAAATACAGTTTTTTCTTAGAGCAAGTATAACAGCGATGTCCTTATCTTCATATTAGGGTGCTGCAGGCCTTCCAGGACTTAAGGGTGATAAGGTATGTCATGTGTGGCTTGCAGAGCTTCTAGCCTACAATTTTTCTTTTTAATTTAAAAAATTCAGAAGCACTGTCAAAAATTTAGCAGCTGATGTCATGCAGATGAAAAGGGAGCTTACAGTACCCATTATGACAGAAAAATATGGGAGACATGATAAAGCAATGATGAACCAATGTAGGTAATTTAACAGTTGATGAAATGAAATAGATGAAATTAAACATGCTCGTCTTCATTTCTTGGTTTTGAACCGTTAAACTAGAACTTTTATTAACTGCATGGTAATTTTAAACATCTAGTTTGCTGGCAACATAGAGTTCTCATTAACAGATGGTTGGCACATGTAATGTTGCATTTTCAAACGCACGTCATTCAGTAACTGACCCAAATTCGCAGCCCTTTCAGAGATGGAGTTTGTGTGTAGCAGCATTTTCTGCAAACCGAACCACTTTGAGCTGCCAAAAATACAGAATCATGAGCTGTTGTTAATTTATATGTAAATTAACAAAATGACACTATTCAATTGGAAACACATATTTTGGATTATAAAGGAGCTTAATTTTGGTCTTTGCAATTTTTACTCACATTTTGCTTTGACAAATGTTTATTTATTGATGACCTTCACTTGGTTCTGTCTAATCGGGTCATGATAGTTTTTTTTCTTATTTGGTTCATGATGATTTTCCCCACTGATTCTGGTAACAATTTATGGAGTGTGTCTCAGCCCAAATGCATATTATCACTAGAGCAAAATATGAATTTGCAGAGGCAGTGATTCAGTTCACTTGCCTTTTTTTTTACCTATCAATTGATATGATAATTACATTTAGGGCTCTATTTTAACGATCTGGGGCAAAGTCTAAAGTGCATGGCGCAAAAGCATTAAGGGCGTGTCCGAATCCACTTTTGCTATTTTAAGGACGGAAAAATACACTTTGCGCCCCAGCGCATGCTCTAACAGGGTTGTGCTAATTTTTTATTGAGTAATGGGTAGACCCACATGGAATCTGTGCATGCAGAAATCTGCAGATTTTTAGCCCATCATTGAGTCTATGTATTTACTTATGTAAATGTGTGTAAATGTATATTTATTCAGTTTTTATATTCATTTCAGAAATATTATTGACTAATATGAAAATGTTTAAATGATTTATTTACAATACAGTTTGTAAAGTGTTTCAGTAGATATATCATTTGAGATTTGCTTTGCTTACCAATTTAGTAGATCTAATTAGATTTGCTTTGGAGACATTAAATAAAAGTTTAGCCACAATGCTCACAAAATCATTCCGCATAAATCCACAGATTTTTACAAAATTCTCCACAAAAATACCAAAAAATGTCAATAGATTCCGTCTAGCCCTAGTTATGGGTGTGTTTTAGCATAACGTGCATTAAAACAATCAGAGTCTCATCTCCTATCGCCTTTAAGATTCAGGTGCTTCAAGCCATGGTGCATTTGCTATTTACATGTCGGACCTTGTAAGTGTAAAAACTCAAAGCTTTACAAGCCAGAAAGCAGTTAACAAACCATGAGCAGTGCGAGTGAGGATAAAGAACGAATCTCCTCAATTCAGCCTCTTTACTTTACTTTTACTCTTTACTCCTTAACTTTCATGCATCATCTCACTACATTTCACTCCACTGAAGATATCCATTAGCCTACATATTTAATTTTGTTTGTTAAGCGCAAAGATTTGTTTCAAAACTATTTCTATATTCTGTTCCGATTTCCAGCAAACGAATAAATGTAACAAAGTTTGGTCAAAAACTGAGTTTGTATATTGCTGTACATTCTCTGTACATCATCCTCTTTAGATTTGCTTTTAGTTGGTCAGTGGCGCAGTCTATTTCAGTTCCTTAAAATAGCAACGGTCAACAATGTACATTAACACACCTCCTTTTTAGACCAGCACACACATGAGTCTACAAAGTGGTGCAAATTGATTTGCTATCTAAACAACATGGCACAAAACATTAAAAAAGGGGTTGCGCTGGTCTAAAAAAAGCAACAAATCGTGTCAAACATGTCCTGCATCTTATTGCGCCTGGTGTATGATAGGTGTTTAAGTAAGTGTTACAGTAAGAAATTAAAAATACTATGATTTTACAAAAGTGCTCTCCGACCTTTAGGCCGCATTGGATATGAGCTTTTTATTTTAGAATGAAGAAAGCAGGCCATCGCAAAAGCTAAAACTCCATAACCAGCTTGTCTCTGTCAGTCAGAGCCACTTTTATGAGATTCTATCGGACAAAATGAAGTCATTACCCTTCTTCTTTCTCATTTTCCTCCACATTCAGGGTGAAATTGGTGTTGGAGTGCCAGGTCAAAGAGGGGAGCGGGGAGACCCAGGACCTCGTGTAATGCCCACCTCTTCTGTAACTTATGTTAATTCGCTTGTATGCATGTCAGACTGTGATGATGTTTTGTTTGTGTCTGATTTTGGTAGGGAGAAGAAGGTCGGGCTGGAGCAGATGGAGAGAGAGGCACTACTGTAAATATACTCTTCCTTCCTGTTCGCAACATTCGGCATTCAGTCATTATTTTTTACCCCACCACATCCTGTTTGCTGTACATATTGATGCCAGTCAGGCAGAAACAGTCAGTCTCTCTTGATGGGTGTCATTGATCTGAGCCCTCATCTAGATCTAGGCTGATGCAGGGAGAGCTGTACGAACACACTGTATTCGTCACATTTTATATTCAGGGCTATGATGCGTTCGTCTCCCACTCGCTGCAATTTCAAAAGCATTATGAGTCAAGGCCTCTTGCAGCGCTGCACGTCTGCCATCAACAAATGCATACAAATGTTCAGGCAAATAAGATTTCTCCTCCACTCATCTGTCTGTCCCATTGACAGGGTCCTCCTGGAAGCAAAGGGAACAGAGGAGATAAGGTGTGTAAATCCTCTCGTCTGCTGCTCCAATATGTCTTTTTAACACACACATTCTGAATATATCTTTATCTATCTACCCATCCTTTCATCCATCCATCCGTCTGTCTGTCTGTCTGTCTGTCTGTCTGTCTGTCAGTCTATCTATCTATCTATCTATCTATCTATCTATCTATCTATCTATCTATCTATCTATCTATCTATCTATCTATCTATCTATCTATCTATCTATCTATCTATCTATCTATCTATCTATCTATCTATCTATCTATCCATCTTTCTGTCTTTCTGTTTATCTGTCCGTCTGTCCATCCATCCATCCATTCATATTTATATATACATCCATTTATCTATGTTTCCATCCATCCATTCATATCTATCTTTCTATCCATTCATGTCTATCTATCTATCTATCTATCTATCTATCTATCTATCTATCTATCTATCTATCTATCTATCTATCTATCTATCTATCTATCTATCTATCTATCTATCTATCTATCCATCTATCCATCTTTCTGTTCTTCTGTCCATCCATCCATCCATCCACCTTTCTGTCTTTCTGTCCATCTGTCCGTCCATCCATCCATCCACCAACCCATCCATCCATCGTTCCATCCATCCATCCATCCATCCATCCATTAATCCATGCATCCGTCCGTCTATTCATCCATTCATATTTATATACAGTACCTATCTATATATTTATCCATCCATCCATTCATATTTATATACAGTACCTATCTATATATTTATCCATCCATCCATCCATCCATCCATTCATATTTATATACAGTACCTATCTATATATTTATCCATCTATTCATCCATCCATTCATATCTGTCTATCTATCTATCTATCTATCTATCTATCTATCTATCTATCTATCTATCTATCTATCTATCTATCTATCTATCTATCTATCTATCTATCTATCTATCTATCCATTCATTCTTCCACCCACATTTATATATTTACATCCAACCATCCAATTTATCTGTATTATGCTATATATATATATATATATATATATATATATATATATATATATATATATATATATATATATATATATATATATATAAATAATGTTATGTTAGAGAAAATAAGGTATAATATTCAGTATACCAATTCTTCACAGGGTGAGCAAGGTCCTTCGGGAATTAAAGGAGAAAAGGTAATTTTAATGTACATTTAATATGCATAAATGCGATTATTTATTACTTGATTATTTTTGAGTAATATGCTACACTTGTGCATTTGTTGACATGTAGCTGTATAATAAGCAGGCAGTTCTTTGGCCATTATTGCAAAATAAACCACATCAATGGTGATTATGACATTAATGCAATACAGAGAGGTCTTACATAATCCTCAGGGGGTCATTTTGCATATTGGATATATATTCTGATCTTATTTGTACATAATTGATGGGTTTTATCTCTCTGTATTTGATTTTGAATCTTCAAGGGAGAAACGCAGCTGGTGGGAGGGCCTCCAGGAGAGAAAGGAGTGAAAGGAGAAACCGTAAGTCAGATTTTTTGATGGAGCTGTCTCAGGTGTTTAACCACTTTAGGTCACTTTATGAAAGATTAAAGTCCAATAATGAAGGTTAGGTTCCTGAAGGGACTCTTGCCTATGAGAAGTGGTCATAAAAAATTCATGCTTGCCTACCTCAGGATCTATAGACTGTTAACAAGTCAGTAACCAACAGGATAAAGGCAGATCTTTTGGGTCGATCTGATCTAATCAGTTATATTGATTGCTGCTCTGCTCAGGGTGAGCGAGGACCTAAAGGCGGACAAGGTGAAAAGGGTGCAAAGGGACAGGAAGGACCACCAGGAGAACAGGCAAGAATTTTTATCATCTATTTATAATGTATTTAAAAATGGTAAATATAAATGTATTAATGTTAATATTAGTTTTTAGTTGTTTTTTTCTATTCAGACAGAACACTTGTGGCAGGGCCGACATGAAAGAGAAGATTAGAAAATATGTGTAGCAGATTTTTGTTTATTAAACAAACAAAAAAAGCAAAAAAGTAATCCAGTGGTGTAGATTAGGGGTATAACGGTACATGTATTCATCCTGAACCGTAACAGTCCAGGGGTGATAGTTCTGTTCACATGTTCCCACAGTAAATACAGGCAGTCCAGATGTGCGTCACTGCTAATAGACAGAAAAAATCCTCAGCAGTGCAACAACTTAACAGTCATTCACAACGAACACCTCTGAAAACACTGATTGTTGCTAGAAGGGATACAGTGTTTTTCTGTTGTTAGCTGAATGTTTCACTCAACCTTTGAAAGTTTAATACGCAGTCTAATTATTCATTTTTATTTTTTATTATTCTGTTTATTTTGTACTTCATTCATTGAATTTATTTTTGTACTTTTTCATTACAAGTAGCTTTTCAGTTCTGTAGCTGATTGTGACAAAACACTTCTGCTTGTTCAAAATAAACAGAATTATTAATATTATATATTATTATTATTATTATTATTATTACTGTTGTATCGTACACGTACTGAACCATGACTCCAAAACCGAGGTAGGTACTGAACCCTGACTTCACTGTACAGTTACACCCCTAATGTCGATATACAAAAGATTTAGCCAAGGATGTCAGGACACAGGGATCAGTATATATGGAAGATAATAAGCAACCAAACAAGGCACAGATAAACACAATCTGAAATCTTGCAAACATTTCCTTCCTGTGTATTATATTAGTTGACCAATGTAGGAAATAGGGAATGAGGGTATAGGGCATACCTCAAATCAAATGTCATTAATCTTTTCTTCACTGTATAACTTGCACATTATGATTACAGAGCAACAAATGAATTTTCTTTATTTGTATTTTTCGATTGCTTTCCTAACTTTTTATGCTCATTTAGGACAAAATTAGTTGTGTTAAAAAAACCACCAAGATTGACATCTTTTGATGTTATTATTATTATTATTATTATTATTATGTGTATATGTCTGTTCAAACACACACCCAAAACCCAGACATTCATTCTGCTTCACGTCACGTGTACAGAATCCAAACGGCATCTATTTATCACCTTGGAGCGTGTCAGCTAACAGTCACGCACCGCTACATTACTGTTTTGAGGGTTTCATAGAAGGGGCAACGGAACCTGTAATGAAAAGGAAAGGGAATCCAGACGTTTTTATTTTTATTTCAAAGTGTTTTTATTCCCAAATAAAGCGAAAGCACAGAACAGACTCACATTTAAGAGCAAGGGTTGGTTCGGCAGTAAAGGTTACGTTTATGGTGGATTGACTTTTTAATGTTTATTGCCACCCTTCAGAGAAAGATTGAAAATACAGGAGAAATACGGGAAAATACCTTTATGGGATGATATCGGTATAGAATACAGGAGAATCCCAGAAAAAACGGGAGGGTTGACAGGTATGGTATAGGGGCAATTAAACAGCTTAAAGGTGCAGTGGGTGATCTGCCTAAATGCTAACCGCTTAGCATATTATCTTTGGATAGCGGGGAGGGACTGAAATTCAAAGCCACGCCTCCTGAAATGGCGAACTCGCGCAGCACATCACAACAGCAGACAACTTACTTGTTCATGTCATTCACCAGTAAGAAATGCCATTTCAGAGCGAAAATTCGGAGTAGCATGGTAAACAATGTAGGAAGGCTGTCATTAATTAGAAATAAACTAATTTGAATATAAAAGCAACTTCAGCTTAATGAAGCAGGTTAGACGGAATAGCGCTATTTACTGATGTTTTGTTGTTAAACGAAATACAAATCTACATCATTGATGCTGTTAAAGGACCTTATAAAACTGAAAATAGTCACATCAAACTTTCACTGGGAGATTTCAGTGGCTGATAAATGCATCTGTGCAAATAAGACATTCATAACTCAACACAATCTAACACAAGCTTAGCCTGACTAAAAAAGTTTTAAAACAGAACATTACCTGTCTAAACGTAATACTTTATCCATGGTGTTGTCCTTCCTTCAGTGAGCAAATAGTAACTCCAAGATTTTTTAAAAGTTTCAATTCAGCATTTGATTTCACCGCGTCTGTGATTGTCTCATGTGCACGTGTGCTCACACATGTGGCCGATCTGCGTGAATGCGCAAAGGCCCAAATCTGCATTTGCTGACAGACAGTATGAGCTACTTATCGGAATTACGGGAGATGTCGACCCGACAATATTTAATTGGATGAACATTTTTTTAGTTTTATGCCTTACCCAGAATATAAAAGTACATATAAACACATTTAGATCATTTACTTTAATCAGTAATATTCGACTGTGAAGAGACTTTCTACCAGCACACAAAACATGTTTCTGAAGACAATCACCTACTGCACCTTTAATACTCAGGAAAATACAGATTAAAATTATTGGAAGCAAACACTTACTCTAAACCAAATGTTACAATTTTATAGAATTAGCTTAGTTAGCTTATAATTTAAACATTGATGCATTTTTTTAAATGTTGCCAATTCAAAACTTGCTTATTTTTACGTGTTTCTATAGCTGGTCTACTAAAATTCCATAATTACAGACTCTACAGTACAATCGTAGAACTGTATCATTCATTTTTTCTTCCAAGTGTGGACTTGGAAGAATCTGACGATGAATATTCGAGTATGTTAAAGTATGTTACAAATTTTCATGTGAGATTGCATCAATCGCTTCAATCAGAAACGTCTAAAAAGCAGATGACTTCATTTATTCTTAATTTTGTCTACTTGCTGTTATGCAGAAATATAGATAAACAGCAGCTATTAAACAGATCTCATTCTTGATTCTTCTCTCATGTTGGTAGGGTCTAAGAGGAGAGCAGGGAGAAAGAGGTTCAACCGGCTTCCAAGGAGCACGCGGCCCTGGTGGCCAGAAGGTGAAATAAAAACTCTCCTCGACACATGCATATACATGAATACATTCGAGCATGCCTGCGTCTGAATTTCACACTAATCGGATGTTTGCTTATCATTTACAGGGGGAAGCAGGGCAGCCAGGTGTCCCAGGAGAAGCAGTGCGTATTCATATTTAGCAGCCTATAACGTCAGCGCATGACTGGCACATGCAGTCCCCAGACTCAGCCGTTTCCCCATGACTGAATCTTATTTTTTTTTATCTGTCCTCTACAGGGAACACCTGGTAAAGATGGCCTGCCTGGCATGAGAGGAGAGAAGGGAGAAGTTGGGCTCATAGGATTGCGAGGCCTCAAGGTGTGTGTGTGTGTGTGTGTGTGTGTGTGTGTGTGTGTGTGTGTGTGTGTGTGTGTGTGTGTGTGTGCGCGTTTTAATGGTTGTCTCTTTGATTAAAACTCAAACTGACTCTTGCAAGCTCTATCGGTAACCTTGATGAGCCCTTCAGACCAGATGATCACACTGCTTATAATTCTGCCACAGTCTGGATTCCAGGCCATTGTATCTGACATTCATCTGCTTATGTACCTTAGAGCCACCGAATTAAAGTTTTTGTGTGTGCAAGTGCGTATGTGTGTGTGTGTCTGCGTATGTGTAGAGAAATTGATTTGTCGAGTGCAGCGAGGCACATGAAAGACTCCCGCGTATGAATCATTCCTCTCAGGGATTCATGGGCCGCTGCAGACAGTACTAGCTGCCCTTCTGCCAGAGGCAACATGAACGCACTTACATAGCAGATAAGAACTTTTATCTGGGTTCAACATCCCTGACAGACCTCTATCTGTTGTCAGTAATGAGAAAGACAGTAATTGAAGGGTTTGTGCGCTCGTGTGTATGACTGACACATGAATGGTGCTTTATTCTTCCTAAATAGTCCCTCCCAGAGAGCGTTTCTTTTTCTGGCGTTGTTACTCACTGTCACAATGAGTGATTGACAGTTTGACTGAGCTTTAATGGCTTACAGGGGGAACGAGGCTCCAAGGGGGTTTGTGGACCAAGCGGACAAAAGGGAGACAAGGTGAGTAACATGGAGAGCTTGAGGAAAGTTTGTGTTGTGTCTGCTTGTTTTTGCTGGGAGTGACGAAATGCGTCTGTTCACAGGGGGATTCTGGGATTAATGGAAGACCGGGATTGCCTGGGAGGAAAGGAGAGCAGGTACGGATGCATGTATTTATGAGTGATGCACTGTATAAAATGATTTGTTCGCTCAACTTAACTTAGTTAAGTCATCTTGTTGCATTGACTCAGTTAAATTGTATTGACTTAATTCTCAAGGTTTTCTCAACTTAAAATGTTTACTTGACATCGCTAAATAATTGACCCAACTACTTATTTCAAGTTAACTGAACTTGCAATGTTTAGTTTTAATAGTTTCCTTCATTATCAAATTAGCAGAACTTGCCATATTTAGTTTAAATAACTTAACATACATTTTCAAGTTCACTGAACTTAATTTAGCAGATTTTCTCTGCTAAAAGAACAGACAACGAAATACATTGCACATTTTATCAAAGGTATTTACTTCCAATTTAGCAATTACAAACACTATTTTTATACGCATATTGAGATATTGCAACTTTAAACCTAAAACAAACTTTACTAAGCTTCTTAAATTTGGCCAAACTCCACATATAGCAAATGTCGAATCTGCTCTAGAAACAATTATACTGGGAACAATACATTAATAATCAAATTTAAAGAAGCATCACTTACCATATGTGATGATTGAACTATTAAAAAATCTGGCGAAAAGTATCCCAGGTGTCTGACTTCTGGTGTTTAATGGGGAGTTGGTAAACTGACTTAATGGTGTATGTTCTGCCACCTGCTGAACTGGAAGTATGGGACACAACTTAAAGAATACTGGTTCAGCAAATGTTTTTAAGTTGAGTTGACAAACACTCTATTGCAGACGAGTTAAGACAGCAAAACATTACCAGGTTAACTTGAATTACCAACTTTGTTGTTTCAACTTACACAATTGTGTTGAAAAAACTAAAATGCAGAATATTTTTTTACAGTGTGGAGGCATGTGATTTCTTCATTTCTGTTGTTATCATGTTTTGATGGCAAGATTTATTTCAGGGTGAAGTCGGGCTTCAAGGACCCATTGGAAGTCCAGGGAAGGAGGGACTCATTGGAGCCAAGGTTGGAGGATAATGCCAGTTTGACATTTACACTGCCGTTTCAGTCATTTTTAAACTGTTGAACAAACTTTAGTATTTGAGTTTTTTTTAGTAATATAAAGGTCAGAGACAAACAAGTGTGTCATTGAGTTTAGTAATTTGAAATTTTTGTCTGTATTTGTAATGTGTGCTGTTTAAATTTAAACCTTTTTAGCAAAATAATTGATGACTAATGTTCATTTTAACAATAATTTACAGAAACCACTCACAAAAATGTCAGTTAGTGTAAATATATTTTTGGATATCAAACAATTTGGTCAGGAATACTGTACATATCAACTCTATTTAAGCATTACAATACATAATTAAAATACATATATTTTACTCATCCTAATTTTAGTATTTATTTTTGTAATCTTTAGAAATAAACACTTTAAATCTTGTTTCTTTTTTTCAAACCATTACGTGTTACAGCTTTGTCAGGAAGTTGTCAGTTGTAATATTCATTCATTCATTCATTTTCTTTTCGACTTAGTCCGTTTATTAATCCGGGGTCACCACAGCGGAATGAACCATCAACTTATCAAGCACGTTTTTATGCAGCGGATGCCCTTCCAGCTGCAACCCATCTCTGGGAAACATCCACACACACTCATTCACACTCATACACTAGGGACAATTTAGGCCACCCAATTGTTTGGACTGTGGGGGAAACCGGAGCACCCGGAGGAAACCCACCCGAACACAGGGAGAACATGCAAACTCCAAACAGAAACATCAACTGACCCAGGCGAGGCTCGAACCAGCGACCTGTAAGGCGACACCCTACTGCGCCACTGCATCACCCAGTTGTAATATTATATTATATTATATTATATTATATTATATTTATTATATTATATTATATTATATTATATTATATTATATTATATTATATTATATTATATTATATTATATTATATTATATCATATTATATCATATTATATCATATTATATTAAATATTACAAGTACAGATTAGAAATTTTTACCAGATGTTGGTAACAATCAAAGAAATCTATGTATGACACATATGAAATGACTCATTGAAAATGAAAAAATGATGAACAAATAAAGAAGGGGAGCTTTAAAAAGGCAGTAGCTGAAATCTTTCAGTAGCTCTTCAGCAACCCTCTACCCTTTCTCATTGTAAATTAACATTAGCTGCTTCAGTTTAAACATCTACATTACCAGGATGATGCCAATCACCTGACTTTTATCCAATAGAAAATACAAAATAAAGGTCAGATTTGATTACCTCATTTTGGATATGAGAGGCTGCCATCACAAAAAAAGCCTTTAATATAAAGTATTAAATACATTTCAGTAGTTCAGTACTTTCTCCTTGTGGCAGTCCATTGTTATTACACATAATTTTTCCAGATTTATTTTGTTTTGTTATATTATTTTGTTTATATTGTTTGGGCCTTTAACAAAATCTGGTTCAATTCTTGCTTTTAGGAAAGTTTTTCCAAAAAAAAAAAAACTGTGACCTTTTGAATACTTTTTCCCCACTGTATCTGTTACACTGAACAACTATGAAACATGCCTTTTTATTCATGCTATTTTGAAACATTAAAGCACTTGTTTTGTAATATAATTTCTATGTAAATGAAATATCTTTCGTACATTTAATTTAATGCACACGCCAAAATGAAACCTCTTGTCTTTGACCAACAATATTATTATAAAATATTCAAAATGTCATTTTAACATGTCCTTTTGCCTAATTGTAAGTACATGTGATGTGCAATATGTACATTTAGAGCCAATAAATAAATAAAAAATTAAATAAATAATTAAAAATATATCAATGTTAGAAAAGAAATCACAAATAATTATTTAACTATAGAGACTTTGTTTTCAGCTTAACAATCTTATTGTAATGTATGCAATCTAATTAAACAATTGTATGATATTATAATGTATGATACAATCTGTAAATGTAATTGGTGCATACAGCATTGATGTGGAGATTGTTTTGACCTGAGTTTGTACTAGCTGTGTTTTATCTTTATTTTATGATTGATTGGCACAAAAATACTGGTTCTTTTAATAATCAAGAAGACAACTACATTAACACAGCTATGCTCTACTTTCCACTTTACAGTCTTTGTTATTCAAAGCATAAAGTTGAAAAATGTGCACTGAAACATTAAACAAACTGTGTAACATTTCCTTTGATGCCCAGGGGGACAGAGGTTTTGATGGCGTTACAGGGCCAAAGGGAGCACAAGGAGAGAAGGGTGAACGGGTGAGTCCCATTTAGCTCCCCTACTGTTTAAGCCTACCACGGCTGATCTCAGTCAAAAAGAGGCTTATCAAATCTTCCACCTTCCTCTCGCTTTCTTTAGGGCCCACCTGGCATCCCTGGCTCTCCTGGTCCGAGAGGTGTGGATGGACCACCTGGTCTAACAGGCCCTCAAGGACCTGCTGGAGGTAAAGGTCCTGAAGGCCTGCAAGGACAAAAGGTATTAAAAGAACTCTTTATGGGCAAAGAAACTATTAGATAATGACTGAACTGGAGTTGATATGTTTCTCTAAATATGTTGAAACTCAAACTTCATGGCAATTAACAAAACAGTGATTTGTGTAAGTTGAGTAAAGCTCATTCATTCATTTATTTTCTTGTCGGCTTAGTCCCTTTATTAATCCGGGGTCGCCACAGCAGAATGAAACGCCAACTTATCCAGCACGTTTTTACGCAGCGGATGCCCCTCCAGCTGCAACCCATCTCTGGGAAACATCCACACACACTCATTCACACACACACTCATACACTACGCTACCCAATTCAGCTGTAACGCATGTCTTTGGACTGTGGGGGAAACCGGAGCACCCGGAGGAAACCCACGAGAACGCTGGGAGAACATGCAAACTCCACACAGAAATGCCAGCAGAGCCGAGGCTCGAACCAGCGACGCAGTGACCTTCTTGCTGTGAGGTGACAGCCCTACCTACCCACTGCGTCGCCTCGAGTAAAACTTTTAATTAGAATAAATTAATGGCTATAACTATGTATATCTTTTAACTAATGCTGTCATATGCACTAGCTCAGACTAACCTTTCGAAAGTGCAGTTCTACATTTCCAAAAAATACACATGTTCTGGCTTCATTTTGTGTCTGATATAACCTGTGGTTCAGCGAACAAGTGAGTAATCAGAGCCGATTCAGTGTGGATGTGAGTTTTCTTACCAATTTAGAGCATGATTCAGACCATTCACTCTGCTCATTTCTTCATGACTAATTTGCCCATTGATTCCACACGTTTACAGGAGTGTGTCTCTCTCTAAACACACAGTACATTTAAAAGCTGTTGTATATTTTCTGTTTTATTGTATACCTTTTGTACAATTGGCAATATTATTTTCATTTATTTAATCATATAGTACAATTCACTAGTTATTTTTTATTTCCTTGTATTATGATTATTATTTATTTATTCCTGTGACTTGTGTATGTATTGATGTTGATGCAGTTCTGCTCCTGAATAGCCCTGCAGGAAACATTCATTCATATGCACTAGAAGCCATGGCTAGTTCATCATATGTGAGCCATTGAATATTTATTATAGGGAGAAAGAGGTCCTCCGGGCCCTGGTATGGTCGGGCCACGTGGCACTCCAGGAATCCCAGGAGAAAGAGGAGAACAGGTTACTTTAAGCACACACTTTGCCCTCTGCATTTGTTCTCGTCATGTCTGTCTTCACTAAATGTGTTTCTTTGTGTTGTGTCATTAGGGTGAAATAGGCCCTGAAGGATCAAAAGGAGACAGAGGAGAAGCAGGAATGACGGTCAGAATAAATGTTGTTTTTTTTATTTGTTCTGCTACTTGAGCCTCTTAATGAACACTCGAGATAAGTGACAATGACACAAGGACTGGTTGCTTCTCTCTGTACTGTTAAAGGAGGATGAGATTCGGACTTATGTTCGATCTGAGATGAACCAGCACTGTGGTGAGTGGATCTTTCATAATCGTCATTTATCTACAACAATTTACCATTTTCAATAATGAGGGTTTCAATTTCTGTGTCCAATTTTCTATATTGACATTTTATTTAAAGCTGCGCTTAAAGAAACAGAGGGCCCTATCATACACCCGGCGCAATCATTCACAAGACGTGTTTGGTGCGATTTGTTGCTATTTTCAGACCAGCACAACCCTAATTTTCATGTTTTGTGCAACATTGTTTAAATTGAAAATCCATTTGCGCCCAATTGTGGACTCATGGGTGAGCTGATGTTAAAAGAAAGTGGGTTAAGGTGCATTGTTGGCGCGTTGCTATTTTGAGGAACTGAAATAGACTGCATCACTGACTAACTAAAACCTGGTCTAAAGTCCAGCACAGAGTGTGCTAATTATGCACCTTTGCAGGTCCAAAACACTTACACATTGCTTAATATACACAGGATGTACAGCAATACACACATTTCTTTACATATTCAAAAAGTTAAAGGAATTAAATGTTACAAAAATTATTATTTTCTACATAAATATAAAAATCACTACCTTCATGCCTTATCTGGAGTGCTTTTTCAGTATATTCATGACAATTTGCATTTGTATAATGTTATTATTATTAATATTATTATTTATTATATGCATATTTATATTTGTTTTAATAAGAACAACTTTAGATTTGTTTAGAACTTTAGAAATGTACGCATCACCACAAAGGGGTAAAAGAATAGGACGTGTGTTTGGATATAGCTCAGTTTTTTGACCACAAATAACAATTTAACAACTTTGTTATTATTGTTAATTTATTTGTTGGCTAGAAATTAGAACTGAATTTAGAAATAGGTTTGAAACAAGTCTTTGCGCTTAACATTTAAATATGTAGGCTTATGGATGTCTTCAGTGGAGTGCATACAACACTGTTTCGGTATCCATGAAAGTGCAGGAGTAAAATAAAGAGTAAAAGTAAAGAGAAAAAGAAAGTAAAGAGGCCGAATGGAGGAGGCTCATTCTTTATCTTTGTGCTGCAGATGCTCTGTTTAACTATTCTCTCACTAGTGAAGTGTTCAGTTTTATCACTTTCAAACTCTGCCATGTAAATAGCAAATCCGCCATGGCGTGACACAACTAACTCTTAAAGGGAATGTGAGATGAGACTCTGATTGCTTTAATGACGATAGGCTCAAAACACATGCACAACTCATTAAAAGAATAAGCACAACCCTGTTAGACCATGCGCCAGAGCGCAGAGTGTATTTTTCTGTCCCTAAAATAGCAAAAGTGGATTCGGACATGTGCTTAATGCTTTTGCGCCATTCACTTTAGACTTTGCGCCTAGATCATTAAAATATAGCCCAGAATGTTAAAGGCATAGTTCACCCTTCGTCGACAAATGATATTTTTGTTGAACAAAAAGTATTTCTTTTCACTTAGAAATACACTTTACAGAACTAAAATAGATTGCAAATGCTGATTTTTATATCATTCTTCCTTTGTTCTCTCGATTTAAGTTTCTCTTTTTCTCTTTTTGTCTCAAAGCTTGTGGAGGTAAGTTGAATGAAATAGTCTCATTTTAACAAGTAGACATTTTCCTATCATTGCATCAGAAACTCATGTGCACACAGTATTCTAACTGTAAATGTGTGTGTGTGTGGCTGTCTTCTGTGGGTCTCGGGGTGTGTATAAAGCTTGTTGTTGATTATGTTCGTGAGCGTTTGTGTCCACATGGCTGAACTTTGAATTTTGTGCATGCTAAATTGTTGATGTCGAGCATGAACTTGGAGTACGTCTTCACATGCATGGATGCTCGAGTCTGAGTGCAGGTTTAGTGTTGGGGTTTGCTGTCATGCGTTTGTGTGTGATTGGTTGTGCTGGGCTTGTTCTCAGGTGTTCAGGAACTTCAGATACCTGTGCCAGTGCAGACTTACCGTAGTCGCTCCTCCACGTCCCCTGAGCACTCGCTAACCCGAGGGGACGAGGAGGGTGAGTTCAATCCTTTATTCATCAGTCTATCTTTCTCTTCATCTGCTTCTCCTCTTAGCTGAAACTCTTCAAAAAGTTTAAAGAAACAGCCCATACAAAAATAAAAATTCTGTCATAACTTGCTCACACAATTCTTGTTAGGTTTAAACACTAAATGACAGATTTGAAGGATTCTTTAGGATTGAGCTATTCCACAATAGCTCAAGCACTAAAAAGTTATCTGGTTTCAGAAGATTTTTTTAAAAGCCACAAGGACAGTTTTTATGGTGGTTAAACAATAATATTTTACTTTATATCAGTTTTATTATGCTTCAAAATAGCACATATCTTTAAAGTGTTGATTAACTTTAGGGCTGTGCGATTTGAAGAAAATATCTATCTTTTTTTAACAGATATTGCAATTTTGATTTGAATTGCGATTGAATTTTGTAGTCAAGCTTCAGCTTGATATTCTGTATCTTAGCTTCTTAGTCAAAAAAAAAAAAAAAAAAACGTTTTTCACCAGCATAGACAATGCCACACTTTGAGCTAGACTGTAAGGATGTAGGGATGAAAGGAATGGTAAGAGAACAGTAAAGGGGATATGAAGTAAGAAGGTAAACAGTGAACAGGTAAGTAGGTTGACCGGGCGTCCTACGATGATGCTCAGAGACTTAGAGTAGTTTTACCGCTCTGTAATATTTTGGTAGAGTAATTTGGTAGAGGGTTACAGGATTGTTAATGGGAAGCGAGGAAATAGAGGGAGGGGGAGGGGGGTTGAGAGAACAAGAAGAACAGCGCTAGAGGGTTGATCTGCCTTAAATAAGTTTTAGGGAGTAGGTGATTGGTTAAGAAGACAAAGTGAGGCATGGTTCCACTGCCGAACCTTCGTTAACAAGTTAACTCCATTTCAACATTTAGAAATTAAACACTACTTTTTCTCTAGAGCAAACAGTTGTGAGTTATTAGCTAGTTACTTTTTAAAGTGCTGTTTGTTGTATTTCCTCGTGCTGTGGCAACAATTCTGCAACAGCTCTTACAAATGACCAGTTTTTGTTCGGTATCTGTGACTTTGAAAGCAAAATATTTTCATATTACGGACATGCTGTTTTTCTTTGATATGAATTTATCTATTAATGCTTCTGAAGCGGCAAACACCATCATCCCACGTATCCAAACTTTCCTGTTTGTTTATATTGTCGGCATTCCGCATAGTTCGGTTGCGCAATTCTGATTGGGCAAAATGAAAATGAGCTCACTCAATTGGCTAAGAAGACTGTCACACACAGACAGCACTCACGCATTTGTTCTGGGTGGGGGAAATTATATAATACATAGAAATTTCACATTGCAGTCTCCTGTGATTTAGCTATATGCAACGGTTTAAATTGCAATTCGATTTCGATTAATCTCACAGCCCTAATTAACATACTAAAGCATTTGTAAAATTATTATAGCTTTATTAATTTTAGCTTTAAGTTGTAATTCAATTAAATTTTATTTTAAGGTATTTAATTGCAACTTCACCTTTCATATGTATGCGTTTCATATATTTCTATTCATATTTTGACACACAATTGAAGTTATTATGAAATATACATCTATAGACATACTTAAAGGCACAACGTGCAATTTTTGCAGTTGAAGCAAAGCAAGAACGTTGCATGAAAGCAGCAGAGCTTTTATTATGCCTGAATCCACCACTTCCGGTTCTTCCACAACACTGTTTTATTATGCTAAATACATTTTAGGCTTCTGTTATAAAGCTGATCTGTGCAGTCTAATAAAACGCACCACTTATCTTTCATAATCACACCTTATAAAAACAGTCTGCTGAAACTTTTCGATTGACATCCTCCCTTTATACATAACATCTGAGTGGGAAAGTCCCAACCATTAGTGATGATCTTTTCCTCATTAGCATAAACAGTAGCCCTGAGTGAGAAGCAAGCGTCTGCCATTAAAGATTTGTATTGTACCTGCCGAAGATAATGTCAGTGACCAAAAGGCATTATAAATGTTAAGTGCTACTGCTTTTGCCATTTTCAGTTTTCCACAGTTATAACGTTAGTCCGACAGTCACCAAAACGGCACAATTTGAATCAAAACCTAAAAAGAGCAGATTCAAAGAGTTATAAAAAAATAGCTTGTGGGGTATTTTAGCTCAAACTTTACAAACTTCACACACACTATTGGGACATCAGAGACTACTTTAAAAGGGGCATAATACACTTTTTAAAGCATCTTTGGTGTTTTCGTGTTTTCTATGAAAACCAAGCTGGAAATTGAGGGTGGTCATTAGCATGACCACACAGCACACGGTCCATGTCTCTAGCTTTTTTGAACAGTCTTCTAAATATTTGAGATCTAGTTCTAGTGGTTTCTGGATATTTTAATGAGAAAAATTTTTTTACATGTTGTGCGGTTAGAAACACTATAGAGTTAAGCTAATTGCATTTAATAAAACTGTAAACCAGGGTGCCCAAACTTTTTCTTATGAAGGGCCAAAAACCAAACTTGATTGAGGGTGGTGGGCAAAAGCTAAACATACCAAACTGTATTACATTAAGGTTTCCATAGTAACTTCTTAATTTAATCATATTTAAAATATATAGGAAAAAACACTTTAATCATATTAATAATTATATATATATATATATATATATATATATATATATATATATATATATATATATATATATATATATATATATATATATATATATATATATATATTACATTTTATAATGTACTTTTTACAATAAAACAATCTCATTTATAACACAGTGGAGTTGTTTTTTATTTACAAAAATAATAAAATTTCACTCAATAGTAAATTATATGTAATAATAATAATTTACATTTATATAGTGCTTTTCTGGACACTCAAAGTGCTTCCAACACACACCAGCTGATTGGTGGAGAGTAGACAGAGTGATGAAGCCTGTTATGATATTGGGATGATTAGGAGGCCATGATGGACAAAGGCCAGTGGGAAAATTTGGCCAGGATGCCAGGGTTAAACCCCTACTCTTTCATCCTTCGTTTTTTCAAACCCTACAGAGAGTCAGGACCTCGGTTTAACATCTCATCGAAAAGATGGAATATGTGTCCTAAAAGTGTTTTTAGCAACGTGCCACACATATATATCTGTCAACATAAAAAAAAACATGTTTTAGGCGTTTATTGCCCTTTAAAAAATCTGAATAGCTCACATTTAATTGAAGCATTTAAATTCAGTTTTGCTTTTTTTTTTGTGGCTCAGCAAATAAACAAACAAACAAACAAAGGGTTATGTTAAATTAGAAACGACTATCTCTCCCCAACTTTCCCCATCACTTGTCCATCTCTTGGTTGGCGGGCCAAATCAAAGGTTACCATGGGCCAACTTTGGCCTGCGGGCCTTTGTTTAGGCATCTCTGTTGTAATTTATATTGCATTTTAAGTGACTGCCTTTAACATGCATTTACGTGTCCAGAAACAACACATTTAGTTATCATAATGTGTATTTTTTTAACTTTTTTCCACAATGGCAGTCACAATGAAAGATTTAAAACATCTCATTGTCATCTTTGAAAGAACGTCATATAGGTAGAGATGAGCAAAACATGAGGGTGAGAAAATGATGACAGAATGTATTTTTCTCTTTAAACTACCTCTTTAAACAGAAACCATGTTTCTGCAAAGTGGGATATGTTAAATATCTGCTTGTATTTAACAGTATCCAGTTGCACATGTACATTCATTGCTTTCAACCTGTTGACAGCATTAAAAGCTCTGATTTCCAAAAAGCCATCACCTCCTATGCACGTTTTTTATTTTGATGCAGGTCAAAAGCTACGTGTTGTGATGAACACAAATGATCCAGACTACGAGCACATTTACTCTATAGAGACCTATGATGATGACGCTCCAATGGTGGAGATTGCTGACTACGACAGCACTGTCAATAAAAGCCAGGGTACGCTAGTCTCTTCCTTAAAAATTGTGTGTAGTAGCTATGTGTAGCTGACGCGGTGTGATGTCTTGATATTTCAGCAGGTCGAACAAACTCTGTCGATTCATTAAAAGCCGAAAGGACAAAAAGAGAGGTGAAAGTTGAAGGTAAGCAATCTGTTATGATTCTTCATGGAGATTAAAGGCTTGATTTTGTCATGTTTGTGCATGAGTATGTTGGAGAGCCGACTGTGGAAATTTACAGTGTCAATGCTGCATATTTTTATGCATTTTACTGCTTTGTTGGGGACAAAATACGGCAGACTGCTGTGTGTGGGAAAGTATTAAGCTCTTTGTTTGGTGTCACTCCCTTGAAACACCTAACAAAAATTCTGATGATTGATTATCATAATTTGGTAGTCTGTAATTGCTGCTCACTGTTGTTCTTTGCTCCTCACTTCCTGTTGTTTGTCTGTGTATCTGCTGCATGCTGTCAACCCGCTGACTCATCTGTATGACAGCTCTTAGTATGAGATTGCACACAGCTGTCCTGCCACAGAAAAGAGCTGGACATTTCCACAGATCTCTTGCGGTGCTCTGAACTATAGAGAGATGCAGGGATGACGAGTTTAAAAGTTGATTCTGCATTTGATGAGGTGTTGTTCCTGTATTGTTCAGTTTGCTGTTGTTCACTGTGTTGACTTTCAGATGTGTCTGCACACTCGGCTGTTTAATAGAGAAACAGCCAAACCTTCATTTTATTTTGTTAATTAGTTATTAGGATGTGTGCACATACTGTACATACTCTACAAATCTGTAGGTAAAATGTTTGGGGTATACTACTAAATTCCTGATCCACTGTCTGATTTTTTGGTAAAACATGAGTCACACTTTACAATAAGGTTTATTAGTTAATGTTAATTAATGCATTTACTACCACGAACAAACAATGAACAATACATTTACTACAGTATTTATGTATGTTAGTAAACGTTAGTTAATGAAAATACAGTTTTTCATTGTTAGTTCATGTTAACTCATGGTGCATTAACTAATGTTAACAAGCACGGACTTGGATGTTAATAATGCATTAGTAAATGTTCAATTGTGACTAATAAATGCTGTACAAGTGTTGTTCATGATTAGTTCATGTTAGTTAATGCATTAACTAATGAACCTTATTGTAAAGTATTACCAAAACATGAATATTTATTTAGTTATTTGTTTGTTTGTTGATTTTATTATCCAATAAACTAGAAGTTTAATATTGAGTGAACATTTCTGACAATTTGAAGCAAAATAAAAGTTAAGTAAATCAGTTTTTCTCTCAAGATGAAACTAAAAGCCATACTTGAATTAACGTAGAACTTTAGGATATATTGTTAATTGAACTATGGCTGTTTAGTTTCACTATGTGTAAAAACTTGAGTGGTTTAAGTGTTTAAATGTAATGTGTATTTATAAAGCGCATTTATTGTGTATGGCCATACACCTAAAGTGCTTCACAATCATGAGTATGGGGTCTCTCCACACCACCACTTGTATAAAGCGACGGCAGCCACAGGACAACGTTAAAAAAAGTTTTTGGTGGAGTGATAGAGATAATTTGGTTAATTGGGAGGCCATGATGGGTAATTTAATGCAGATGGAGGGAATTTGGCCAAGACACCAGGGTACTCTTTATGAGAAGTGCCATGGGATTTTTAATGACCAAAGAGAGTCAGGAACTCGATTTAATGTCTCATCCTAAAGATGGCGTTCACTGACAGTATAGCGTCCTATTTACTATATGGGGTATTAGGACTAACACAGACAGCAGGTTGAGTGCCCCCCTGCTGGCCTCACTAACACCACTTCCAACAGCAACCTAGTTTTCCCATGTGATCTACCATTCAGGTACTAAGCAGGCTCAAGCCGCCTTTCCACTGCACACGACATTCTGACATTACTGTTGGAATACGCCCCCTTGTGGCAGTCGCATAGAATTTTCTATTTTGTCGTGCACCGTGGGAGAGAAGCTGATTCTCGCAGTGCCTGAAATAAAGGAGTGCAAAAGCAATATATACATTTATGAATAGACTTTTTTTGTGATTTAAAAAAAAAAAGAACTACTATTTCTCATCTTGCATGCATGGACCTGCTTAGACAACACTGAAATAGATCATGTCCGGTTGGCCGGTCGCATACAGTTTAGTTGCAGGAGTTTTGGTCGCAAATATTTTAACGGATCGACATGATCGGAACTCCACGCAGCTCCCAGACTACTGTCCATTGGAATTGAATGACCTCCAGTCTGTCACTTTACATGTGCATTGGAAAGGCGGCTTCAGCCCTGCTTAGTTTCAGTGAGTAACCAGTCTTGGGCTGCAGAGTGATATGGCTGGATATATATTTTATTTTCCATCATTTTCTGAATCCTGTATTGAGAATTTATATCTGAAAAATGAATTTCTATTATTTGTGCAACTGCTATTACAAATTCCGATTCCATATATGCCATGCAGATGTAAATTCTGTTGTTAGTGAAGTGATTTGATCAGAACAGCTCTTAATAGCATCTTGTTATATACAGTAATTGCATTTACTGACTGAATCAAAGAATTAGTTAATGTGGATCCTAAAAGTGAATTTAAGGAAAGCTGTTCTGGTCTTGGCCAACATTCCCCTGACTTATTCTTAGATTAAGGGGTTCAAACTACTACGTTTAAGATTTTCTTTGCTGAATATTAAGTGTTGTTAACGTTTTATCTGAAACAGAAATCTTTTGTGGTATAATGAATCCATTTACTGTCAGTTTTAATTAATGTAAAGCACTCTTGGTGAATAAAAAAAGCCTAGTTTCTCTTGAGTTTTTTTCCCCTTAACTTCGTCAATTGGTGAAGTTTTTTTCCTCGCCAATGTAACCACTGGCTTTTTTAATTCAGCAAATTATTATTATTAGTTTTTTATTTCTTAATTTATTTTTCAACAGAACAACAGTGCTGAAGTACAGCAGTTTTTTTAGACATTCTAACAAATGCATACAAATGCTTCAAAGCAAGGACAAAAATAAAAGGAAATTATTAAAAAAATTTTGAAAGTCACTGAGTACCCTCAAGTAAAATCCAGATGGAGGACCAAATGCGCCAGAACACCTCAGATCTTTAGTCTAAATCATAGGTTAATTTTTCCAGACGTAGAAGTCGGGTTGCCTGCCTGAAGTATCTGAGCAGTTGACCATAATAATAATATACCTTTTTTGGCCAAGTATGTACAAAAAATTCAATACACATTCTTTGTCATGATCAAGACACATTTCCAATGTAAAATTCAGAAGGTATACCATTGGGGACAATCTCAAGAGTTCATTTCTTTACAAGAAAAAAATCCTCATGCCTGCAAGCTTTTGAATGTAGCTGTGTAATTATTCCCTCATATGTGTTTTTAGATCCGTGCATCTTGCCTATGGAAGAGGGTGATTGTTCCCGCTATACCCTGCGCTGGTACTTTAACTCTCAGGTGGACGCCTGTAGACCTTTTATCTACAGCGGCTGTGGAGGAAACGCTAACCGCTATTTACAGAAGGAAGAGTGTGAGAAACTCTGTCTACAGCAGTAAGAAGGTACATTACCACTCAGCTCCGAAGATGAAAAACATACGCATTAATGCATGTGGACCGGATAGAGATGGGATTTTTCACACTGTATCTATATATTCTGCATTATAGAATCGTGAAGGCAAGAGGATTTCCAACTCATTAATGATATGAAACCCCTAAACCTCAGTGTTGACCAATGCCATCATGCACAGGAGATTGATGGCAACACTTTTTCCTTGACGGGATGAGCAAATTTTAATTATTGATCCCATTTTATTTTATTTATTTGTTTGTCTGTTGAGCTGACAAACATCTGTCAATCTTGCCGCCAGACTAAATCTGCCTACATTTGCATCAAAGACAAAAAGTCAAACAGGAATTTTCCTCATGAACATCTTGTACATTAGTCCAGCCAGTAACAGCACAGCATTATCTTTCATTTCTCACTTAATCCTGGATGTCGCATATTTACACCCACTGACATTTTCTCAGGTGCTAAAAACAGACACGAGAACACACAATGTAATATTCCAGTTCCTTAAGACCTGTTCTTAGAATAAGCCTACGCTGTACAGAATTGTACTGTAAATGTAGATCTGTATTTTTATCAGCCTTAAAATGAGAATGAATGTTCTTCTATTATTAAATGTTGCATGTTGTGTACAGTACATGGACAAACGGTGCTATTTTTTAAAGATATTTTTATATTGTTGATTGGATTTGTATTGCTTTTTGGTTAAATTCCGTGTTTGTTCCATTACAGTTTACATTTTCTTTGCACAAGATGCAGTTTTGATAGCACATGTAGTCATTTTCCATATGTTGTAATGTGATCGGTCTCTTTTTCACATGTTCATTATTTACTTAGGAATAAACTTCGGAATTTAAAGGGAAAATAAACATGAAAACAATACAAAATGTCTGAATTGTCTCATTTTAACTATAAATATTAACAAGTACAGATCTACATTTGACTGGTCTCACGTCAACCGAAAGGTCCATTTGTGGTTCACTATCAGAACTAAAGTCACTGCAATCTGCTTTATCAATTTGCAGTTGCTCTGCGTTGTTGTCTTTTGGAGGGGATTTGTGTTGCGCATCAATCCTAGTCACACATCTGATGATTCAGTAATGGTTCTGGAGCGTCTTGTTAAGATGCCAACGTACACTCATTACTACTCTTCCAGAACTGTCACTCAAGCGCTGTTTTCATATTCATTTCTACTCATATTTATTCATTGACTGCATTTTGGCCAGTCCATCTGTTAGGGTATTTTGTTTTATATTCTTACGCCTGCTTAATAGCGCATTGTTTGAGTGCCAGCGTGTATTTTTATTCTGTTCACTCTTGAGATGAATCCGCCATTGTGCCTTTTAATGAGTTTGTTGCATTGTCGGTCTCTGAATAGCGTGCATCAAATTTTCTGTGGTGCTCCAGATGTCAAACAGTGTCTTAATCTATATCAGATGGTGCATTGAATATTAATATAAATGGATGCTTTCTTCATTCTCTAGGATTGTTGCGCATGCTTTTAAAATGGCTCTTTCCATACCTACTAATCTTTGGGAAGGAAGGAGTGTGTTTGGAAACCATAAACGAAAAAAATATATATTTTGTCCCTCTCAGATCTTTTTTTTTCATCTTTTTCCTTTAAAAGAAAATTGAAGAGGATTTTGAGCTAAAACTGTGGTGTTTGGTGATTTTATTTAATTTAGAGATTAAAAGTAATTGTAATAAGTAAAACACAATAAAATGAATGCCTGTTGGTCCTGATGATAAATAGAGGTATTAAGATGGAAAAGAATGGGCCTGTGCAAGAAGTATCATACATAACATACTGCCTTTAATCTACAAACAGTTCTAAGCGTTTTTATGATCGCCTTGTGCATGATTATGAATCATAAATGATCTAAAGAGCTGTTGCTGTTTGTGTATTGTTTAGCAAACTGTTCTAATCCTGGATGTTGCTACCAACTGAATATAAAAAAACAAGATTGTGTTTTGTGTGCAGTCTCAATTGGGAGTATATATATATATATATAAAACTGCATCCCAATCATCACAAATACTGCAGAAGACCTATTGGAGCTCGCATGATGGACCCAAAATTCTCATAGAAATCAGTCAAATTTGGTGAAGGAAAAATCATGGTTTGGGGTTACATTCAGTATGGGGGCGTGGGATAGATCTGCAGAGTGGATGGCAACATCAACAGCCTGAGGTATCAAGACATTTGTGTTGCCCATTACATTGCAAACCATAGGGTAAGGTCAAATTCTATAGCAGGATAGCGCTCCTTCGCGTACTTAAGCCTGCACATCAAAGTTCCTGAAAGCAAAGAAGGTCAAGTTGCTCCAGGATTGGCCAGCCTGGTCACCAGACAAAACCATTATTGAGCATGTCTGGGGTATGATAGAGGCAGCAAGAAGATGAATCCAAAGAATCTTGATGAAGTCTGGGAGTCCTGCAAGAACACTTTCTTTGCCATTCCAGATGACTTTATTAATAAGTTATTTGAGTCATTGCAGAGAGGTATGGATACAGTCGTCCAAGCTGATGGGAGTCATATATTTATTTATTAATTTCATATAAGCCAAGATATCAAATGATCAACTAGAAGTCAACTAAAACTTGCATAGGCTACAAGATTTTGTCAAGTATTGTGTGTGTGTGTGTGTGTGTGTGTGTGTGTGTGTGTGTGTGTGTGTGTGTGTGTGTGTGATATATATATATATATATATATATATATATATATATATATATATATATATATATATATATATATACTACAAAGTACAGACTATTGTGAACAAGTTTAAGACCATCTGCCGAGACTACAGATTAAAAGTAATAATGTTTAAATAAAAAATAATGTTCAGTTATATGCACAGACCAGTCTTTCACTTCTTTAATATATAATCAAGAGTCACAGGTACCAATTTTGTTTTGCCTGTATATTGTCTATATGACACTAAAGGTGCCTGTCACCAAATCATCTTTAATGTTCTCCTACATCTTGAATAGCACGAGTTCAATTAAATCATATTTTATTAATTATTTTCGAACTACCTCTTTAATTGCATTTGGAAGGAACAAATGACTTTGAATTTGACATTGAAAAGCAATTTCTGTGCCCTTTCATAATGTGTCAGAATAAACGTGTATGCCTGCATTTATAAGAGCATAATGTTCACAGCTTAATTATATAGAATAATGAATAAAAAAGTAAAGCTATCAAATAACAGGTCGTAATAATCCAACAGAATCTGTACATTTGTTGTTATGAATCGCGCTGACTGCAGACAGTAGCTCGTGCGTTTCCACGATGAAGCCTGCAGTTTTGGTGTGTGCGTGCGTGCGTGAGTGAGTGTGTATGCGCGCTCGCGCAGATGGAGCGGGTTCTTTCAGTCTGTCTAGTTCGCAGGATAGCGGCACTCATGGGTACTCACAGAAGCACCGTAGCGATTTCTACCACCGTTTAGCACCACAGAAGGTGCGACATTTATTCCGGGCACGTACCTGCCAGCGGACAGTCCTGAAGCCCCCAGGAATCTCGCGCTCTAGTAGAGAGAGCGGAGCGCGCGCGCGGCACGGACCGCAGTGGAATGTAGCGGGGATTCCCGGCGCGCGGGGCAAGGTGAGTAAAAAACCTCCTTGATGCATCTTCACACTCCTCACCAGCATATTGATCTTGTCACTTAATTGCCATTCGCTGTCATTGTACTGTAGCTCTTCGTTCCTTTTCGTTAGTTTAAGTGGAAAATCTTGCAAGCGCGCGCCTGGGAATAAAAATGATAAGAGACAATCAGCTGTGTCGTTTGATCTGGATCTCGACTCTTATTTTACACTGCAAAAAAAGGTTACCACCGGTGTCTTATGCAGGGTATATGCCGCCACTATACGGACGATTTGTTTACCGAGAAAAATCCATGTGTTGCCTATAATCTGCAGTCATTCTATCTGTGAATTTGAATTTAAAAATGTAATTTTTTTAAGAAATTAACGTTTGTGTGTGCTTTTTTTTCTCGTTTGAATATCTTGTTGTTGTCAGTGTCTGGGCTTGTGAGTTTTATTGTAATTCGGATCGGGACATCATCCTCACACCGATGCTCTCAAACACAACCGGACACATGCACATGCTCAGAGACACGTGACTCCAGCAAATTATTGAGGGTAAAAGAAAGTTAAATACGCCTGCGTCAATCATTTCACATTCATCACACCCGTCATCATCCTCATCATCATCATCTTTTGCGCTCTTGCTCTCGCAGTCAGTCAGTCTGATTACAGCCAACTGGATTTTCAGATGCACTTCAGATCAGGCGTCAAGATGCCAGTTGAAAAAAGGGAGAACAGAATGTATGAGATGGACTGTGCACATTTCTAATTGGATTAAAGGCTACAATATGTTTTAAGGACAAGAAGTAACCGTAAGGGACAATGAAGTGTAGAGCAGGTATATAAATGGCCCTGAATGTGTATGAAAGGAAAGAGGAATCTAGATCATCAGCTATTTTGGCTCCTTCTGGATGTGGAGTTATTTTGGTTCCTCTCTGCGTAGTGAACGTAGTTTCACTTGTTGTCACGCTCTTTCATTTCCAAAGAGTGTATAAACATAGAAAATGCATTTGCATGCTCATTTCACCGTTGAGAAATCTATTTTGATTTGGTGTGCACGGCAGGGCTCCAAAGAAAAATTATCACATGCAATTTGCGGCATAAATGTGTTGTGCATCTGCTATTGTGAAATGAGCAATAGGAATATTTCGTGATTTTTTACTCACCCTAATGACTATTCAAACCTGCGTGGTGTTATTCAGTGGAGCACAAAAGAGAAATTTTGGTGCAATCTATATGTCAGTTTGAGTATGTGGAATGAAGACGATCATTTATTGACTTTTTTGTTCAGTAGAACACTGAAGAGGAGTTCAGCTATAACTGGTTGTTGGTGATTCATAACATGCAAGCCAATGGCTGCTTTGAAAGGCATATTGAAAGTCAAAACACATCAAAACAAAGTTAATAAACATGGCTCTGTGAGAAACCGCGCTGACTACGTTTACATGAACATCAGTAATCAAATTATTGGCCTTAATCTGAATAAGACAATAATATGATTAAGTTGTTCACATGAGTTCCTTTTTGAATGTTTGAATGTGTAGTTGCAGAGAATAGTGTTAAACAGCCGTGTGTGTATAAAATGTCCTGTCGGAAAAAGCAGCAAAAATCCTACATAACGGTAATAGTTTGATTGTAATGTTTACAGGTCTGAACTGCACTTCAATAATGCGACGTAAATCAGCATACTTCATGTCAATTCGATTTCTGTTCAGTTCAAAATGACTTTAGTCGGATTAATCAAAATTCGCTGTTTACATGGTACAGTAAAATGTTTCACCTTAAGTTTACAGTAAATTACTGGCTAACAATTGCGTTACTTTCACAGTAAAGTACTGTATGTAAATTCACAGTAAATCACTGTGAGGTACTTCATAATAACAATATTTCTGTAAATATTTCTAAATATCAAAAAAGTTTCTGTACTAGCATAAAAGTTATTGTCTATTAATTTCTGTTCAATAAAATATTAATTGTGTTTGAATTTCTATAACTAACATGTAACATATTTATCCATTTTTACAGCTGTAACCATGATGCCAGCCTTAATTTCACAATAAAATTCTGAATACGTAAAATTTAACACTTAAATTCTGTAAAGTGACACTAATGTAATTTACTGTGAAGAATTACAGTTACATGTTGTGAAATTCTGGGAATTTATTACAGTGTAGACTCTTGATCAGAGTATTGTCTTAATCAAATTAAAATCGGATTATTGGTGTCCATGTAAACATACTTACTTTCTCTGCAAACAGCACATTCAGACAATCTGGATGGAGAGTTACCAGTAGCAATTCACTTGCATTATATAAATCACCAAGCGCTGAGTTTTCAGCTAAAATACTTTCTTTACAATACTCCGGAAGAAATGTTGTCTACATCTTGGATGGCGTGAGGGTGAATAAATTAGCAGCAAATTTTTTGGGGGGGGAATTAAACAAATAAAACAGAGGCATATTAAAATGATCACTAAATAAAATAACTAAAATGTTCAACTGACATGAAAATGTAATGAAAAACTTCAAAATACTAAAATAAGTTTTCCTTTAGGAATGATGCAGTGGCGTAGTAGGTAGTGCTGTCGCCTCACACAAGAAGGTCGCTGGTTTAAGCCTCGGCTGGGTCAGTTGGTGTTTCTATGTAGAGTTTGCATGTTCTCCCCGCGTTCGTGTGGGTTTCCTCCGGGTGCTTCGGTTTCCCCCACAAACCAAAGACATGCGGTACAGGTGAATTGGGTAGGCTAAATTGTCCGTAGTGTGTGAGTATGAATGAGTGTGTATTATGTTTCCCAGAGATGGGTTGCAGCTGGAAGGGCATCCGCTGCGTACAACATAGGCTGGATAAGTTGGCGGGATATTCCGCTGTGGTGACCCCGGATTAATAAAGGGACTAAGCCGAAAAGAAAATAAATGAATTAATTAAGTTTTCCTTTATGTTTTAGGGTAAAAATCCATGTCCACTCCATCCCCTAAAATTGAGTTTAGCCTTTACACAAATAATCACAAACTCCATTGTTCAGATAATCACATAATCACAAAGTCTGCCATTGTTCAGCCTATAGATTTAGCAGATTATACACATGCACAACATTACTGTTTTCAAAATATCACATATTTGTAGTTTATACAGAGATAATAATGATAACTTGCATTTAAGATTCATTCATTCATTTTCCTTCAGCTTAGTCTAGTGCTGGCCAATTTGGCTTAAAATCAAAACCTCAATTAACTGAACATTTTAACTCGATTACGATTAATTAACAATTATTTTATTTATTTATTTTATTTTTTGCCCTCATAGTTCACTGACAGGGTTTGTACAGTAAATATTCTCACATATTACAAGTGAGAGATTTTTAAATGTAGGGAGCATTACTTCATTCTAAAATAATTGAAGGAAACACACACTGTCTACTATCTATGATTATTTATTGAACATCACTGTTGAACAACTAACATGAAAACATACAATGCCCAAAACTAGCAGTCTTTTTTTTTCTTTTTTTTTTATGAAAAGTGAAAACACATATCTTCCACTTTTGGAAATAAAATTAACTATTTTTAATGTTTTCAAAAGTAGAAAATAAGCAGTATCTCTGCTAAATAAAATAAGTCTTGTATATCCTGTATAAAATATTTCATAAAATATTATATAGGAATATTTTATTTCTTGATGTTCTGTAAACAAATATTTTCATGTAAATAATAATTTTATTGTAAAAGAAAATATGCCCCTTCAAGGCATCTCTGGCACAGCTTACAATCATCGTCAATGTATTGCAAACGTCCGATGTGTAGTTACATTTTTTAATAGGTGTGCGAGTATGCGACCATGCGAAGGCTGCGCCGGAACATACTCGTGCGTTCGACTCAGACATATAAATCAGCCTTAACAAAGCGGGGTCACGTGACTCCTCATGTGGTAGGGAAAGTAATTGAAAAATTTGACTTAAAAAATTTGATGGATTATAAGTTCGGAATGTCGATTTCGATTACTTTTCGATTAATCACTAATATCTAGCTTAGTCCTTTATTTATCAGGGGTTGCCACAATGGAATGAACCAGCAATTATTCCAGGATATGCCCTTCCACCCGCATTCCAGTACTGGGAAACACCCATACACTCTCACATTCACACACAAACTACGGCCATTTTTTTTTTTTTTTTACCCAGTTCACCTATAGCGCTTGTCTTTGGACTGTGGGGTAAAGCGGAGCACCCCGAGGAAACTCACGCCAACATGAGGAGAACATGCAAACTCCACACAGAAATACCAACTGACCCAGCCAGTACACAAACCAGCGACCTTCTTGCTGTGAGGCGACAGTTCTAACTACTGATCCACCATGCCACCCCTCATTTTAAAACCTGTTTTGAAAAGATTTTTTTTTCTTTTTCAGGCCCCCAAAATGTAATTATCATGTAAATGATCATCCAAAATGCATAAAACACTTTTTTTTTTTGATTTTCAGTTTGCCTATATTGAAAACATCATTTAACACAATAGCATATAGAGCACATTTTTGCTTTTCCTCATCCTTTCAGAGCCTGGCAGATCTTTTGTGGAAAAATCTCCAAACACATTACGTGTACATTCTGTTTTATAACAGCACGAGTTCTCATTTTCGGCTGAACTATTTCTTTAACAGGCTGACAACAAACCAGCGTGGACGGACCAAATTGGCTTGGAAAACAACGATAATGAAATAGAGTCTGATAAATGGCAGAAACAGCTGAGACAGCGTGGTTAGTCTAAAGAAAGATGGATGGATCTCAAGCATTGCACATTGATGGATAGAGGCTAGGAGGTACAAACAAACTCCTCCGGCGATTTCACAACACACTGTGCACCTGCACCTCCCACTCATCCCTCATTCTCTCACTATTCCTTAGTTTTTTTTACATGCAACGCTCTGACAAAAAATCAGTCCCACTTATTTTTACCACAGTCTCACTTCTGTGGGCATAAGATGTCAGGCTTCAGTGATCTGAGCCCTAAATCTATGTCTCCTACTGTCATTCAGAAGTTCCACTGCAGTGACCTCTTTTCATTACCAGCATGGCATGGGGCGCATCGGCATGCCAAGCGTATTGGCCTCCCTCCCCCCATTCGCAGTCTCATTGTGTTAAACATCAAAACTTTCCTCCTGCGGTCATTATCACAGATGTGCTTAAAAGGCAAAGTCTCTCCAACCACCACAGACGCAGAAACTCTTACTGTTTGTATTTTGGCCACTCTTAAACTGTAGACCAGTTGCCATAGTAACAACCATCCTAGAAACGGGATCAGTCTCAAGTCGAACTCATTTATTTATTTATATATTTGTTTTTTTTTTCTTGTGTGTGTTTGTGGAATGACAAGCTGCTGTGTTTTCTTTTCTGTATTTTGAGAGTTGCTTGTTTTTAGGGTTTAGAGTTGATTAGAATCACTATTTCTTGAATACGTTAAATTGCTGGTACAGGCACGGAGCAGTTTTCGATTCATAAATGTTTCAGTGATGGTTTTTGCATCCTTGGTTGTGTGAGAGATCGCTCTGTGCTGTAATTCAGCTGTTTGAATAGTTCTCTTGTTGGCCACAAACTCTTGGCTGTGTGGGACCGCAGGATCACACACAAACGATCACTCACGCGCACATCAGGCTCATCTTTATTGTCCTGTCTCGCTCGATCAATACCTTATTACATTTCAGATGGACAAGTCATACCCTCTTTTTCACCAAAATTTTGCCAGCGCTCGGTTGGTTGCGTCTGTGAATCTCTCTTAGGCCCTGTCTGCGTTTGTTCTGACTTCAATGAATGATGATGATGAGTGGGGATGATGATGATGTAACTCACTGTGATACAATAAGAAGTGCACCGTTCATGATATTATGATTGAAAGATTTTTTTTAAAGTCATATAATTTTAAATTATTTTATACGTTTGGATGGATGGATGAAAATATAGAAATATAAATATAGATGGATGAATTGATAGATAGATAGATAGATAGATAGATAGATAGATAGATAGATAGATAGATAGATAGATAGATAGATAGATAGATAGATAGATAGATAGATAGATAGATAGATACAGTTAAAACAATTAAATAAGTTTACATACACTCTAAAAAAGGAACATAACCATTTTTTAAAAATGTCTGAAAGTAAATCATACTAAACGTTTACTGTTTTAGGTCCGTTAGAATTACCTAAATGATGTACATTTGCTAAATGCTAGAATAATGATATAATAAAAAAATAATAATAATAATTTTTAGAGAGTTTAAAGTTTACATACATTTCCTTTGTGTTTTTTTTTTTTAGCTTTGCTTTAAACTGTATAACTTTGGTCAAATGTTTTGGGTATTCTTTCACAAGCCTCTCACAATAGTTAGACAGAACTATTCTGTCAATTAGACAGAATTGGTGCAACTGAGTCAGATTTGTTGGCTGTCTTGCTCGCACAAGTTTTTTCAACTCCGCCCACAAATTTTCTATAGGATTAAGATCAGTGCTTTGTGATGGCCACTCCAAAACATTTACTCTGTTGTCCCTTAAGCACATTTGAACTACTTTGGCAGTATGCTTAGGGTCATGGTCTGTTTGGAAGACCCATTTGTGGCCAAGATTTAATTTCCTGGCTGGTGTCTTGAGATGTTGCTTCAGTATTTCTACATAATTTTCTTTCATCATGATGCCATCTATGTTGTGAAGTAGACCAGTGCCTCCTGCAGCAAAACAGCCCCACAACATGATGCTGCCGCCCCCATACTTCACAGCTGGGATGGTGTTCCTATAGGCTTGCAAGCTTTCCCCTTTGTCCTCCAAATGTAACACTGGTCATTATGGCCAAACAGTTTAATCTTAATTTCATCAGACCACAGGACATGTCTCCAAAAATATATAATTTTTCCCTGTGTGATTTAGCAAATTGTAATCTGGCTTTTTTTTATTCTGGCTTGTTGATTTTTCCCATGTTGTCCCACAAGTAAACAGTGTGTTTGAAGTTTTCCTTAAAAACTATTCAGTTGTGCCTCCAATTAACTCAAATGTTGTCAATTAGCCATTCAGAAACTTCCAAAACCTTGACACCATCGTCTGAGCTTTTTCAGAGGCATTATAATCTTACTGTATGTAAACTTGACTTTCAAGAAAGGTTAAAGCAATTTCTCAAAAAAATATCTCTCTCATTATTTTGCTATCCTAACTTACCTAAAAGAGAAAAAGTTTAGTCACATTAGCATCTGACTTTTTAGATAGATAGATAGATAGATAGATAGATAGATAGATAGATAGATAGATAGATAGATAGATAGATAGATAGATAGATAGATAGATAGATAGATAGATAGATAGATCCCAGTGTATTTGGTCTCAGTACATTTTGCTTCATTTTAAGACTGTTTCATTCTGTTTTTGTCTCCTCACCACAGAGCTGTCAGTCATTCATCAACACCACAAGAAAACACCTGAGTAGGTGGAGCATGCCTAGTGGGAGCGGGTGGCATTACTATGCCTGAAGGCACGTGGCGATGGTGTCCATGGAGACAGATGGCAGCTTCACCGGGGGCCACGGTCTGTCCCTCTTACAGGCTGAAGATGGCGTGGGGGCCGGGCTCGCACAGCAAGAGGGCTCGTGGCTCGGCTTCCGTGCGACTGTGAGTGCTGTGCTGCTGCTGGAGCTGCTCCTCGGGGTGGGCGGCAATCTGACCGTGCTGGTGTTATACTGTGGTCACTGCAGCCTGCTGGAGTCTGTCAGCCATGCGGTCACTCTCAGCCTGCACACCCTTGACCTGCTGCTCTGTCTCCTCTGCCTACCCATCACTGCCACGCTCCTCATACTGGGTGGAGCCTCGGTTCCGCACCACGCCCTCCTCTGCTGTCTCCACGAATCAGCAGCCAGCTTCGCCAGCGTGGGCACAGCACTCAACCTGCTGCTTATCAGTTTAGATCGCTATGACATCAGCGTCCGACCAGCCAATCGCCTGCTGACGCCTCGAAGGGCAGCTGTTTTACTTGTGGCAGTGTGGGTGCTTTCTCTAGCTGTGCCACTTCTTCCATTCGTGGAGGCAGGGTTTGTGTCAGGGCAAGGCGAGGGGGTGTTTGTGCACACAAATGGCACTGTGCTTTGTTCAGAGTGGGGGGGGACTCTACAGGCTCATCTGTTACTGCAGGTTCCTGTGTTCCTGTGCTCTCTCGCTGTGATGCTATTTACATACTCACGAATTCTGCAGACTCTGCGCATCCGCATTGGACGCACACCCAGGCCACATCGAGACAGCAAACGGCCTGCACATCGCCTCTGGTTGCGTCGTAAAAGGTCAACAAGGTCACCGGATCACATGACGAGGAATACGCCCACATCACCACCACCACTTTCAACTGGGCCACTAATCATCTCAGATACAGTTACCACTGTAACAATCAACACTGAGACCAACACTCCTTCGCTCACCACACCACTTAGCCCCACCCCTACGGTGTCTGTCATAACCTCACCTTTAAGCCCCACCCCCACTGCATCAATGACACCTTTGAGTCCCACCGCATCCCTCTCTGTTATAACTAGCCCTAATATCGCTACTCCTGCATCCACACCTTTGAGTCCCATGCCTACTGTGTCTACAGTAACCACTCAAGTAAGTCCTGCCCCCGTCCAAGGTCCATCCAGCATGGGTGTGGGTGCGTCAGTGTCAGCCATTTTAGCTCTGCGCCGAGCAGTTCGGCGCCACCGGGATCGACGAGAACGTCAGAGGCGAGTCTTTCGCATGTCTGTGATCATCATTCTCTCGTTTCTCCTATGCTGGGCGCCACTCTCCATTATGCCCATTCTTATGCTGGCAATCGGGCCGTCTGATTGGCTGGAACGCCTGAGACTTTGCTTCCTTGTGCTCGCTTATTGGACGGTAGTGCTACATCCGCTGCTGTATGCGTTTACAAGGCAAAAACTGCGCAAAGTTCTGCATACCCGTCTGCGCAGGCTGAGGCCGCAAAACGTGCAGAATCGTATTCGCACTAATACCAGAATCCGTCGCAAGCACGGGGCAAATTGCAGCGATGCTACTGAGCGCTGCCTGACGGAGGCTGTTAGAGAGTAAGTGTTTGTGTGTCTGGGACTTATAACTAGGCTCAGACAGAATCTGAGTGTGCGTTCCCTTGGGTGAACTCTCTATCTGTTCATTTATTAAATGTTTTGGGGGATTTAATTATGGTTTCAGATGCTAGTATGATTGATTTTTGCCCCATTTAGCATATTTTACTATATTTAAATCAAGACTGTAGCCATTTTTAAACACTTGATAGGACCAAAGGAGTTATTTTGATGGGGTGGGATTAAATAATTAAGGCATTTAAGTGGAATGAAGAAAATTGAAGAAGAACAGAAGGGTCTAGATTTGTTGGTGAGAATCAGTTTGCACATATGCACACATTCACTGTTAGTTGTTCATCTAATATGCTGAATAGTGCTTCGCTAATGTTTTTGTCTTGTAACATTAAGCTTTGACTTACATGCTTCATGTAAATGATTGTAAAAATTCATAGATGAGCCTTTATTTTCAATTCAAAGACAATTAAAAAGGGTTAGGGATGGGACAAGGGTTATGGATTATATCGCCAAACAATTCTTGAAATGTAAATGTTTAGCTACTCATTTAACATTAAAGCCAAAAGCTGCGGTCACTCTGCACTTTTCTCACATAGACTTCCATTCATACGCACGCGAATGCGTCAGACCCGAAAAGCAAGCTCACGCAACAAGTTTCGCAGTCCACAAAATTTAAAATATGGATTAATCACTCGCTTTTTTGAATGTCTAACGTCACTTCAGAATTCTAAGGTTCTATCTGCGTTCTAAATGATTTTGAGATACTGAGCTTCAAAGCTTTTGCATTCCATATAGCAAACAATGTGTGTGTACCAATTCTCTTTCAAACATTAATATGACAGAGACCCTACATGTACTCTAAATGTAAATTATCAAAGTTATCTTACATTTGCAAATTGAAATAAAAAAACACACAGTAAATGCAGATAGAACCTTCTAGTTCTAAAAAAAAGTCATTTTTCACTTGGAATTATAAGATTCTATCTGGCAGATCATTAATTGAACCATTACTTTTTTAAGAAATACAATCAAAAAATATATATAAATTTGTGTTGTAACAATATGTTGATGCTTGAGAAAGTTACATTTTTGCTTTCTATAACATTTATTTCATGTTTTAGGATGATTTTTACAAGGTACAAGACTTGATACAAGGCTGTGCTAAATATTGTGTCCAGTGCAGATGTTCATTTTATCTAATTAATATGTTAATATTTATTACATTTTATGCTTCATATGAAGCATTGAATTATATTTATTAAATTATATGCCCCATGAATTTAATTAGGTATTTGCCCTTCAAGGCTTAATATTAAATTTAAAGACTTTAAGAGAAAACAGACAATGAGCAAATTATTTAAAAAGTGTTTCACTGACTATATATACACAAATAAAAATATTCCACATTTAATATATCCATTTTTTAATATTAATTTATTTTTCCACAATGTAAAATTTAACATTTCATCTCAATGTCAAAAATGCTTCTAAATCATCACATTTACACACATCTCAATTTTGTGTGGTGCAGCATTATTTAGCCGACTCAGATTTTTTGAGATTTTGTGTTTCTTTCTGGTGTTTCCTGCTGTCAATGAAGCAGTCCGGCGAAATGACAAAGAAAGCTGATGCTGATTGGTCCTTGTGCGTGCATAAAAAATGCTGATTGGCTCACAGAAAGAACCTTATAGAGCCGAGCTAGTGTTCGTGTAGTGTAGATAAACCGTTTTTATTTTTTAAATAAAAAGTCTTAAAATGTAAACAACTTATAAAAGCACATCACATAATGTAAATAAGTTGTCCTTTTATAAGCATATATAAATAACTCAATTTTGTCAAAAATGTCAGATAGAACCTTACAATTCTAAGGTGACATAATATATTGTTTAACCCCGCCCCTTTTCACGGCACCGTACTACATAAGTGTGACTGCTGCAAAAGCATCACAGCTACATTTAAATCACCTGTGGAATCCTGTTAAGCCTGCCTTCTTCACTTCTAATTGGCCGTCTTAATTACTCTATCACACTAGCAACCATTGTGTTGGTGGTATGTATTAAAGTGCAGTGTTTCTCAACCACGTTCCTGGAGGACCACCAGCACTGCATGTTTTGGATGTCTCCTTTGCCTGTCACACCCATTTCAGGTCTTTCAGTTTTTGCTAATGAGCTGATGATCTAAATCAGGTGTGTTTGGTTAAGGACACATGGAAAATGTGCAGAACTGGTGGTCCCATGGAAATGTGGTTGAGAAACACTGCACTAGAGCAAGAATATCAAGAATATTAAATATTGGGAGGGTCCATGTAAACATATCTAATTATTGGGTAAAGGGGACTGTCGATAAAATCTATTCAAAGTCTGTGCAGAAAATGTCAAAGAAAATTGATAAAGTCAGCAGATTCCGCCTGGGCCTATTTATGACTGTACGTACAAGGTAAAGTATGTGCAGGAAACCATTTAAAGTGTTAGATGTGTTAGATGATATGTGTGACTCACTCACCTCTATAAAGGAAATTAAAAGATGTTGGTTGGTCTCTTGTACGTGAGTGTGTATCATCATTGGCAACTAATCAGCACAGGGTTTCTAAAGCACACTGAACTCTGAGGTCAATAGGCCGCTGTCTAATTAACCAGTAGAGCACAAATATTCTCATGGTGCTAGAGGTTTAAAGAGCGAGACCCAGAGAGCCAATCTACACGTGTGAGTCTGCAAGAGGTCATGTGCAATAAACTCCAAATCCAGGTTATGCATCGCATGATTTCCATCACAATTAATACCAATCTATCGGCTTTCATCGTGTGGTGTAAAAGTAACCATCCACCAGTACACATTCATTTGCACATATTTTCCAGTGTCCTTGTCACTGATAGTCTAGAGGGCAATAGATTTATTATAGTGTTTATTAATGTATATGATCAGGGATGTAAATAGTGATATTTTTGTGGTTTGAAACTGCAGCCAATTTCAATTCTGCTCTACCAAGGGCATGCGTACTGGTTCGATCAGTTTCTGAAAATATTGACACTGAAACCACTTTTTCAAAGCTGAAAATAATTTATTTTGTGTCCCATATATGTATATATTTTGTCAGTGTTGTACATTCTTTCACTTTGAGGTGGTTATTGTATTCTTTTACAATAGAGGAGCAATAAGTCTGAATTACAGTAATAAAAATATTCAGCCTCTTTGCTTGTTTGGTTTGTTAACAACTTCAGCGTGGTTATTTTGGGTTTGCAAATAGAGAGAAGGTGCATTTAAAAATTATGAAAACACTTCAGTTATTATCGATTCTCTGGATTTGCCAATTGTAGGTAAGTGTTTTGAGTAAAATGTTAATTTGTGTTTTATTTTATGCGATAATGAAGAATACTGTATGATGAATGTTCTGTTAAACGTTTGCATTCACTCTGCCATGTAGCTTTAAGAGTATGGAGCCAGATCAGTCTCAAAAATAATATTTTTACAAAATAAAATTCATACATGCGCAGCACAGTTCATGTTTACACAATCCCATTATTAAATTCAAAACACAACTCATAAATACAACACACAATATATAAATGTTTTTGCCAAATGAATTAATTTTGTGCATTTAGGAATCACTTTTTAAATTTACAAATTGAACTAGTGTATTTTATGACTTGTGTTTGGAATTAACAAATTGGATTTGTGTATTTTTGAAGTGCATTTTAAATTTTTGAATTGGATTGGTGTATTTTTGAATTGCATATTGAATTTACGAATTGGATTTGTGTATTTATGACTTGCATTTTGATTTTATGAATTTTATTTGTGTATTTATGACTTGCGTTTTGAATTAACGAATTAGATGTGTATTTATGAATCGTGTTTTGAATTTACGAATTGTATTTGTGTATTTACGAATTGTTTTGAACTTACAAATAGTTTTTTGTAATTGTTAATTGTGCTGTGCTTGTATGAATTTTATTTTGTAAATGTATTTTATTTTGAGGCTCATCTGGCTCCATATAAAAGAGGCCGAAATCCTGCTGTCGAAAACCTTATACAAACCATGACACTTCCTTTTTCACATTTCACCAACTTCTCTCACTTTGAGATTAGTATTTCCCAATTTTGATAATGTATATGATGTTTCCCATTAGAGCCACCAAAATTAAACTTGCTTTCATCAATAAACTTTAGACCACCTTTCAGTCCACACAGCATGCTCCCCAGAAAAGGTTAGTCCTACCTTTTGATTCTTTCTGATGATGAAGGTTTGAAAGTCCCTTTGACCTTCATCTGGAAAAGCTGCTGTCGAAGGGTTTCAGCCAATGTAGAAGGGCTCAGCAATTTGCAACGTCAGTGAAAACTGGTAAGGCAGGATACCAGTTAAAGGATTAGTTCACCCAAAAATAAAAATTATGGTATCAATTACTCACCCCTATGTCGCATTCATATTAATTGGTCTACGACTCAGTGTCTATATTACGCATGTTTATGTGCACCATGTCCCAAAAACACAACATGCAATAAAATTCCAGTGACAATCAATTTGGCTGTCTGCTCCATCCAAAGGCGACACGGCAGAAACATTTAAACACCAGCCATTCCTTTAAATATCATCCATTGCACTGATTAATACATATTTAACCTATTTAGTTGTTAAAAGTATAGCTTTAGGCTGTGTGACTGATGTTGGTTTGCACAGAGTCACTGACTTTCATTTTCAAACAGTTTGCAAGCTATTTAGGCGATGCAGTGGGTAGCAATGTCGCCTCACAGCAAAAAGGTCGCTGGTTGGCATTTCTGTGTGAAGTTTGCATGTTCTCCCTGTGTTCACGTGGGTTTTGTCGGGGTGCTCTGATTTCCCCCAAAAGTCCAAAGTGTGGTATACACATGTGGTATTGGGGAATTGGGGAAGCTAAAAAATGTCCTTAGTGTATGTGTGAATGAGTGTGTATGGATGTTTCCCAGTGATGGGTTGCAGCTGGAAGGGTATCCACTGCATAAAACATGCTGGATAAGTTGGCGGTTCATTCCGCTGTGGAATAAGCCAAAAAGAAAATGAATGAAAGCTAGATTTTTAATTTCAAGATCTGATGTGAACAATCTGCTGCTTTCAAGTAGTATGACTTTAAACGTCACGTTAAATGATGTTCAACCTCACATTGGTGTCATTTAACACTTTATAAAGCACATAATCTGTACCTGAGGTGGTAATTGTCATGGTAGGTTATGGTGTTGTATTGCAACGACATCGAATAAATTAAATTTTTTGTGACGGCTCACAAAAGTATTCTTGCAGCTTGATAATATAATTTTTTTTTTTATTTAATAACCACTGAAGGCATGTGGTCTGTCTTAAGAATGTTTCTTGATACATTTCTGGATTTTGAAGGAGTCACAACCTTGCTGCCTATGGAGGATGAGGGAGCTCTCGGAATTCACCTAAAATAGCTTTATTTTTTTTACAAAGAAGAACAAAGGTCTCAGGGGGGTTGGAAACAACATGAGGGTGAGTAATTAGTTACATGATTTTCATTTTGGGCTGAACACAAAATTTCATATTTGGGTTCATGGGCTAAAACAGACCTTAAACAGTTTCTGTCAGATAATTGAGGAATTTACCTGGTGCCAAATTAACCTGGGGGAATCTGAAAGTTTTTGTACTGCACTTTAAAATATGTAAATATTCAAGTAGGTCCAAGGCACCTTGAACCTGTAGACTGTATGTTCATATAAGTTGGTGTTTGTCGAAGGTGTACAATCTAATCTGCATAGGTTTCCTGATTGGGAAAGTTTGCTGTTCTGAATAATGATAACATTCCGAGATGCTTGTGCTGAAAGTTAATTAGTGTACGGTGGCATCTTCTCATTACCTGAGTTTATTAAGAAGTGCAGACTGCTTTAATATATACAATTAGTCCATGCCGAGAAAGGTTGACTGACTTCATCCCAGCTGATAAAAGTCAAACTGGCAATTAAGAACCTCCTGTGTCTCTGTCAGCATTTGCAGTCTCACCCAGAAGATCAAATGCCATTCGAGAGATACTCAATAAAGTAGCTACCTGTTCAATCAGTCAGATGGTAGCTTTTCAAAATCCCTCTCTCTCTCTTTCTCTCTCTCTCTCTCTCTCTCTCTCTCTCGCTCTCTCTCTCTTCCTGATTCAGACCTGAAAATGTTATTCATCTTTAAAGATGGGGTTGTGGTTCAGCCATGTGTGTGTAGAGAATAGGAGACATACATTCCTCATTATCGCTGATAGAAGCTGCACTCCACTTGTGAAGTCTGATCGTATTAACACTTATTAATGTTTGATGACACACACTGACATTTGCAGGAGCCCAATAATTGGAAGACCAATAATGGGGACGGGGTCTTGCACATGCCTTAATGGAGAGGTGAACAACTTTGATTCAGGAGATAATACGGGTCAGTAAGGACATGACTACCTTTATTTTCTTGATTTAATTTGAATTCACTCCATGAACACAAATATGAAACTGGAATATGACATTTACTGAGGGATGATTTTCATCTTAACACAAAGGAGTGTTATATCACCCTCAATGGGTTTATTTTCGGATAACAACTTGTTTGGATATAAATAATATGTGGCTGCTTAAATAATTTCACCATTATTTCTCCATCGAGATTTGTTCACTTGTTCAACAACTACCCAGCAGGTACAGGACGTCAACAGGACGTCAGATTGACATTGTACCCCAACATCGAGACGTTGAATTTTGGATGGAAATGAAAATTGGGTTGATGTCAGAATCCAACATCGGACAGATTTTGGTGATTTTCCAACGCAACCTAAAAACACAAATGTCAACGTCTAATGATGTTACAGCTAGACATTGTTTGGACTTTACCACTATGACATTGTAAGGTCCACCCAGCTGGCCTAATAAAGGAGTCCACTGGTGGATGAAGGTTCACTGCTCATTCTAAAGTATTTTTTAATAGTCCCCTTAGATGTACACCCTTGAGTTAAAGGTCAAACTATTTCTAATCAGAGGTCAAAACCATTATTATAAATAGAACCGATTACTGTTCTTTAAAATAATTTTGGTTTAGCCAAGCTCACGGTTTCCTATGTACACTTAATTTAGAATAACATTACTTACAAACCAGGGTCATCATCCTATCTCTAGGTTAGTCGTGCAACACCTTGTTGCCCTAGACGGAAATAATTTCTTTTCCACCCAAGTACACTGAAATCAATATGAAGGTTCAATCGAATCTCTAAACTACAGTTAGTGTGCCCAATGCTCCATTTAAACTGGACTTTAGTCCATCTACTGACCTGACGCAGGAAGTGCGGAAACAAGGATACAGCATAATCTACTAAAATGAATAATTACAGAGTAAGCGGAATGCTTGGTTTAAGATGGTGGCTCAATGTTGTATTTTGGTCACTTTCCAACACAACCTAAAATCAACCAAATATCAACATCATTTGATGTCGTCATTGGACATCAAAACAATGTTGTCCTTGGTTGCGGGCTAGACATAAAATTTTGGTCACCTGACATCATAACCTAAATCTCACCTTATCTTAACATCTTATGACGTTGTGTGTATGCTGCATACATTTACTTTGAAAAATATTTAAATTATAATTAATTTTATTTATTAAGTGTTTTAATAAAATTTAATTAAAAGTATGCTTACCAAGGTAGTATGCTTTATTAAAATATACAAAAATTGTGATATCATGAAATATTTATTGTGGCCAAGAGAGTTAAACATGTGGCAATTTAAGTAAACATGCAATTACAAAAAAATGCCAGCAAATAAAGAAAAGGTTTCATCCATTTGATAGCACAAGTGCTGCAAATCCTCACAATGCAATAAAATTTTTAAAAAACGCACAGCATTTTCTCACAACGCAAATTTTTAAAGAAATCACACTGCATTTTTTTTTCACAATGTAAACAATTTTTTTAAAAATGCACAGCATTTTCTTACACTGCAAACAATTTACAAAAACGCAGCATTTTCTTACAACGCAAACAATTTACGAAAACACTGAATTTTCTCACAACGCAAACAATTTTTTAAAAAATAAGCTGCATTTTCTCACAACGCAAACAATTTACGAAAATATGCTGCATTTTCTCACAACGCAAATTTTTAAAAATACACTGCATTCTCTCACAACACAAATGATTTTAAATACGAGCTGCATTTTCTCACTTCGCAAACAAATTTTTTAAAAACGCACTGCCTTTTCTCACAACGCAAACAATTCACAAAAACGCTGCATTTTCTCACAATGCAAAAATATTTTAAAAAGGCGCTGCATTTTCTCACAACGCAAACAATTCACAAAAACGCTGCATTTTCTCACAATGCAAAAATATTTTAAAAAGGCGCTGCATTTTCTCACAACACAAACAATTTACAAAAATGCTCTACATTTTTTCACAACACTTTCAAATAGCTCAGAACACAATGTAAATGTTTTAAGTGAACCCTAAAACATGACAAAATTGGCTACTTAGGTTATGGTTTTTTATACTAATGAAATACAAGACAAGGGAATCAGAAAGTTAAAATAAACAAACAAAAATCTCACCTTTCTCACGTCCATCACGTTTTTGGGTCTACTTGAAACATTTCCATTGTGTTGTGGTGTTTTTGCAAATGTTGTGAAAGAAAGCAATGCATTTTCGTAAATTGCTTGTGTTGTGAGAAAATGCAGTGCATTTTGTTAATTTGTGCATGTTGTGTGAAAATGAAGCATGTTGTTTTAATGTGTATGCATAGTGAGTATTTTTTTAATTTGCTGTCGTTTTGTTTTGTAATTGCATGTGTTTTCTTAAATTGCTGAAAATATTACCTTTTAATATGATCAGTAATATTTTAATATACAAAACTTGTTATTATTTTAACTGTGCTGACAATCTTCAGTTTGGTTTGACACTATAAGAGGCTATGCTAAATTGATAGTATAGTCACGGCTATTTCATTTATAAAGCGAATTCATTATTATTCAGTCACTGAGAAACAATTATGATGATGCACATGGCTATGTACACACATGGATTGTAGGTTATTACGGGTGCATTCAAATTACCCATTTGTAATTGTTCATTTATTTCATGATTAGGAAAACTAATGCACTTAATTAAATTTACATATTACATTTTAAATGGTATAATCAGCATCTATCTAACACTCTTCTCTTTTAATTATGAAAACTCAAGTATGCTGATTAGTGTGGGTGCCATTTGTTTGTGTGCCTTCATGAGCAAAGAAAGAAGAAAAATGAAAGAGTGGATAGGTGGGTGGTGGGTAATATTTTTTCTTACTGTATGCCATAAAAGTGCTGCCACGTATTCATTAAAATCTCTCCTCTCTCACCATTCTCTCACTTCTCACTCGCATGCATCTTTTTAAATCTCATCTGTTCCAGTCACTGTCATCATCTTTCTTCTTTTCATCACTGGCTGTGTCTTGCTTTTTGGTTTTTCTCCCTTCGTTCTGTCCTCACTCATCTCTTTTCCAGACTTGCATAAGAACAAAGATCTGCCTATGTGCCTGTGCAAGGAGAAAGTCACCTTGGAGGACAGGAAGAGAGAGAGAGAGAGAGAGAGAGAGAGAATTCGTGTGGGTGGAATAACTAGCAGAAGGATGAATCCCATGATGACTGAATCAACCCTCACGTGTATTTCTAGATATTTTTCCCCACATAACGTTAGAAATTTTTTTCGTTTCTTTGTCATCTATATAACTTATTTACTTTTCTGCATGGTTTCCTTGATCACAAACTCTAATTTTACTGTTTTACCAGTTTGGAAAATGCCTGCACTGTTATTGAGCGAATGAAAAATAAGCGCAATTGTCGTTACATTCGTTTCTATTTGGGAGGAAACGCCGTTCACTGGGTGTTTAATTCAGTGACAGAATGTAAACGAATGAAGTTATCAAGTTAATCTTGGAAAATACCTGGTATTAATATGAAGCACATAATAAAATCTATAATCCGGATACACAAGCAGCCAAGTAGGCAAACAAGTAGGCTATGTGTGATTATGTTCTTTATCCGCCGAAATAGCTCAGTTGGGAGAGCGTTAGACTGAAGATCTAAAGGTCCCTGGTTCGATCCCGGGTTTCGGCAGTTTTTATTTTCGCAAATTACATTATTACGTCTGATATACTATAAGCTTAAAAATAAAAGTTATACAACACAAAAAAATCTAAGAAAGCAAAAGAAGAAGACTAAAATACGTAACCTGAGCTATGTTGTTTGCCAGGTTGCCTGCCATTCTTGTTACGTATCATGTGGTTCAGACCGTATCCTGAAGATGTCGCTGTAGTTTCACTTCATTATTTATTCGCCACAGCGGTTATTCGCTGTAGCTACGTCAGGGGGCGATGTTGATCAACAAATCGGTGTTCTTACCTCGTGGAAAACGCAAGAGAAGCCAAGTCATTTTGTGCTGACTTTTGTGACATTTGTTTGGACTCCAGGATAGGATTACGGTACAGTACCTGTAACATCTTGAAACCAATGTAACGTTACATGTCTTTATATTACTTATATTACAGCTTAACTCACTGTATATCTGTTGTTGCCTCTCGATATGCTGCCAAAATAGTTGGTCTGTCATATAAGTTAGGCTAACATACCGCATGGATAAATCTTCCAAAAATGCTCCGTATTAGCACACATAGGCGTCAAGTGATCGTTTGTTTGTTCATTTACATATTTATTAGTTTATTTAAATATGAATTATATATTTCATATCGATTAATTTAATCGTATTATATAACTTAAGACATATTGAGGTAAAATTAGTTCTGTTGACACATTCAGACTAATCAATAATATATTTTCAGAAAAGTATTCTTTGCAAATTCTAAATGGTTGAAATCATATTAGCAGCCAATGACTATCAAAGTACAACACTGTTCATAGTCGATCAAATAGTGCTAATGTTGTTTTAAAGTCATACTTGAGACGAAATATTTAAAAGTACCATGGTTTCCAATATAGGGAGCATGTCATAAGTTGTTACTGAATAAATGTGCAAATATAAAACCAACATTACGTTACCCTAAGAAATGTTCCATAAGCAACATTCCATTAAACAGAAATCCCATTTACTTTCTTCAGAATGTATCAGACAATTGCCCATGTTTTTATTATAGCAAAATGTCAGCAACCGTGTTGTTTTGGTGAATTGATTGTCATTTGTATAGCCACCGTTTTACTTCTATGTCACGGTTAAACTACTATTAATTCAAGGTTACCATTGTTTAACAAAAAAAAAACTTTTTTCATGACCTCATGGTATGTTATATGTTAATGTACAGTTCTCTCAACAGCTCTTGGTTTTAGTGCTTAGATGTACTTGTCTTTTATACAGACATGTAGAAATGTAAAGTATTGCAAATGTGTTGTTTTTGGTCCAGTCTTCTTTTAGCACTTCCTCCAATTTGACTTTAAATTTAACCTACATTCATTGATTCACTTCATTTGTTTGTTTATTATCTGCCTCTAATATATTATTTACAGTAGTTCTAGATGTTGTGCAGGGCAGTTTACGATTGTCAGTGTTTTATGAAGTGCTTTTCGTTCAGGTGGAGATCAAGAGCTTAATATTTCACAGTTATTTACACATTTAATGATTGTCTAAAATTTTAACTTTAATTAGGTCATTTCTGAGATTGCATCATTCTAGTTTATCAGAAACGTCTCAGATTTCAAACGCGTGATTAGTAGCATGCCAGGGTGGTTTTACTTTTAATAGAACTGACCCACCTTTGCAATATGTGCAAGCATGTCTTTACTAGAGGCATGGCTGACATACAGTATATCACACACAGACAGAAACACATATGGGAACCGGTATTACATAACTAAAGGCCGGCGTGCAGCCAAATCCTCAATCTCCTGCTTCATCTCTTCAGATTCTCCCACACACATACCAGATACACAGAAACCTCCTCTGTTGTTCATGCCAAATCAATCATAAAATTCTTGTCAGTCAGGTTCTCGTATTTGACATTCTGTACTATACGAAGCTGCTCCCTAATTTATTTTTATTCATAATCTGGAGGACGCTGAACCCCATGAACCATAAATTAGACACGTGAGTTTAGTATTTTTATTCACATTCCTTCCAAGTTTTACATATGGTCTGTGATCTCTGCATCAAAAACAGTGTTGGTTATAACTAAGGCTGGACTGTATGTACCAGCAGAACTGTCTTCATAAAATGTCTCCAGTTTCATTGTCCAGTTCTCAGGTGACTTCTCTTTACACGCTTTATGGTTCTAAATAACTCTTGGTTATCTTGCAATGGTATAAATGTGGTTGTAATGAGCATGTCAGGCAAATGGTTCCCACATATGTGGCACTATCAGTCACACTTGTTTTTATGGTGTATACCACTGTGGGATGTACTGACGCAGTAGTTTAAGCTTGTTATAAAAACATCATCATCATTCCGAGTTATCTCAACTTTATATGAGTGGAATACTATATAGGCGACTCTACATAGTTTGCTATTTAAAGTGACAACTCTTGTGTGGTGATATGAGTGTGTGTGTGTGTGTGTATGTGTGTGTATATATATATATATATATATATATATATATATATATATATATATATATATATATATATATATAATATTATGGCATTAGCTATATATTTGAGATTTATTTTTTAATTTCAACAACTTTTAGGGATAGTAGTGCTTTCCACACAGACTTTACTTGAAATATACTTTAGACTTTATATCAACAGCCAACCAAGTATATTTCTCTTGCCCTACACATTTTGTACTGCTTGTTGATTGTGCGTGAGACAATTCTCACACACTCCCACTCCCACACACAATCGTATTAAAATGCATCTGGCCATAGTTCCTAAATGTCCTTAAATGTCTGGGTTTTTTCTTTCACCTTCTACAGTTGTCGTTAATCGTATGCATTTTGTATTACCTTTTTATTTAAGCCTCTTTTCGATTGACTTTACAACTGACTGCGCACATGCAACCTCAAGAGCAACAGAAATATAAAATTCTTAATTCTTTAATAAAGATCTCAGAAAAAATTAACTATATACTCAAGAGAGGATGAAATTATTTAATTCTTGTAATTATTAAATTTTTTAGCATACTTTTATACATTTTTCTGTTATTTAATTATCATTTGCTGTATATTTTATTAATTTGTTGATGTAAATATATTGCATGCTTCATATCTAAAATGTTTTGGCAATACTGTTCAAAATGTCATGCCAATATTGCAACTTGAACCTAAGTGAGAGAGCGAGATCAGCTGTTATTAGTCAATGGCTCCTAAATAGCATCAAAGTAAGAGAAATAGTTAATAACTTTTTTTTTTTTTTCAACAGGCTTTAAAAAATTAAACCATTGAAAAGAGATAGTGTATAACATTGTCATAATTAATAAAAATATAGTTAAAAATAGTCACATTTTTTATTTTATTGTTTGTCATGTAGTTAATCATTTATTTGATGGGTAAAAGGTTTTTTAACCACCGCAAGTATATTTCAAATCTGTGGCAAGCATTGAATAGTATGTGGTTTGTGTTTCAGTGAGTGGGCCAGACAACATTTCTCATTTTTGTTTTCTAATAATGTAATCATTTTATTTGTATTTCAGTTGTAATGCAATGAATGCATCTTAATTGTTTTAAATGACACTGGCTGGAGCTTTCAGATTTCTTGCCAGTCCACATTTTAAATTATTGCCTGATTTTTTTATTATTATTATTATTATTAATATTTTTATTATTATTATTATTATTATTATTATTATTATAAATGTGTAAGTATAATCTGAAAATAGTGTGATTTTTTTTTTTTTTTTCAACCCGATCTCATGATAAAAGTCTACTATTCAATGTATTGACAAAAAAGTGGCTAAATTAGATTAGATTCGACTTTATTGTCATTACACATGTACAAGGCAATGAAATGCTGTAGATATTCATTCATTCATTTTCTTTTAGGCTTAGTCCCTTTATTAATCTGTGATCAACACAGTAGAATGTACCACCAATAAATCCAGCATATGTTATTACGCAGTAGATGCCCTTCCAACTGCAACCCAGCACTGGGAAACACCCATACACTCTTGCATTCACGCACATACACGACTTAATAAAAACTAGAAATGTATGAATGAGATTGTACAAATAAGCTATACTAAATCAAAAATATATGAGATGATTTGTCATGAGATTGTGTTGGAGATTTGACATTTTCTGTCTCTCCTTTTTCCCTGCTTGTTTTTATTTCTGACAGTACTTTTATTGTTACAGTAGTTTCTTTTTCTTTAAGGATATGCTATTATTTTCTTAATATTCTTCTTTTATCTGATAGTATTATATGCTGTTAGACTAATTAAAACACAAAGTCAAGCAACAATAAGGAAATTGTTCCCTTTCTTTGACCAGAAAGATTGCTTTATTGCACTCAGCCAGTAATTTATAGGGTTTATTCTGAAAATATCATTAAATTGTTAATTGTAAATGAAACACACTGCCTGTTGTGCTTGTCATTCTGGCCTTTCTTGATCTTAATGTCTTCCTGGAATACAAACTTTAGGAAGTTTTTTTTTTTTTTTTTTTTTTTTTTTTTTTTTAAACAACAATGCTCAGATTTCGGAGAGGCAGGAAGGAGCTGGAAGTTGGCCAAAGTTCAAGATTATTTCCCTTAGTCTTAGTTTTTGTGTTGGTTGTAAGTGTTGAGAATTGACTTGAGACCTTTCAAGAGCACATTAACATGGCCTTAGATTTGGTTTTAAAGGGATAGTTCACCCAAGAATTAAAATTTATTCACTCACACTTGCTTGTTTACTACGAGTTTCTTTACTCTGTTGAACACAAAAGAAGATATTTTGAAGAATGCTGAAAACCTTTTAATATTTACTTCATAGTAAAAAACAAATACAGCAGAAGACAGTTTTCCAACTTTCTTTAAAATATCTTATTTCGTGTTTAGCAGAAGAAAGAAAATCAAGCTGGAACAAGACTGATTAAAAGTTTTACTTTCTATTTCTTAGGGTTTGCTATTTGCATTTGTTTTTTTAGTTCTGTCATTTATTCTGGTCCAGTTACTCTGAAATAGTTTCTTTCAGTTTAAACTCAAACTGTTCATATGGGCTAAATTGAAACCAACATATAACATTTAGCCCATATAAACTGTTTGCAACTAGGGATGCAATGATATGGATTTTTTGGCCGATACTGATAACTGATAATTCTTCAGAATATGTATAGGCTAATAATTATAAATGTGTTATATTTTTATGCAGCAAACTTCATAAAAGATTGAGCTGCTCTTATGAACTGAATAGTCTATACTCAAAGCAAAAAATCGAATAGATTCATCCTATTTGGCGTTTTAGATTCTTTTGAACGCATGTAGCTGCTGCTTGTCAATCAGACAACGCTTCTGCGCTCGTTCTTGCTGTCAATTGCGGAAAAAATGATCAATGAAAAGTTTTACTCAACTGCAGGCGGTGCAGCTAAGC